GTAGAAGTAGCGAAACAATAGCACATACAGTCTGCTACTGTACGAATGACTCATTTGTAACTATAGTTGTCTTTGTGCCTCTTTTAGCCCCGCCTCCTCTTCTTTAGCCTATTCTGCTCTTCATTTGTAGTGCTATAACTTGGCTGCCAAGCAAGTAATGAAACAGATCCCTTTATGCTGACTGCGGTGCTTTCTTGCTGATTTTTTAGATGATCTGTCTGCTCAACAGTCTCCACTGTTTTCTTATCTATGGTTAAATTTGTTCTGCTGCAGGTTCTGAAATTTCTGATGGAAAGAAATAGCATAAATACCCTGTATGGTCAGGTCACTGTCGGTATCCTCATTCTGCAGGTAGACTTAAAACAGCATAAATACCCTGTACTGGTCTTACAACTTCAGGGACTAAAAATAGGACGTTTTCCGATGTTTAGATTATGATTTCTAAATTCCAAACTTCAATGATATTTTGGGTTTTAGCTTTCGGTCTTTATGATTGCTATCCATGGAATTTCCTTTCATATTTGGATTCGTGGTCTATCAGGATTGTGCTGTTGGTCTTCTGTTTGCTTTACTTCCTGTCCTTGGTGGTACATCTGGTGTTCTTCAGGGAGTGATATCCATGACTAAATTGTAAGTATCTGAACCCTACTGTAGTACATCAATTGTAAATGTTAATGTAAGTAAAACATGCTTATGCTCAATCAAATATAGATGTTATTAAAAGAAAAAAAAGGTAAATTGATATAAGCTGTATGATCTAACCATGACTTCTTACAACTTTTTGCACATCACTGCACCTGTTTACTCTTTGTTTGGGAAACTATTATGTATGTAAATTTTTGTAGTTTGTAAGATTTTAAAGTGGTTAAAGACTTGTGAACTTAAGCACTTGAGTTTATTTGGTATCATTTTTATATTTTGCAGGATACATACTTGCACAATTGATGCTGTATTTACTTAAGCCTCATTCTTCATGTTTAGTCTGGTTGCATTTAGGGTTTGTACATGTAATCTCTTGGAGTTCACTAATTTCATTTCGGATTCAGTAATCGTCTCATTTCATATTTCGATCAGGTTAGTGCTGCTACTTGCATTTTTGGCTGCTTTAACAATTCTATCTCGTACCTGTGTGCCATGGTTCTTAAAGCTTATGATCAGCTTATCATCGCAGGTAACCGTTTGTCCAAAATTTTAATGTCATCTTCTATCGTGATCCAAATTTTGACTGGGGTTTATCTATACAGACTAATGAACTCTATCAGTTGGCATCAGTGGCTTTCTGCCTGCTTGTCGCCTGGGTAACCCTTCTTCACCGAGTTTCTTCTTTCCCCATCCGGCTGACTCCTACTAAATTGTTTGTGTATTATTGTACTACTAGAACACTAGTTAACGATATCAGGGACTTGGCCTTACCTAAATTAAGTCTCTGAATCATGATTCTCCTTTGCTTTTAATATTTTTTTATTCTTCTGAATCAATTTGATTCTTCTTTTAAATTCTTTTTATATATATTTCATATATCATAGTAGAATGTTCTGTCGACTCATATACTCAGCAGAGCTCCTTTACTTCCAAATATGTACACACGTGCTTATGTGATATTGTCTTATTCCAGTGTAGTGACAAGTTGGGTCTGAGCCTTGAACTGGGATCCTTTGCTGCTGGTGTGATGATATCCACGACTGATCTTGCTCAACATACACTCGAGCAAGTAAGACTGTTGTATTTCCATCTTAGAAGTCATAAATTGTTAGAACCCTCATTGTTATTAATACATCATTCCTCCCAGATGTCTTTAAGACTAGACTGCGTGACATCTCAAGCCTTTTGGCACTGATATAACTAATTTGTATCTATATTGTATTTTCACTATGTGTTGATTCTGAATGGGTAGGTTAACACTCTGTTGTATGATTTTCAATAAAATGACAATCAGTTTAAGAGGCTTACTCGGACAATATGTTACTACTTAACTCTGTCAATATTGTGACTAATGGTTCTATGGTCCTACAACTTCGTAAAATTTATTCCAGGAAACCAGCTACTCATTTGGTCATCAATCTTCTTTTTTCCTGTAATAGAGATATAGTTTATGGTATCGTTTTGGGTATTACCTGTCTATGTTAATTCGATGACCTTGGTTAGTTCCTGTTTGTTAATCAGATGAAAAGATAAATTGACCTTCGGTGTGGAAGTTATGAACTGGCATGTTACTTCCAATGTGTTTGTCTTGGTTGATAACTAAAACATCTTAAACATCTGGGCCTTGCTTCTGAAAATCTCACCAATTTGCTCTAATTTGTATTTAATAATTTTCAGGTGGAACCAATTCGCAACTTATTTGCAGCTCTCTTTTTGGCAAGCATTGGGATGTTAATCCATGTTCAATTCTTGTGGAATCACGTCGATATATTACTTGCTTCGGTACTGTTAGTCATTGTTGTGAAAACTATCATTACTGCATCTGTAGTCAAAGGATTCAGATACAACAACAAAACAGCACTCCTTGTAAGATCTCGGATTGCTTCTAAAGCACTTTGTATCTCCATATTGGTTATCTCATCTTTTCCATTGACAGAAGGTCCTTAGGTTTATTTATATCTGTAGGTTGGGATGTCCCTCGCACAAATTGGGGAATTTTCCTTTGTTCTTCTAAGTCGTGCTTCTAATCTCCATCTGATTGAGGTTTGTATTCAATACTGGTGCTCTTTTGGCATAATGCTAGAATGCATATTCTTCATTTGGAAGTTATCGTTTTTGCTTTTCTCTTTTCTTATATGGCACCCTTTTAATGTGAAGACACCAACAACCTTTCAGCTTTCCTTTTGTCTGGAAAATTGCCTTTAGCTGCTACATTTATATTGAAGTTTTACTTTGTAGGCTAAAACTTGGGAAATGCATATGAATTTTTCAGTGGTTTTGGTACTTGTAACCACAATCTGGGCTCTCATCCTTACTGAATTGTGTTGACTTCCGACCATTAACTGGCAAAAGTTGCAAGGAAGTAAAAGGGCATGTTGGCCAACCTTTTCTATGATCTGATGTTTAGCAATGGATCTGTGCAGGGTAAATTGTATCTACTGCTTCTTGGAACGACAGCCCTCAGTCTGGTTAGTACACATGCAAAACACTAGCCTGTGGTATGATGATATATGTGAGCCTTTACTCGGATGTAGTTATCTGCCTGCCAATGTAATAAGAACAGGCTGGCATGCAAATTAAGCAGGACAAAAAATACCGAGTTTTTGCATAATGAATCGATTTCCATTCATTGCTTGCCTGTTACTTACGCTGGTCCTCTGATGATTTGCACCAAGGCCATTTGAAACTACATCACATTTCTATAGTATGAAATTCCAAATGACGATCTTTAGTGCTTCTAGATTCTAGCGGTGGCTGGAGGCTGAACTTGGTTGATATTGATTGGTGCAGGTGACAACACCATTTCTTTTCAAGCTAATTCCAGCAGTGGTACATCTAGGGGTGCTGTTGCGGTGGTTCCTACCAGATAGCTCTCACGAGGTAAATACTCTTGCCTCTATCTTTCTGGTACGCAATTACATTTACGTGGTAAATGGTTAAATTCTGGGAGGCAGAATGGTGAAACGTTAGTCGAATTCATAAGTTTGAGACAGTTAGTTATGTTTGCTTGTTTGCTTGCTTGTTTTGAGTTTGCATTAGTTGTTAAAGCACGTATGATTTGCTCCTTCCAGATTGGGTATAAAGGAGATAGCTTTCTGGCAGACAGTGCTAAGCGCATAACTTTGATGGTCCACGGCAATCACCATTCATGATTGATGATTGACGATGATGATGTTATAATTAAGATTGCGCATTTGCTAGCAAAGCCAAAAATTTACCTACCTGATGGGCTTGTTATACTCTCTGGGGGGCAGGTGCTGAAAGAAGGCAAAGGAGGCTGAGTTTCACTAAGGCCAACTGCTCTATTATGCCCCCCAAATGCAATTGTATAAAGAAAAGTGCTCCCTTCCCCCTTCTTGTCGATGTAGCTTGCACAATCAATCCCCCTTACCAGCAGCAGAATGTTGGATGGTAAATTCTCTTCTTGAGTTGGAGCCGACGAAATCTACCGGGTTGCGATGTATGTGGCTTATGGACCAACGAGACTACACTCCCACGCCTCTCACCCTTACTTTGTAACATACGAGCTGTAGAGTGATGATAATCTTTGATTCTTTTTGGATCTGTGTTTTCTTTTCCTCCCCACCACCCTATTGTCATGTTTCCTTTTGGTCCATTTTTTGTTCATCTTAAGTTTTAGAGTTTAGGAACAAATCCACTTTTTGAAATCCAGGTCTGGAAGTTGTATTGTTCACCAAGGAATTACAAATTAGGAATCATTTTCTAATTTGGAATTATGATTTGTCTTGTGTGTATCTTAAAACTGAAATGGAACTACAGTTAACTCTGACGACCTTGTGGTCATCCAAGTTGGGACCTCCAGCTGACTATTAGTGTCTTTGCTGTCTGGCAGAAGCACTAATTCTCTATTTGATTGCCCAACTTCTCAAAAGCCTGAGAGTTAATCGCTCAAAGATCCAGTTTGCTTCATCTTAGCAAATGTCTCATGATTAGAGTTTGCCTCCAATGGTCCAAATGCCAAGTAATCCCCATTCCTGATGCCAAGTAATCGCCATTGTTACCATTGATTAATATCGCCCTCCATATTATATGACGCAAGTGGAACTTTGTGCTCCTTCGGAGTTTCATGAAATTTGAAAATATTTGCTCCATTTGGTGCAACATGTCGATCATGGCTCAATTGATAATGCGCAGTGTGTTTAGTTACGATGGCCAAAGTTTTCGCCATCTCAGGGTATGATTAGACTTGTGCTTGCGTTTGTTGATAGTGTGGTTGTTACCATACAAGAATTTGGTGGAAAGACATCTCGAGCTCATGTATGAGCTAGAATGATAAAAAAGAAACTACGATACAAGTAAGAATATAAACAACGGGTTAATGCCACATTTGGTCACTGTGATTTCTAAAACGTGTCATGTTTAGTCACTAGAAAAAATTAATATCAACTTTGGTCACTCGAATTACTGAAATAGTCCACATATAGTCACTCTCCGTTAGTCTCCATCCAACTCCGTTAATGGAGATCGTTATGTGTTGACATGACTAACATAATCGCCTAATCAGCGTCATTTTTGGTAAGAAATGGTAAACCCGACCCGCCACGTCACTCGACCCCTACCCAACCCACCCCCCTCTTCCCTTACTTTTCTCTTTTCTTGCTTCTAACCCTTCTTCTCCCATGCTCCCCACCGATTCCTCTCCGATCTTCCCCATCGATTCTTCATCCACCGTGGGACTCCTTCCTAAATCATATCCCATCATCGGTTCCACCCTTGACATCGCCACCAACAAGGAGCGGCGAGTCCGGTGGACCTCCGACATCGTTCGAACCTCCCCCACCGCAACGTTCGCCCTCCACCGTTCCCTGAGCTCCACCCGCATCTTCACCGCCAACCCGGCCAACGTCCAACACATCCTCAATTCCCCAACTATCAGAAGGGCTTCGACTTCTGAACCACTCTGTTCGACCTCCTCGGCGGCGGGATCTTCAACCGCCTCGTACGACAATTAATTTACGGCGAGTACGGAAAAGTAGTAGGAGATTTGGTGTAAGGAAATGGTTAAGTACCATACATGGGTCTGTATAAGATCCAACATAACCTTCTTCCAATAACTCGAGTTATTGGGACCAACTGGTTTATGACATGGTATCAGAGCTTAGTTTGTCCTTGAGATCACGTGTTCAAGTCCTCACGACCCCCAATATTAATCGTTGTCTTTCAAGCACATGGTATGGCGGGCCTGTGCAAACTTCAAGCCCATGAGTCGGCTTTCGTTTGAGGGGGCGTGTAAGGAAGTGATTAAGTACCATACATGGGTCTGTATAAGATCCAGCATAACCTTCTCCCAACAACTCGAGTTATTGGGACCAACTGGTTTATGACATTTGGCAACGTGATCTCCCTCCGCCTCGTCGGTGGTGGTTGGAGTCGATCCAAGGAAAAGTCAATCATAGAGTCAGGCCAAATGCTCCTAATGTCTTCTCAATTTATCTCGAAGATGAATAAAAATGACCAGACTGAAATCACCGTTGACAATCAATCCAAGCAGAAGTAATCATTCAAGCTCTTAATACACAACGATCATTCAAAAAAAGGGGAAGTTGAGGAAGCTATGTGTTAGGAAGTGGGACCAACTGGTTTATGACATGGTAATAGAGCTGGTTTGTCCTTGAGGTCACGTGTTCAAGTCCTCACGACCGCTAATATTAACCGTTGTCTTTCAAACACATGGTATAACAGGCCTGTGCAAACTTCAAGCTCATGAGTCAGCTTTCGTTTGAGGGAACACGTAAGAAAGTAGTTAAGTATTATACATGGGCCTGTATAACGATGGTGACGGAGCAGCTAGTGACAGTTTCAGCTGCAGTAGGCCAGCAGCTCTTCAGCTTCTCGTGGAACATAGTTCGATTCTTTGACGACTTCTAAATACTTGTTAACGTGGTTGTAGTTAGCTTGTTCCTCATAGCAACTCTTCAAAAGGGCTTCCTTGTAATGATTGATGGTATACGCTTGCAGTTGGGATCCTCCATTCGAAGCTGCCTCACTCCCCACTTGACTGCCAACATTCATACCACAACTGCCTTCTTGATTGCTACTGCCACCTGCTCCGTTGCCAATCTAACAAAAATTAAGGTAGTGCGATTCGTTAAGCGTTAGTTATAACGCCCTGAACCTATCTCTTTTCGACATACCATACTGTATTGGTATATCCTGAAAACAAGTACCAAACTTCCGGCCCTAGTTGTTGATGGTCTTAAGAGGACTTAGCCAATCCTAATAAGTCGATAGAGTGGATTTACTTTAATAGTAGACTAAATAAGAAGGAACAACACAAGATTTATATTTTCGTCGAAGTTGATGAATGTCGAGACTAATCGACGAAGAGGAGCAACCTCTCAAAGTCTATTATATCAGTCTGCAAATCCTTAGTTACCTAGGCGGCGACCTTCAGCATATATACATGACCGCCCTTAATATATTTGTATTGGGGGAGTACGGGATTCGGGTGAACAGCATCTCACCGTACGGTGTGGGCGCGACGCCGATGGGGGTGGAGACGACCGGGATGGATGAGGAAGAGTTCGATGGTGTGTTCACGGCGATGGCGAATCTGAAAGGGGTGGCGCTCAAGGCGGAGGATGTGTCGGAGGCGGCGTTGACAATGGTGAGCGATCAGTCGAGGTATATTAGCGGGGTGAATCTTTTGGTCGACCGCGGTTACTCCTTGAGATCATGTGCTTGATTGTGCTCGATTTGCATCACACGGTTCTTAATTACTATTGTTGTTTTGCTATGTGGTATTTTGAATCTTTGCGGTGCCAAGTAAGTACACAATAATGCAAATGTCATATGTTTATTCTAAGTTTACTATAAAAGGAAAAAGTGATCATATAATAATATGTGTTAATATATTTGTATGAACTGAAATTTTCATATAATAGTATGGATTAATATATTTTGGGTCCAGAAAATCATTTTTCATTTTTTTATTCAAAATGAAAAAAATATATAAAAAATTTCAAGTGAAAGGTGCTGATTTTGGAGTGACGTGGTGTGTTGACCGTTAGTCAACGCATTTGACCGTCCAAGATAATGGTCAATTTTCGGGTTTGGTCAAGTTCGTTGTTTTGATGTATAGTTCAGGTCATGATGTTATAGATCGAAAAGATTGGTCAGAAGGTTTATTATGTATAAAGTTGAGGCCATACAAATATATTAACCCTAGTAATATAGGGTAACTATCATAAACGGTCACACAACTTGTCATTTAGTACAAAACGGTCACTAAAGTTTAATTTTTCACTTTTCAGCCAAACACATTTGAACGAGTAACAAAAAGGTTATTTCGTCCATTTACATCCAAAAATCTGTTAACTAAATACTGTCAGCATGCCACGTCAACAAAAAGTTAATTATAAATTAGGAATCCAATCAACTAAACCCAAAATGACACACTCAAACCAACTCAGGCCCGAATGGAACCCCAACCAGAAAACAATCATTTGTTTCCCCTCGCCCCTTCGTCCCGCAACTTTCTTCCTTTCCATCCCTTCCTTTCAAAATCTCCAGCCTCAATGTTGTTATCACCGCCGACTATTTCTCCCTCGCTTCTGACGCTAGAATCATTCACCTTACTCTCTCTCTCTCTCTCTCTCTCTCTCTCTCTCTCTCTCTCTCATTCGACCAGCCAGAATAGAAAACAATCAAAAGGGCGACAATATAGAGAGGGCGGAGGAGTACAGGTGACATGTTCGTCGCCATTCTCCGACCCCAGCTCTGGCTCGTCGTATTGCCTCAATTTGCGTCGGAGTAGTGATAAACCTCCACAACATGAGTTATGATTTGAGCACTGAATTATTATAAATGATTATGCTAAATATTGGAAAATTTTAATATCTACACACTCACTTATGAATCAATAATCGAACTATGAGTCATATTACTCGATTAAGATCTTGATACCACTGATTTGAGTATTTTATTTAAGAAACATGTTTTGCTGAAATAAGGATTAAAATTATTGGCCAAGTATTGAGAGTTTGGCTTATATTCACTGGAAAAAAACTAAAATATATTTTTATGAATAATTTAAATACCATAAAAACTTAGAATATTTTAAAAAACTTTAATATAACAATAAATGAATCAATGTAAATGATAAAATGAAACTGCATGGCCAATAGGCCAGGTACAAAGCTAGTTTGGAGAATTGTAGGGGGGAAGGGGATTAATCTACGGAAGGGAAGAGGGTATCGGGTGAGTTTGGACTCATGGCAAGGAACAAGAGAAGAGACCGAGTTTTTTTGTTGTGATAAACGAGAACGAGTTTTGATATGATGTTGGTAAATTATAATATGGTCTAATTCATAGTAGAGAGTATTGAGCGATCATTAGCAATGCCCATTACATCGTACAACAACCATCGACCAAGATCAGGGTCGCACACATTGAAGAGACGTGTGCCAAAATCAACAAAGTGACTCCTATTTGCTAAGAAATCAGCAACAAAATTAGCTTTCCTATACACATGGTTAATTCTAACCTCCCATTCTCTGTTAAGAAGAACATGAATCTGTCTAGCCAATATCCCATGGCGATGGTCATCATCAAAACACTTCATGGAAATATCGATGGCGGCAGTGGAGTCCAAATTAAGCTGGACTTTCTTGTAGCCTCTCTCCCACGTAATCTGAAGACCTTCAATTGCCCCCTTAAGTTCTGCACTTGTGATGGAGCAACAACCAAGGTTGCTAGTGAAGGTGTCAGTACATCTTCCCAGGTGGTCTCTCAGCAGTCCTTCTACAGCAGCTTTCCCAGAAGGTGATACGACTGATCCATTAGTTTGGATCTGAATCCAACCAGCTTCAGGCGGTTTCCAGGACACCGGTTCATTCTAGTATTTCCTCTTTGAAGAGAAGCTATCAACCTCGGGCCTTCGTTGAGCTTGCTTAATGATGTTAAGCCAGGCATCCACTCTGCAGCGAAGACTAAGCTCATTATAAGTTCTCCCATCCATGACTTCCTCATTGCGCTGCTTCCAGAGATTCGAGCAGATAACTCCGAAGTCAACTCCTTTTTCTGCGTGGAGAAGGTTCGAAAGAGCCAATCCTGAAGTTACTGTTGGCACTTGTCATGGTCAGCTTGCCTCGAAATTTCTCCCAAATCCTTTTTGCCTTGTCACAGGTTCGCAGGATGTGCTCAATTGATTCCTCACAGTCTCTTCAATGTTTGCAGTTGTTGTTGGTTGAGATGTTCATTCTTGCTCGTTTTATATTGGTGAAGAGTCTGCCGTGGAGGACAAGCCACATAAAGTGCTTAATCCTGCTTGGTTCTTTCCACCTCCATAATGCTTTCCAGGTTCCTTCTTCTTCTTCTTCTTCTTCTTCTTCTTCTTCTTCCTCCTCCATATTGGCAGCAAGATAATAATCTGACTTAAGTTGAAATCTTCCATCTCGCTCCAGACTCCAGATCATTTTGTCCTCCTCCAGATCAACACTTGGTCTCTCCATTCCTGCAACAAGCAAAAGTTTATCCTCAGGGAGGAGTTCTTTCAGTTCATCCCAGTTTCACTCACCCCCTTCTGTAACCCAGTAGGCCACATGAGTCTCTTTCTCCTCTTCAGTAATTTCTTCGGTCAGGAAGTCTTCAAGAACCAATCCATTCTCGATCCAAGGGTGCCTCCAATAGCTGGTCGATTCATCATTCCTGATGCTCCAGCAGGAGGCCTCCTTCATCAGAGGCATAACTTTCACCACGACTCTCCAGAGGCTAGAGTGATTGGTGTTCTTCATAGAAATGATGTCACCATTCCTCTGCTTATAGTACTTGCCCTGTAAAACCTGAACCCAAAGATTAGTGTCGTTGTTCAGCATTTGCCAAGTCAACCTGAACATGTAAGCTTTATTCAAACAACGAACTGATCTAAGACCAAGACCTCCCAGTTTCTTAGGTAGACAAATTCTCTCCCAAGACACCAGATGGGGTTTCCGTTTTCCATCCATAGAGCACCAAACAAATCCATTAATCTTTGTATCAATCTCATCACAAACAGAAACATGAATGGGGGTTGTTTGCATAGCATACGTAGGAATGGCATTAAGAGCAGATTGGGCAAGGGTGACTCTTTCCAACTAATGAAAGAGTTCTGGCTTTCTAGGAGGTGTAGCATTTAATGATGAAGAATGATGTCTAAATTTGACTTGGAGATGTTTTAAAGTATGAGGACATGATGACTCTCTCTTAGTGCTTTGTTTTCAATTACTTTTTTCTTATATCTAATTATTGATGTTTGGCTTTTTGTGTTTGGAGATATGGAGAAATGATAATATTAATACAGCTACGTGGCGACCCCGAAATAAACATATGGAGGCAAAATCCTAGATATCCTCGATACTTTTGCAGAAAACACATCTCGCCACAAAAACCCGCTATCCTCTTAACCAACAAGAATCTCCACTTCCGATCAGAAAGCCCTGACACCACGGCCACCGCCATGCCGACAGGCGAGCTACGCCCTCCCTCCCACCTCTCGGCGCCGCCGCCGCATCCCACTGGTCCGGCTACCCCCACCGCCGCCGCAGCAGCCTCCGACGACGAGGACTGCCTATGGGCACAGATCAAAGCCGAGGCCCGGCGGGATGCGGAAGCCGAGCCAGCTCTAGCTAGCTACCTCTACTCCACAATCCTCTCCCACTCTTCCCTCAAACGATCCCTCGCCTTCCACTTGGGCAACAAGCTCTGCTCTTCCACCCTCCTCTCCACCCTCCTCTACGACCTCTTCCTCAACACCTTCTCGTCCGACGCTTCCCTCTGCGCCGCCGCCGTCGCCGACCTCCGCGCCGCCCGCGTCCGCGATCCCGCCTGCGTCTCCTTCTCCCACTGCCTCCTCAATTACAAGGGTTTCCTCGCTTGCCAGGTAATTCTTTCGATTGCCGGCCGATTCGTACAAATGAAATCCCTAATTTTTTCCCCCTTTGGTTTCTTTCGCAGGCGCATCGAGTGGCTCACAAGCTGTGGATGCAATCCCGGCGGCCGCTAGCTCTGGCGCTTCAATCCCGAGTGTCCGACGTTTTCGCCGTCGACATTCACCCGGCGGCGAGGATCGGGAAGGGGGTTCTGTTCGATCACGCCACTGGCGTGGTCGTCGGCGAGACGGCGGTGATTGGTAACAACGTGTCGATCCTGCATCACGTTACCCTTGGTGGAACGGGGAAAGCGTCCGGCGACCGTCATCCGAAGATCGGCGACGGAGTCCTGATAGGCGCCGGGGCGACGATCCTAGGGAATGTCAGCATTGGAGAAGGAGCGAAGGTCGGGGCAGGGTCCGTGGTTCTGATCGACGTGCCTCCGCGGACCACCGCCGTGGGGAACCCAGCGAGGCTAGTCGGAGGGAAGGAGACGCCGTCCAAGCACGAGGAATGCCCAGGAGAATCCATGGATCATACATCATTCATCTCGGGCTGGTCGGATTACATTATCTAGAGAATTCCGAATTGCCTCCCGAGTTTCCCTTCTATTTGAGGTTAGTCAGTATTCAATTTCATTCGCAGTACATTTATGAATTGAGTTCATGATGATACAGTCAAACCATGGTGAATGTACAATAGAAAACAGAGGAGGTATGGTATATCATATTTTGTTGAGTTTGGCAAGGAGGAAGACCGTGGCTGATGTGATCCCCGGGATGAAAACATCGTTGGGGACGGCTGTTGGAGCTATCCTTTGTTTGATGAACAGGGCAGCTGCGGGGACTCCGAATATGTAGAGGAAGATGTTCTTCGATCCAAACCCCGTGAAGCCTGCTCCGATGATGATCTCTTCCAGCACCTTTTGGAACTCCTCCCTTGACAATGCCTTCTTCTTTTTGTTCTTGCTGTCATCTTTGTAGTGAGCCTGCAAAGTTTTTGTGATGCAGGGTTATTATCTACTAATGGAACAGAAGAAGGTGAAAGAAGAAACAAGGATAGAGAATAATTCAACATTGTAGACTTGTTTGAGCTTCTCTTTGTCGGGGACTCGGAACTGTGTGCTATTGAGCTTCTTGTTGATCTCCCTGTTGGAAACGAGAGCAGAAGCTTATGATAGAGTGGGGGAGTGGAAATGGACCTAGAGAAGATGAAGGAGGGGGGTCGGGATGAAAGAAGATTACTCGACAGTTTTGCAGACAGCGGCGTAGAAGTCAGCTGAGCCCAGTTCCTGGTTAGTGTCTGTGAAATACTTGTCGTAGCATTCTTCAATGGCAGCAGCTATATCTTTGTCCTTGTTATGCTCACTTCCTGCAATCACAAGTAGGTTTGGCTATAGTAGTTACAGAATTAGTAAAGAGAGTAGAGGGAGGCCATAAATAGGGATGGTGCAAATCAGTTCAGATTTTCCCCATTCTGGACATGTTGTAACTTAAATTGTGTCGATAGATCTCCTTGCACTATATGAAAGCAACGGCCTTTCGCCACGTGGTTCGTAGGAACAGAATGGAAACAGCGTTCTAAGGCTTTTCGTCAGAAAGAGAACAGGAAAACAGAGCTTTCTAAGCCACAGCTTTCGATGATCATCATCTCCTCTTCATGTTTTCTCGATGCTTACTGCTCTGCAACGCCGCCATGCATTTGACTGGGCGTTCTAAGCATATAAAAGGGGAAGAGAAGACATAAAAAGAAGGGAGAGAGATGGAGGAAAGAAACACAGAGCATACCAGGAGCCAATTTCATCATAGATTGACCCATCTCTTCATCAACTAGTGAACCCAGCAGCGGTAATTCTGAAACAAACGATGGCTGCTGTTTATTGAGGAAAGGGGCTGGCTGCCTTGTACGTGTGCTATAATAAAGGAATAAGAGGATGGTGGAGAAGTATTCTTCGCTGGGGCGGCAGAGTATCAATCTTGTGCTGCCTTGCGAAGGAGGCAACGCTGCAAACAAGCTTTCAGCTGGCTGATATTTAAGATTGCCAAACCAAACTCAGTTTTGAGAAGCTGAATTTTGATTCAGTGGTTGAATTACAAGGTGAAGAGCACGGATGAAGGCCATCGCTAACACGAATGCAACCATTTTCAAATCCTCTGCAAGGTCATTTGGAAGTTGTGATCTTTTTGCAAGATTGTTACTATATTGATTATAATGCATCTTTTTTTGATTTTTTTAGCAGGTACAATATATTGATTGTTTATGTACGTGACATAAATTATCACTCAAAATAAGTTATTGTTATATCTCAACTTTTAATTGAGATTGTTTAATTGAGATTGTTTTATCTCAACTTTAACTAATGTGACAACCACAATCACAAATATCAAACGTTGTATTTTACAATGCATCGAATTCGACAATACAGTATAATATTATACATGTATTTACAACAATATATATAACAATCACAATTTTCAAACCACCCCTACATCTCCAAAATTAATAAGCAATTGCCAATGGTGGAAACCATACAATTTCTTAATACATTATATTGGAGTTGCTAGAAAAAGTAATTGAAAAAGAAAAATATCCTAGGTGGCAATGCTAATGAAATTTCTCATTTAGAAATCTTGCTAAATTAGAAAGTCATTTTGCATGCCTTGCAATTGGTAATCAAAATGTCACATTACCTTAGCAATTGGTGAAGGTGAGAGATGAAAATGGTCTAACCATGCATAATCCTACACACTATTTATGGAAGACCTCAAACTTTTTCGCTGATGAATTTTAGCCAACAATTTCTCCTTTATTTGCACAAATAAGATTAATTGTGCTCTTTAAAATGAAATATACTTTGATATGTTTTAGAACAACAAAAATGAGACATTTCATTTATTACCAGTTCATAAATGTGGTAATGCTTTGTAGTACATAGGGATAAGATTATGTCATGTGGTATTGAAGTGTATCATGGTGGTATGAATATTTCAGAATGTAGAATGGATGTATACATGATAGTGGGTATATACTAATGAACATTTACCACTTTTCATGACCGTATTTTTTGTCTTGGAATTATTTCTTCTAGAAACTTGTAGATTCAATAAAGAACCATGAAGGCATGAACTCGTTCCATCTGAACACAAATTTGCCAAATTGGAGATAAAAATGAAGGTTGTACCAGAGTGGTAATGAGTAGTATGAGTGGTACGCAATTTTTTTCACACAAAATAGATTGAAAATGGATATCGTTTTGTAGATCACAACGAACTCGTTCTATCTGCGCATAAATTTTTGAAATCCAAATTAAAACAAAGAAGATAAAAGCAATTAAAAAAGTTGGAAAATAAAAACTCTTTTAGTCTCATCATTTAGATCTAGCCCCATTAAAATCGATGGCCCAAATCCTATGGTTACTCACTTATCTTGGACCGCATTCCTTAGTTTATGATATGCATTCATTGTAGTGGCTATCTTTCACAATATAAATATATAAATAAATATTTAATAAATATAATGAAAATTAATAATGTCAAAATAATTCATTACCCTCTTACCCCCAGGGGCCTCGCTGTCACGTTTGGTTCGAACTACTTTTCTTTTCTGGAACGGATAGCTTTCTGCCCAAGTGCCCCCGAATCATTTTACCTTGAACGAATTTCCCTCGTGCCTTCCGTCCTTTACTATTACAAAATAACTAAATACATAATAATTTTTTTATGGGAATCTGTAACCAACTACATAATCATTATTTTCATAAACAATCACGATGCGTTTTCATATTATGAAAGAAACGCAAATTACATTCGTTGTCTACTCTTTTAAGTAAGTATCTTTCAATGTATCTCACTAAACAATTATTAGCAAAATGGTTGTTAATTTGACTTTGTAGTTTGTTCTTAATATAGCGCAAAACTAAAATACTCTTTCTACACTTGCAATTGCAACATATAGAATCAAAACTAATTTTATTAGCAAATAAACATACACATATAACTCGATTGATTATGATTTTATTCCAAATGGGAATTTTGTTTACAATGTAATAGATTAAATTTTATGTTAATATAAGAATCAAAATGAGTTGTTGTGTAGTGACATAATTTTCTTATCTCATAACCACTTCAAGGTGTGGACTTCGATCCTTAGTATAGATATATGTGGAATATTTTTTTTCCAAAACAATACATGCATTGTTTTACACAAAACAATACAACTTTTTTTTTTGTATTGTACACAATACATGTATCCAATAAATACAAATCTAACAATAACAACTTTCAAACCATTAACAAGAAAAGTTAACTGTTTTATGGGTATATCCCTTTTCCTCTCTCTAGAGTTCAAAACGCTCTCTCTTCTCTCTAAACGTCCCTTCTCAACTCCTCCTTGAGTTGCTGTCGGCGGCAACCGGTGGCGGCCCTCCATTCGTCTTTCCTTTTAAATGCTCATTATTCCGTTTCTGCGGTTTACTTTTCTGTTTCCATTCCCCTTTGTGGGTCTTCCATGTCCCCTTGTGGGTCTTTTCCATTTCTGTCTATTGAGATGATTCTCTTCTCCTTCAAGTTTTGTTCTGATTTCCAGATCTTTGATGCTTTAAGCATTTTTGTCTAGTTGAAGAGGGGGTTGTTGATTTCTCTCCAACTCATTTTCTTTCCTTGAATCTTTCATCTACCTCCTTGTTTCATCCAATAGATCAGGATGATCTGGAGATGCAGTAGTCTTCCTTTGTGAATAGCCTCAGATGCGGTTCTTGGTTTCGAAGATGGAGACTCATCACTCAGACATCGTAGCATGCTTTGATTATGGATTCTGCCAAGTCCTTCAGTGGTTGTCACCTTATTGAGGGTGTTGTTTTGTCTTCACCCATGGCTCGTCTCTGCTAGGATTTCAGTTTCCCTATTTTCCTGGTTGGCAACTTCTTTTGGTTTCGGCCAAGTTTTTTTCTTGGCAGCGACAACGATCTCTTTGTGGGTTTCATTTTAGATAAGGTTAGGAATGGTTTTCCTCCGTGTGGGCCTCCATTTTGAGCATTCTAGTGTACTTTCTGGTTTGTGGTGGGCTTACATGTTTTGGGTCTATCTTTTTACCTTATTTGATTTGATTGTCTTTCCTAGGACTCTCGTCCAGAAATCTATAATTGTTTCTCGAAAATTGTGTTCCTAAGAAATCAAGAAGAGTTTGATTCCTTCTTCCAAATGTCATCTATGTTTTCCAAATTGGTAGGACTCGCAAATTTAGAATAACAAAAATTATAATTCATCTGATACCTAGTATCACATTTTTCAAGCAAGCCTTATATTTGATCAATTCCAATTGGGTTAATAGCATTTTATGCCCCTTTATTATTGCATAAATGAGAGTTTCAATATCCAATGATGTAAATACTGCCTACCTTGTGAAAGTCGCTCTCACTGAGAGGCGGGAACTGAACCTCTCGCTGATTTCGGCCGCCATAGCTAGCTAGTCCTGCTTTCTCCACTCTAGAGGCGAAGGAACACCGGATTCCAAGTCGACGCCGAGTCCGTCAATGCCGCTGAGAGCTCTTGGAAAGCAAGGTATTCGCTCTGCAATTCTCAAAGCAACCAAAAATTTACGAGACTGTCTAATGGAGATCAAGCGGCGCTTGTCGTGAATTAAAAAGTGAAAAGAAAGGGGCAAATTAGTTACTTGCGAGTCACGGAATGGATGGAGTAGTTAACGGAAGGTTAGGTTGGTTATGTATAGATAATATAAGGGTATGTTTGTGAAAAAAATAATAAAGAAATATATTTGTTAATTTACAACAGTAAAAGAATATAAAATACTATTAGCTCATTCCAATTAATATTCAAATTGAATGCAAATGCATAACCCAAATCCATAATAATCCTTACTCCCAAGAAATTAAAAAGAGAAGAGGAACAAATAAATCTGAAAAAGGTGAAAATGGTTCTCCGGTTCTTGACGACACGTGGACCAATAAACTAATTAGCCGAGCTAGTTTTTGAGAAAAAAGTGAAAATCGCAGCTGGCTGGCTTATTCTTCAAGAAAATATACGTGATTTCTCATTTATGCCCCCAACTCAACAGCAGTCCATATAAATATCTCCCGTTTAGAACTCCACTTTCTTCATCGACTTGTGCCGCCCTTCGCTTCCGAAAGCTCACTGCCTTTTTCCCGCCGATCGCCTTCTGCTTTCGTTTGCTCTCTCACCGGGACGTCTCGCCATGGGTCGCAAAAGCAGCAGCCGTAGCTCCGGCGGAGGTAAATCTTCTACCCGAAGCATTTTCTTCGTTGAACTTCCGGTTTCCTCTGAGCTTCTCCGTTCCATGGCCTGCTTTCATGAGTTATCGTTCGTCGCATTGCTGGCCGCTGCGTTACTCTTGCGTGTTAGCTACAATGCGGTCTATTTTCGACTCATATGTACGCTCTGGAGAGAAAATCTGAGTCGATCTGTTTTCGTTTTCGCTAGATCTTGGTGTGTGTACGGAAGCTCATGAAAATTTCGCTTCCTCGCGATGGAAAACTGTGCGATTATTGCTTGTGGTTTTGTCGATTGTCGAACTTCACTCTGATTTTGCGTCGTTCCGTTTACATGGACGAGATCTGTTGTATGTCTTACCTTTTCTCTAGTCGCGTTGGTAGATTGCTTAGGGTTTCGCTGAAGTGTAGCAGCTGGCCGTACAATCTCTAGCGCTAATCTGATGTCCGTTTTCTCTTTTCTGGCGTTTCAGGTTCGCGTTCTTTGTTCAGCAAACCTCCTGCCAAGAAAGGTTATCCTCTAGTTCATGGATTTCGCTTATCTGAACCCAACTTGCGATTGTTTCTTTTCCGAGAGTATCCAAGTCCTTAAGCTTTTGCTAGGAGAACCTGTTAGCTAAGCTAGTGAATGTTGAACGATCATAACATGCTCTTGAGAAGAAGGCCTCGCGATTTCCTTACGATTTACCGTATGTGTGGTCGCAGTGTTGAATTCTGCTTGAAGTGTGCTGTATCCTGTAATGATTGTTTGTCATTTGGCTACACACTTGTGCTGGTGCTGGTTTCCTCTCGATCGCATATTTTGTGTTGGCTGATAATGAATGCCTTGTTTGTCTTACTGTAGCTGCTTCTCATCCGGTCCATAAGTCCAGCTCCACCGGATCTGTGCTGGGAGGAATCGGAGGTGCTATTGCTGATGGTGAGTTGATCTCCGATAATAATCAATTTCGCCAGGACAATAATAATAATAATAATAATCATATGCCTAGAACCTGACTGTGAAATTGCCTGTGTGATGACAGGACTGGGCTGGGGAGCTGGAACTGCAATCGCTCACAGGGCTGTGGATGCTGTCTTTGGTCCTCGAACCGTGAGGCAGGAAACTGTTGCCGCCACGCCGCAGCAGACTGCTCCTACTGCCGACGCCAATGCTTGTGGCTTGCACTCCAAGGCTCTGCAAGATGTGAGTAATTGATGATCATGTGGATCGATTCGTGATACGTGTGATTTCTTGCTGGCAATATAGCTGTGGTGAATCAATCTCTCCTCATACTAAACTCATTTCTTTGTGTTATTGATTTGATGAACTGCAGTGCTTGAACAACTTTGGGACGGACGTGGGCAAGTGCCAGGTGTACATGGACATGTTGGCTGAATGCCGCAGTGGCTCTTCTTCTTCGTCGTCTGGAGGGATGCTGTCTGCTTGATTCTGACGAAAACCTGCTTCCAATCTCTCTCGGGGGAGTAGCAAAAGTATCAAAGTAGTAGGAGTCGTAGTAGTAGTTAATGGAAGTCTTGGCTGTTATGTTGGGATGGTTTGATGTTTGGTTGTTGAAGCGAAAGGCTTTGTTTTGGGATGATTCGGTCGGTTTAGACTTTTGATTAGGATTCTATGCCTAGCAGTGGGTATGGATTAATGGTTGAACCGAAACTATTGTGTTCTGCTCGGTTTACTGGTGAACCGTGATGAATCTTTTGTCAATCTGCTGCCTAAATGTTGATTTGTTTGCCAATGATCAGGGTTTTGGGTTCAGCAATGGTTTAGCTCACTGTCATTTAATTATTAGTTTATTAATTAATGAACTAATTATGAATCTAGGGCTAAACACTGCTGACTGAGTCGTCTTATCTTTAAGGATTCTTGACGTGGGCTTCTTTGAGGAAGGTGAAAGGAGTCGATGCTTTTTGGTTATGTTGGAAAGATGTCCTCATTCCTACACATTTGAATACCACTCTAGCTTGTCTCTCAGCTGATGTGTTGGATGGAATTTGCGTACGCTTTAATGGAACCGAAAAATAAAAGGTCAAAGGTGATGAACATTGAATAGAGATGAATTTGTCATATTATAACCCAAATGTGTGTTCTGTTCTGCCCCCTAAGTCCTAACCATTCGTTTCTGAGTTACAATTTCCAAATATTAAACGTGGTATGTGCATGGAGTATGATTTTTTATGAAGGGGTTCTCTGTTATAAAGTTGTATTCTTTCTGGCGCAGGTTATAAATTGTTAACTTATTGCAATGTGCACATGCAATGGATTTTGGGACTAAGTATGGCTTTTAAACACACGGTTTGTAAAATTTTATTGTAAAGATAGTATATGATTTTATCGATATGAAATGATATAACCATAATAATTTAAAAATGATATAAGCATAAAATATCAAATATCACTTACTTTTCCAGTATCACCTATGATATAGTTTTACAGTTTCGAGATTTTTTTTTTAGTTTAGAGCAATCTCTGGTTTTCTAACAAAACAAATAGCAACTGAAATTGAATGGGTAATCTAGTTCGACATAAGTATGAGGAAAAGGAATGAATCAGGAAGGAATGCCCATCACACAATGTGACTAGGATAAGTAGGAGACTAGATTATTATAACAGATGGTATTTGGACCGTGATCAGACAGGGGCTTACACTCCTTAATACTAGCACTCTTTTAAGACTAACTCCAACCTTAATAAGTTATTTTTATCTTCTCGGACTCTTATAAAATACCATTTTTAACTTTTCAAAATACATTTTTTACTCCAATTCTACAAAAAGCCAAATTTAACTTTCCACCTCTTTTTTTTCAATTTATTTCAATAAGTCATATTTAGTTTCCTCTAATTTTTTATTCTTGCTTTAATCTTTTTATAGTTAGTTATTAATTTTGAAAAACAAAATTGATGTAATTTTTTTTAGTAAAAAATATTCAGAAAATTAATCGTTAATTTGTTACCGTTAACTTAGGGACCACTCCAAATATGATCATTTTTTATAATCGTTACTTTAAGATCGTTTTTTGCCATTTTGTGTAGCATATGGCTTTATAAATGCCATTTTTCATCAACTTATCTGAAACTTCTCCCCATTTTTAAAACAAACACATTCATCATGAGTATCACAGATAGCTCATCGTCTGGAGGACGTGAACAAACCGAAGAGTACGAAAGATGTCACCACCTACGTTTGAGTTTAATCGGTCGGAGGCTGGCTGAAGGTTCATCAAGTCGACATCAAACTACAAGCCGAACTCACAAGTATACAATGCTCGCATATTTAGAAGGCGCTATCAAATGCAGCCAAGGTTATTCCATCGCAATATGGGTGACATTGGGAGGTTTGAACCCTCATTTATGCTAAGGCATGATGGCCTTGGTCAAGTATCACTATCTCCCGATCAGAAGCTTACTGGTGCGATGTGCATGCAAGCATATGGTTCTCCTACTTATCAACTTGATGAGTATGTTCATATTGGTGAGAGCACCTTGATGTCTTTCTTCATGAATTTTTGCAACAACATTATCAACATATATAGGGCCACATACTTTCGCGAATCAACTTCTGCTGATTTAAGGATCTTACTTCGTAAAGTCTTAAGTCGTGCCTTTTCTGGGATGATTAGATCAATTGACTACATGCATTGGGAATTGAGGAATTGTCCAAGTGGGAAGGACAATACACTGGCCATATGCATAGGCCAACAATCATTTTTGATGCGGTGGCCTCATATAACACATGGATATGACATGCTTTCTTTGGGTCACCTGGATGAAAACGACATAAATTCTAAGGTGTTTGATTGTATTGTCAATTGAAGTGCTCCACATGTACGATATGAGGTAAATGGTCATGCTTACGATTGATGTTATTACTTGGCTGATAGTATTTATCCCTCATGGTCAACTTTATGAATACCTTCAACAATTCAAGGTCAAACAAAGAGGCCTTGTTTGCTAAACATCAAGAAGCTTATTGTAAAGACGTAAAACTGACATTTGGAATCCTCCAAATAAGATGTAAATTATTAATGGCCATTCGAGAGCTTGAGATGTTGAAAAACTTAATAATATAATGTTGACATGCATTATATTACACAACATGATAATCGACGATGAGCAAGTTAATTCTGACGATGAGATGGAAGATGACCTTGATTATGAGGTCCGTGAACAACCTCAACCAGTCAACCTACACATTCAAACTTTGATTACTTGGCTAGAAAACAGGCTTCGCTCTTAAAAAACACATCATTCGCTCCGAAATGATTTGGTTGAGCATCTTTAAAATTTGCATGGTAATAACTAGTCTTGTTTAATGGTAGATTGTATTTCAAGTTGCTCGGTAGTTTGAATTTCAAGTTTCGATATGTTATTGTATTTCATGTTTCAACAAAACTTGTCTTGTAGTTAGTCAACATGTTTCAATAACACTAGTTTTTATTACTCATGGAAATAACAAAGTTCAAGGAGTACAAATAGCACATGAAAATAAAAAAAGTTCAAAGTACACATAATACATGAAAATTACAAAGTTCAAAGACAACACACAACACATGAAAACAGTAAAGACAATAGAGTACACATAAGACCTTCTGTCAATAATCCATAATAGGAGAGAAAAAAACGATCTCTCTCTTTCCTGTTTCGCACACGATAGAAATGATGGCATGCAGATTAGTTATGGTGAGACCAAGAGTCAAAGGTCTTCTATCTAATCCTTCACCATTCGCTTAACAGATCTCAAATTCCAATCCAAGGAATTTACTGTTCAGTGAACAAGAAATCAAGGATAATGGAAAGCAATGGCGAATCCATAGTTTCACTTAAGCATGCACAGGGCATGAAGCCACCAACACTGTCTCAGTGGAACATATGACGTTGGAGGCGAAACTCCCGTTATAGCCGCCACATTAGGCAGTGGCTGCAGAGATGGCGAAGAAGACATAGACTTCGATGCTAGCGGCAGAGGAGAAAATGATTGGAAGGAGGACGATTTGAGTCGGATCAGTCCCTTATACAGGGTAAGTTACAACTATGATGAGTTGATAAAATCAAACTACTGTACTAGGTGACTTTAAAATCTTAATAATAAAGTAATTGACGAAGGACTGGATAAACGATTGGGCATTAGGCGAGTTATTGATTTCCACAAACTAATTAAGAGAAATTAGTAGAGGTAAATCCCACCTTATCGGAGTAGTGCCGCTATCAGTAAATTATATTTAATTAAGCAATAAACGTAGGGAGATGGGGCTGGGCGAGCGGTCTAAACAGAGACCATTATAGGTGGTATTAAATTGCCTCTTACTATTCGAACGGTGGGTGCTTCTGTCGACATCATCGTTTTCATCCAATACCAGGTTGTTAGAGTTTAGCTTCGAGTCGCCTTTAGGATACGAGTATCGACAAGAAGAGTCGACAACGAGTGGCAGTCAAATTTAAGTATTTAATAATCTTTCTTTTTAACTGTTAGTGACTCATCGATTCGGGTTGATATGGACGTCGAGTCTCCAACAAAAATATATAAAAACTAACCATTTGTGACTCATCATTTGTGGCTAATGTGGATGGCATATCACCAACAAGAAATATAAATAACTCTCCCTTAATAAAACAAAGTAAGGAATTAATTAATTTATCTATTTCAATTTTTCCGCTCTTTCCGTAGAACAAATCCAATCCTAGGCTGCGAAGGAGACTTTGTTAAAGTCATGCTTTTTGTTATCAGTGACCCTCTGCCCCAAAATTGGATAAACATATGACTAGATTATGGTGGGGTATACTCCGGAATGGAACAAGACACACTGGGTGTCCTGGAGAAATTTATGTCGGAGTAAATTTGATGGAGGATTAGGATTTCGACAATTTTAGGATATTAAGGCATTGTTGGCTAAGGTGGCATGGCAGATCCTGCACGAACCAGAGTGCTTATTGGCTCGAGTCTTAAAAGGAAAACTCTTTGTCGTAGGGGTTATTCTGGGTGATAGAGAGGGTTCTTGTCCTTCGTGGGGATGGCATAGTATCTTATGTGGGCGGGACCTATTGAGAAAAGAGTTATACTACCAAGTAGGGTCGGGTGATGCCATTTGGGTTTTGGGTGACTCATGGGTTCTGGTTTTTCTGGTAAAGAGTTGTCGATTTTGGCTTTAGCGCCACTGGATGAGCTGTCGATGGTGAGTGATTTAATTATTCCGGGGGAGGGGTCTTGGTGTGAGGACTGTTTGGATCAGTGTTTTCTGAAGGAGGTGAAGTTGCAGATAATGAGTATTCCTTTATCGAGACATTCAGTTCGGGATAAGCTGATTTGGGTAAAGGAGGTTGATGGTTGCTATTATGTTAAGTCAGGATATCATACTGCAGTCCAGATTAAGCGAGGATTGTCAGGATGAAAGGACGGAGTGTCCTTTTGGGATATGAGTTATTGGAAGAAGATGTGGAGTTTCCCAATTCCGCCTAAACAAAAGTTTTGTGTGGCAATTGATGCGTCATATTTTGCCTACTATGGAAGCATTGAGCGAGAAGGGTGGAGTAGGACCATTTAGATGCCCGGTGTGTTGGGGTCCGCTAGAGTCTATAGAGCATCTATTCTTGACCTGCAGGGTGGCTGAAAAACTATGGATACGGAGTGGTTTGATGGGAGAATGATAAGGTTTGGAAGGGATGATATGGCGTTGGTCTCTCGCCGTATGCTCTAGCGGATCGTAGAACTAGACAGGATAATGCAGATAGTGGCATTGTTATGGAGGATCTAGAAATCTAGAAACTGGGTAGTTTTTTTATCATTTCCAATATTCTACAGATGCATTGCTACGCCAATATTATAATAAGGTGAGGGAATGGGTGGAGTTTCCTGGACTCAGGGTTGTGGGTAATCTTATTATAGCACACAAGATGTTGGAGAGGAGTCTCACAACGCCTTATATTTGTTATGTTGATGGTGCGGTAAGGATGGGGTCCCATGCCTATGGTGGGATTGTGGTATGGGATCAAGAGGGGAGTGTGTTATTTGTGCAAGGCTTTATATATGCAGGTTTGACGGATCCATATGTGAGTGGGTTAATGGCTTTCCGGCACACATTTCGATGGTGCTCTTTGAAATGTCTTACAGAAGTCTCATTCCTGGATGATGCTCAAGTTGTTATTTCCAAAATCAGGGATCACAAAACTTGTGATGAACAAGGTTGAGCTATCTTAGAAGAGATATCCCAACTCATGCAATTATTCAGTGTTTTCGGTTGGATTTCGAGGCAGAGAGACCAATCCGGCAACTCATTTGGTAACCAAAAGGACTCTTTCTTTGTTTCCAATACGAGTTTGTGGGTTTGATTTTCTGGTTTGGCTTTTAGGTGGTGTAAACATTGGTATCTCTTTCTCTTGATAATACAAATGAACTTTTGGCAAAAAAAAATAATAATAATAATAATTCCAATCCTCATATTGGAGAATTATTTTTTTTGTCAGTGACAAAATATCTTGTCAAAATAGACCAATAAATTTTTAAGTTTGGAATTTTTTTAATGTTTTAAAGTGACTAAATTACACATTTGGTCACTCAAATTACATAAATCTTTCACGTTTGCCACCCAAATTACTTTTCTTTCTTATTTGCCACTAACTTTACGATTCATTCACCATTGATCACCGGTCGTTAGTCTCCTTCAAGCTCTATTAACTCCATTAGTTTTTTTGTTACGTGGCAAATAGATGTATCGTTAATTTAATGACATGTCAATTTTTAAAAATAATGAACATTCAGTCATTCACCTTCGTCTTCTTCTTTCTTCTCGCTCTCCTGGTATTTAAATACCCATTCACCTTCGCCTTCTCCTTTCTTCTCACTCCTTGAGTTTCTCTGAAGAAAAACATTAACAATGGTGGCTGCGGCGGGAACAATGACCAGAAGCCGAATCCGAACAATGGCGGCGACAGAGAGGTGAAGCACCAGCACGAGAAGAAGAAAGGCGGCAGCAACAATAGCACAGCCATTGCCAAGAAAGACGAGAAGGAATCCAACGAGTAGAAGCAAGAGAGTAGCGAGAAGGAGAACGGGGGTGAAAATCACCATTGGTCACTATACTTGCTTAATTAATTTATGTTTACCACTAGACTCGTTTTTAATTCAACTAAACCACTAAAATCAATTTAAAAACTCACCGTCCATCACTTTCGTTACAACTTAACGGAAACCATATTAACGGTGCTGACAAAGCACTAACGATGGTGACGTGGCGACACCTAGTCCCTATTATTCCACATAAGCAGTTTTATTCCTTAACCAAACTCTACCAAAAAAGAATCCGAAACCCTAATTGTTTTCCCTATTATTCTATACCCCGCTGTCCATCTTTCCAAAAGCTGCTGCTCATCTTCCCCAAAAGCCACGGTTGAGTTCTACTTTGCACCGGCAAGCCACAATGCCGCCGAACAAACCAACAAAACGAAGCAACAGAGGGAATCTTGATTATGGTAAGTACTTAGTGGAATTAAATTTGCTTATGATTTTGGTGTGGGGTACCGGAAGTCAGAGGAGTGCTGCCGTCTGCCGAGGCCGGCGCCACAACCCATGATCGTGGTGATTGACGACGCGGACTTCCCATTTGAGAGCTTCGTGGATTTTGTTGAATGCCGAGGCTTGACGATGGAGGACTGCTATATCCAGGCAGCGGCGTTGGTGGAGTCCAGGTGCATCAAGAAAAGGATGCCTTTTGTTGAATGCTAGAAGGAATACTTCTTCTACTAAGGGAATCAAGGCGCTGATCAAAGTGCCGGTGCTGTAGATAGATAAAGAATCAGAACAAAAAAATGAAAGTGAATGGACCACTTTTATTCTACTCTCTGTCTTGTATTTTTGTCTTCTTGCATATTGTCTCTACTAACAACAAGAAAAGGAGAAGCTAAAGATAGAAAGGTGTGTATGGGATTGAAAAAGTAGACACGTAGCAAGAGGGTGGGGCCATGGACCACTTTTAATCTTTTCAATGTTATGTTGTTTTGTCTTCTTGTGTATTTTTGTCTCTAGTAATAACAATCAAACTATTGTTTTGCAGACGATGCATTATCTGAAAGCAGTGATGGGAGTTCTGATTATGAGGTACTTTTTGAGGATAGTGATTACGATTTGATGGATAAGGAAGATGATTTGATATATGATAATTATGTCGATGAAGAAGTAGAAGCAGGAAATGGATTTGATTTTCAAATGGAAGGTGCTTCAAATCCGTAATCACCTATGGCTCATGATGGTGACGGAGAGCTTACTCATGTGGTTGAGGATGAAACTGAAATGAAAGAGGAATTTCCTGAGTTCAATGCAGAAGCAAATATGAATGATCCAGTATTCTTTGAAGGTCTCAAGTTTAAATCCTTTGATGAATTCAAGGAGGCGGCAAAGCATTATGCAATAAGACATAAAAAAAACATTCGGTTTAAGCATAATGACAAGCTGAGGGTCCATGCTGTTTGCCAAGATGGTTGTCCATGGGAAATATGGGTCTCCTACATGTCTAGTGAGAAGACACCTCAAATCAAGACATGTTGCTTACATCATAGTGAGCATTGCAGAAAAGTGTACAACATCAGATTTCTCAACGCCAGGTGGATAGCAAAGAAGTATCTAGAGAGGTTTAGAGTTGATCCTGCATGGTCTTGTCCCCTTCTAATCCAAACTGTCAAGGAAGATTTGATGCTAACCATGAGCCTGCCTAAAGCTCAAAGGTGTAGACGTGAGGCTTGGGTACTATTAGGTGGGCAAGAGGAAGATCAATACAAGAAATTATACGATTATGCTGGTGAGATTCGAAGGACAAACCCAGGATCCACTGTGATCATTGAGCAATTTGGAGGTATTTTTGAGAGGATGTATATGTGCTTGCAAGGATGCAAAGACGGATTCAAGGCAGGATGCAGAAGGTTCATATCCATCGATGGTTGTTTTATCAAAACCGATATTGGAGGACAATTATTAACAGCTATTGGTGTTGATCCTAATGATTGCATTTTCCCCATTGCAGTGTTCATGGCTCTTATGAACAAAGTTTTCCATGAATATCTTGACAAATTTGTCATAGTATTCATTGATGACATTCTAGTGTATTCGAAGAGTGAGGAAGAGCATGTTGAACACTTGAGATTGGTATTGCAAACTTTGAGAGAAAAAGAGTTGTATGCCAAATTCTCGAAGTGTGCGTTCTGGCTGGAAGAGGTACTATTTCTGGGGCACGTGGTGTCTCGGAGGGGAGTAGAGGTGGATCCTAAGAAGATTGAAGCTATTGTGAATTGGACTCCACCTAAGGATGTGTCGGGAGTACGAAGTTTTCTAGGGTTAGCTGGGTACTACCATCGATTTGTGGAAGGGTTTTCTAAAATAGCCTCACCTTTGACTAAATTATTGAGGAAGGAAACCCCATACATATGGACGAAAGAGTGCCAGGAGAGTTTTGAAGAACTGAAGCGGAAGTTGACTTCATCCCCAGTTCTGGCATTATCGATGGAGGGGGGAGAATATGTGATATACAGTGACGCATCATATCTTGGCTTGGGTTGTGTCTTGATGCAGAACGGAAAGGTGATTGCATATGCTTCCCGACAATTGAGGCCACATGAGTGCAACTACCCAACTCATGATCTAGAGTTGGCAGCTATCGTGTTTGCCTTAAAATTATGGAGGCATTACCTTTATGGTGAAACGTTCAAAATTATGACCGACCACAAGAGTTTGAAGTATTTAATGGATCAGAAGGAGTTGAATAACCGACAAAGAAGATGGTTGGAGTTGTTGAAGGACTATGACTGCACAATTGATTACCATCCTGGAAGGCAAATGTGGTCGCCGATGCACTCAGTCGAAAGGAAAGGTTGTCAGAATTAGTGGAAATGAGAGCTTTGGGGGTGGAGTTTCAGGTGGAGGACATCACCACCCTAATTGCACACCTAAGCACCCGACCACTACTCCATGATCAAATTAGAGAAAGTCAACAAGTAGATCCTGAGTGTATTGAGAAGTTGAAGCAAGTTGAAGTGGGGGAAGAAAGTGAATTCATGGTGGAAGAAGGCATACTAAAAAGGCATGGTCGTATGTGGGTTCCAGAGTCGGGTGATTTAAGACGAAGAATTCTGGAGGAAGCCCATTCATCCATGTATGCCATGCACCCGGGGGTCACAAAGATGTATAACACGATTAAAACCCATTTTTGGTGGCCGGGAATGAAGCGAGAGGTGGCAGAGCATGTTCAAGCTTGTCTAGTTTGTCAAAAGACTAAGGCGGAGCATCGTGCACCAGCCGGACTCTTGCAACCGCTGCCAATTCCAGAGTGGAAATTTGAGAGGATCACGATGGATTTTGTGACCGGATTTCCTTCTACCCGGGAAGGAAAAGATGCCATTTGGGTAATTGTGGATCGAATGACTAAAGTGGCACATTTTATCCCCATTCGATTCAAGCCAAGTATGGAAGAGTTAGCGAGGTTGTACATAACTCACATTGTACGACTTCATGGTGTTCCTCTATCCATTGTCTTAGATCGAGATCCCAGTTTCACATCACACTTCTGGGAGAGCTTGCAGGAGGCGATGGGTACGAGACTTAATTTCTCCACGGCTTATCACCCTCAGACGGACGGGCAGTCTGAGCGGACAATACTTACTTTGGAGGAATTATTACGAACCTGTGCAGTGGAAACAGGTGGACCTTGGAAGGATTTACTACCCTTGGTGGAGTTTGCCTATAACAACTCTTACCATAGTAGTTTGCAGGCTGCACCATTTGAAGCCTTGTATGGAAGGAAGTGTCGTACCCCGCTATGTTGGGATATTGAGGGTACTCGGGTTCTTACCGGACCACAAATGGTCCAAGATACAGAGGAGAAGGTGATCAAAGAGAAGTTAGCTATGATGCGGGAGAGAAGGTGTTCTTAAAGGTATCCCCATGGAAAGGATTTTTTTCTTTTCAACGTGGAGATTTTTTTCTTTTCGAGTTTGGTATTCAACTTTTGCGTCAGGGAGCTATGATTTCATATTTCACCGACTAGGGGTGGGATCGAGTTTGGTATTTTCTTTCACACAAAAACAAAAACAAAAACATACAGTTAAAAGTTACTAAATGTGTCCACTTTTAATGAATCGATTATTCTCCATTCTCTCGATTATAGTGTTTTATAAAGTAAAAGATTATCACATACACACCTAATACGAAAAGATCGCTTGGATTTAATAAAAAATCGCTTGGATTTATCCATGGTTTTTTCCTTTGGATTTGCTACTTCGGGTCTTTTAACTAATATGCACCAATCCGGCATCTTAGTTTGATTTTGGTGGCTATTTTAATTTTTAGCCTCACTTTTCACATATTATCATAATATAAAGTAATTCAATAAATAAATATAATTATTGTGGCTATTGTGGATTTTGTGGGTTAACCGTAGTGGGTAGTAGGTTAGTGGCTAACCACTAACCATAAAAATCATTATTTTACTACCCACACCCAACCCACTACCCACAATGAGTGCGAGTTAATGCGATTTGCGGGTTATCCACAACCCGTAACCCAAACTTCCACCCCTAGTTTCAGATGGTGGAACTTTGATCCAGGTCATAGATGTGGGCCGTCCTCTGGCATACGACCCATATTTTTCCTGGGCCAAGATTAGGAATGTCAATGGGGCAGGTCCGGAGCGGGTATCTCGATACCCATACCCGCCCCATGGTAGGTCGGGTCCAGGTCGGGTAATTTATCACGGGGCGCGGGTAAGGGCAGGTCGAGCCAATGGGTATGTAATTTATGTGAAAACATTAGAAATATTCATTCTTTATTTGAAATACCAAGAAAGAAACCATAATATGATAAAATGTAGTTAAATTATTGAAGAAATTGAGGTTTTCTCTTATTTACAACTTTATTATAGCTAAAATATAATGTAATAAGAGGAAAATCTTAAGTAATTTGACTAAGATTATATGTAATTTAGGCAAGAACGGGTCGAGAATGGGGCGGGTCAGGGCAGGTCGTGTAACATCCCGAACCTCGAATAAATGTTTTTTTTCCAGATAGCGGGCGTATAATATACGTTTCGAGGCTGGAAAAAAATCTAGAAGTTATCCTATACGAGATAGGATCAACGAAATCACTTTGAAACTCTCCAAGCCTAAAAAAATGCAATAAAAATAAATAAGGGGCTGCTAGGAATCAAACCTGGACCCTTGCCCACGTTCAAGGGCAGACAATTGCCCAAACCAGTAGACCACACGGAATTTATGTGTACAAAATACTACATCCTGTTTCATAAACTAAATCTGCGTCGCTGCTGCAGCTGTAGATAAACTCGTACCAAGCGGTGCAGCCTTTGAAACTCGTCCCTTCAACTCCATAACTGACCTAGGGATTTAGAAGGCGGCCTTTAGCTTTATGAGGGTCTGCCTGGGCCTTAATTAGGAGTGATGAAGATCTGAAACAAGAATTAATAAGAGGGGGAGACTCTTTTCTTCTTCTTCTTCCTCACTTCATATCTTCATTTTCATACGACAAGAAAAGAATGGAAGGAAAGGATAGTTGACAAATACCTATCATAACCTCTGTATGCCCAGCAAAGGTTTAGAACCCACACAAATCCCATTACGAAGCCAAAATCGTCCAACCAACTCAACGGAAATTCTTCGCCGAAACTTTTGCCGTAACCTTTTCGTCAGCAAAACCAGCACCATTAAAGGTAGTATCAGCTACAAAGCTTGATATCGTTGCGAAGAGAAAGTCTCCACGAGCATCACAGATTTTACGGAATTGAATTCCAAGCTCAGACGAGGGAGAAACAAGGCTCGGAAGTTGGTACGTGAGGTAAAGGAATTTCCAGTTTTCTGCAGATTTTGGACAGCAGAAAATTCAAAATTAATCCCTAATTTCGTACTAACGATGATCATCTCGCAGTTTCTTCGTTTGACGTCCAAACGACGAACCGTTTTCCCCTACAGGACAGTAGAAACAAAGAGAATATTTAGGAGCCAATCTCTGGAATTTTAGAACTTAATTCCCGACTTGGAATCGGCTAAAATTAAGGTGTGTGGGGATTAAGAGGACCTTAATTATTGCATCGATTATTTATGCTTGATTTGAATATTTGGATGAATGGATTGGTGTGGTTGATGACTTGGTTGCTGATATGATTATTTGGTGATTAATCTTTATTGTTGCGGATTTTATGGTGTACATATCGGTATTTGACAAGTTTCACTGTAAAAATGAATAGTTGGGTTTATTGATTTTAAAACTGATCTAAGAGATTTTTTTTGTCTAAAATGATGTTGGGGCATATTGAGCAGAAGGTTTCACTTGAAAATTGTTTCTGGATTAAAAACTGCATAACGGTGAATTTTACGGAAAACTCGGTAAAAACGTGTTTTAATTATCTTTAAGATTTTGATCACTTTAAAATGGTCAGTATGGATTGTTAAATGAGTTTTGGTCTGGAAATGGTAAATTAGAAAGTTGGTGGAGTTTTTATCTTTAAAATGATAAAAACGAGCTTAATATGAGATTTGCGGTAAAGACCGAGTTTAATATTATTTTCATGGTTTTGAGCTATTGAAAAATATAGAAAACTGGACAGACCTGTTTTAGGATGGTAAATGGAGGTCCTTGTATTTTTGGGAGATTTTCGGATTTACAGTTTTGTTGGAATTTAAGTTACCGTAAAATAATGGTTAATACGAGAATTTTGATATTTTATCGTCTAAATTGATTTTTATGACCAGAGCTGGATTAAATTTATTTTTGTATCAATAAATTCATTTACATGAATTTTGTGAGGATTTTAATGAAGGAAAGTGAATTTTGAGTTAAGGATATTTTTAACCGCAACCGGGTTATTTACAGTTATTTGCATCGGGGCTATTTCGTGAAATTGTTGATGAATTTTGGATGAGGTATGGTGATATAGTACTGCTGAGTAGCTTTACTGGAGAACGAGATGATTTATGTGATTTGGTATTGGATGATGGGATAGTTGATTTTTAGAAACGTCGAGTTGATAATCGACGGGAAATATATATATATGGATCGGTTAATCAGTGAGACTACATTGATTCCGGATTGTTTGTGATGAATGAGAAAAATGAAAATGTCTTGATTCGCGATCATATTAATTCACATAGATGTAGAAAGGGCCTGCACTTACCCTCACCCCTTGAGAGTGGGTAGATCTAGCTCGCTTATGCGATTGAGTGTTGTGGTTGCATGAGCACCACGGATGAGTGTTGTGGTTGCATGAGCACCACAGATGATGATTTGCTCGAGCGAGGGTAAGTGTATGGTGACCTTGGCGCCATTAATAATTAATCAGAATTTTCATATCATGCATGGATTATGTGTTCGTGAAATTATGTGATTATATTATTTGGATAAATTGATTTGGTGATGATGAGTTGGTGGATTCGATAAATTGATCGGTAATTTATATATGATGATTTAAGATGGCATCTAGAGTACTAAATTATGCTTGATTACGATTGTTTGATTAGCTGATTGTGGTCCCAAAATTAGGTCGTGGGAAAGATCCACACACACAGCTTAGTTGCTGACCCACATATGTTTTCAGGCTCGCAGGTGCAACTAGGATCGGACTACTGAGGCTTCCCTATCCTTCTGTACTACCATTATGAGGTAGTTTGGAACACTGTTCTGTCATGGTCACCTAGGATTTCTGCTTTGAGTGTTTTCAATAATAACCCACATTTTGTAAAATTCAATAAGTGGGTTGGGGATCGAATAATGAGTTTGTATGATAACGGTTTATATTTGTGTTTAATAATCGGAGATGATGTTTGAGATGATTGAGTTCAACCAGTAACACCAAGGATTTGGCTGCGCGGTTGAACCATGGGTTCAACCATAGAGATTCTGGGTGGGATGTTACAGGTCGAGTCGATGAGAGATACCCATGCCCGCCCAGCACCGCCCCACCTACGGGGCAAGTTTGACCCGCCCTAAAACAGGTAAAACAGATCGGATAAATCGGGTCAGGTCGAAATTGTCATCCCTAGCCAAAATTCAGCCTGTCCCCAGCCAGGATTCCTAATAATTTAACGGTTGTATTAACCTTTTTGAATTTGAAATGTCGGTAATCAAAGAAAGTGGGGGGAAAATAACAAGGCAGCTCCCAAAATAAGGGCAAAAGAAAATTTTCAAGAAAGGGATAGAAGAAGAAGAAGACAACAGGGCTGAATCCCCGGCGCCGTTATTCTACCACTCCGAACCCGGAATTCTCCCGCTTTCCGTCGAGACCGGCAGAAAAACGACAAAAAGTTCAATATGGGCGACGGTGGTTCCGACACCGGCGAAGACCCGATGTTGGACTCTCTAATCTGCGTCGCTGGTTCCTCAATCATGAAGTCCGGCTTCATCGCCTCTCACTCCACAGGTTTCTTCAAATAAATTCATGAAATTCTGCTTATTTCAACTTCGAATTTCAGTACCCGTAGGAGTTTGAGTTTCTTACTTCCCTTCTGTTTAGCTGAACGAGAGAGACGGGTGATTTTTGTGAATGCCGGCGGCGAAGAGCTAAGACAACAAGGACACTCCGAAATTGAGGTCGAAGCAGATAGGTTTTTCCAAGGAGGCGATGTTCTGCGAACGGACGAGGAAGTTGCCGACGGCGGCGATTTGCCGTCGATTTATCAGTCGGCGAGGTACGGCAACTTCTGCTACGAGTTCCGAGACTTGCCGCCGGGAGATTACTCCGTCGATCTCCATTTCGCTGAGATTGTGTACACGAACGGCCCTAGAGGCATGAGGGTGTTTAATGTTTTCATTCAGGACGAAAAGGCAAGTGAAATTCTTTTCCTTTCATGGAAGAAAACTTTCTCCGTACCCAATTTTTAGCAATTTGTGTGAATAGTGATTATTATCTCTTGTTCGTCGAATATTATTAGGCTGTGTCTGAGCTCGACGTGTATTCTATAGTTGGAGCAAACCGGGCCCTGCAGGTGATGAACATTCCAGTTTCAGCTGGGAAAGATGGAGTGGTTTCTGTTAAGTTCCAAGGAGTTGTAGGAAGTCCTACAGTCAGTGGAATTTGTATAAAGCAAGGAGCGCCAGAATTACAGTGTGATTATTTCTCGGCCCTTCTTCATTCCCTTCGACTAAAACTTGCTCTGATCATATAATTTCTTATGACCCATGACCTGTTTGATGATTTGCCTGACTGTAGTGGTATCAAGCGGAAGGGATGGTAAGAGTCTGCTGTGTGACAATTGCTCCGCCCCAGTCAAACTCACAGCTGCCGAGGTTGGAATTTCAGTGCTTTTGTGTTTGAGATTGTGTGTTGGAGTGTTTCTTTTTAAACTCATGCTGATCCTGGAACATGGTCACGCTCTGTAGAATAAGGCAGCGAGGATGAGTTTTACAGCGAAATATGAAAGGGAGATAAGGGAGTTGAAAGCTCAGTGCCAGATGAAGCAAGATGAATGCTACGAAGCTTGGATGTCACTAACTGCAGCGAACCAGGAGCTAGAGAAGGTCAGGGCTGAGCTTGATGTTAAGTTCTTCCAAAATTTCACTCTAGGTAATGTGGGAACTGGTTTTTTCTGTGGGGTTTTTTATGGTAAGGATAATTTTCATCGATTGAATCTATGTGCTGGTTTAGGTCAAGCAATGGAAAAGGAAACAGAAAAGATGGCGAAGATTTCTAGTAAATATGAACGTGATAGGAGACTTTGGGTTGCAGCCATTGATGAATTGGAAAGGAAAATGAAGGTAAGGCTAAACCGGTGGATGTGAAAGCTTTCAACTTTTTCACACTCTCAATTGTGTTCATCTTACCATTTGATAATCTACTCCAGGCTATAAAGTCGGAACATTCTCAGCTGTCGTTTGAAGCTCATCAATGCGCCAATTCAATTCCTGGGCTAAACCAGATGGTAACTGCAGTTCAATCATTAGGTAACTGAAATTTGTAACAGTCTTTATTCACCAATAGTTTTTGCACTCTGAAACCACCTCACTAATCGCTGCAATTGTAAAGTTGCTCAATATGATGACCTGAAGATGAAGTTCAATGAAGAGCAGGAAAGGAGGAAGAAGCTGTACAACCAACTGTTGGAATCAAAAGGTTGTAGTATAGTATTTTCAGAAATGGATTTTAAGCAGCTGCTAGTTTTTATTTTCGTTTTGTTGTCCTGATGCAGCATAATGTTTGCAGGGAACATAAGGGTGTTCTGCAGGTGCCGCCCATTGAACATGGAGGAAGCATCATCTAGGCCTCAAACTGTAGTAGAGTTTACTGATGCTAAAGATGGGGATCTTGGTGTGCTTATGAATGGTTCAAGCAAGAGAATCTACAAATTTGATCGAGTCTACACACCTAAGGATGATCAATGTATGTGCATCATTGCATGCTTATAAAGTGATGCCAACCCTTTCAATTGCATATCCATGTGGTCTGTAGTTGGTTAATCTCATCAATTGGCTCTAATGAACTTTGGGAAATGACATAAAACTTTTGTTCTACCTGATACAGGTGATGTTTTTGAGGATGCTTCTCCCGTTGCAACATCTGTGTTAGATGGTTACAATGTATGCATATTTGCCTATGGACAAACTGGAACTGGGAAGACTTTCACCATGGAAGGCACCGAGCAGAATCGAGGGGTCAATTACCGAACTCTAGAACTGCTGTTCAAAATCGCGGAGGATAGGAAAAAAACCATCTCATATGACATATCTGTTAGTGTGCTTGAAGTATACAATGAACAGGTCAGAGACTTGCTGGCATCCTCACCACCGGCAAAGAGGTGAAATGAAGGATTTTTCATCAAAAACTAAGAAAGAATCACTGATTTGCGTAATTTGGATTTGACTCCTGACTGATGATTGTCAGGTTGGAGATCAAGCAAGTTTCTGAAGGGGTTAATCATGTGCCAGGAATAGTTGACATGAAAGTTGAGAACGTTGATGAAGTTTGGAACATTTTGCAAACTGGAAGTAATGCAAGGGCAGTAGGATCAAACAATGTGAATGGACACAGCAGCCGTTCACACTGGTTAGTGCAATATATATTGGAATATTTTTCCTCCTTATAAGTTACAACATTTGATATTTGTAGCTGAAAAGTCATCATGTTGCTATTCTTGTAGCATGATATGCACAGTGGTAAGAGCGAAGAATCTTGTTACTGGAGAATGCACAAGGAGCAAGCTATGGCTTGTGGATTTGGCTGGCAGCGAGAGGCTCGCAAAGACAGAGGTTCAAGGGGAGAGGCTAAAGGAAGCTCAGAGTATCAACAAATCACTTTCTGCTCTTGGAGATGTCATCTCTGCTCTTGCAACTAAAAGCAGCCATATCCCATACAGGTTTAGTTTTAACGCTTCTGTTAACATACCCAAAATGCCTACAGCTTGGCTACTTGCATGTTGCTGATCTCTTCAATTGGTTTCAGGAACTCGAAGCTTACACATCTGCTCCAAGATTCATTAGGTTAGTCGATTATGATCCAAACTCTTAAAAAGACTATGGACCAATGTATCGTGCACTTACACTTGTGAGGTCTAGTGGAAATTCATGATTTGATCTAGGTTTTGCATTGCTTTCCCACATAATATGCTACAGGTGGTGACTCGAAAACCCTGATGTTTGTGCAAATAAGCCCTTCGGAGCATGACTTGGGCGAGACTTTGAGCTCTCTGAACTTCGCCACCCGGGTTCGAGGAGTCGAGCTAGGTCCTGCAAAGAAGCAGAGCGATACGACTGAGATTCAAAAACTGAAATTAATGGTACGGCTTAAAATTTTCTGTGACATCAGCTTAGAATCATCTTTTGATGAATGAGCTGAAATTTACCCTTTTGCCTTTGCCAGTTGAAATGTAAAGATGATACGATCCGCAAGTTGGAAGAGAATGTTCAGGCTCTGGAAGGGAAGACGAAAAGCAAGGAGCAATTTTCCAAAAGCCAACAAGACAAGATAATTGATCTTGAAAACCAAGTTGAACTGAAAGCAGAGCTATGTGGTCATCTAGAGAAACGGTTGTCACAGGTATATGAAAAAATGCAGAGAAAGGAAGAAGCTTGCTACAGTTTCCAGCAAAAGGTTCTCTCTTTCATCCTCTTACCAACCTTTCAACGGTCTTGAAATTTCTTCTCATTTCATGAGGATTGCCGAACTTCATAATCCTATCTCACTTTCCGCTCGTTCTTTTGAAGGTTAAGGAGTTAGAGGAAAGATTGCAAGAGCAAGAGCAAGCCAGCTCCATCAATTCTAAAGCCAAGGTTCATCGTTTCTTCAATCCTCCACCACTCTACAAGCATTCTCAACCTTTGAGATGGGTTTCTTACGTTTTTCGTTTCTGTACACAGACCAGGGAGCTTGAAGACGCAGTGAAGGAGAAATCACAACAGTTTCAACGTCATTCGGAAATGCTTCAAAAACAGGTGCTTGTCATTGCTTTTCTACTTGGGAAAGACACCAACTGAAAACACATATTTCTCTGCAACAGTGGTAATCACCTGGCCAAGTTCTAAGCTTTTTGTTAACAATGTCCACGATGCAGATCAAAATGCTGGAAGAAGAGTTAGAAGCAAAACAAGGAAGGGAGTACATGTACATTTCAGAACCAATGGACAAGTTCCAAGCCAGAAAAGTTGAAGCAAAACCGCTAAAAATAGAAGCAGATCCCTTCAGCCTCAGGAGCTTGAACTCTACCAGCAGTGGAACATTATTGAACAGTGGGGAACAATCTATACTGCTCAAAGGTACAGATTCGTTGCGGGCATTGAGGCATAAACGAGACCTCCAAAGCAAAGGGCCAGAGAACAACTTGTTTCTTGTAACACCCACTGCTCACAAGAAGCCAGTTTCTGCAGAGTCTGAACCAAGCAAAGCAAGGCACCTTGACCCATCTAGAGCATTTGCAAGAATTTCAAGAGGCGGAAAGCCAGTGGGCTCAGGTTCAAGTGCATTCCCAAATAGAGTGAAGGAAAGTGACAGTAGCAGAGTGAAGATTTGGTTGAGATAGTCGTTTTGGACAATCCGTCACCCTTCTTCCCCATCTCAGTTACTGTGGTAAGTGAGATTTTGACTGTGAGGATCGATTCTCCAGAACTCAGCTGCTCCTGAGTTTGTGTTGTATTCGTTTGTGTAAAGCATATGTAGGATCCTGTAGCCCACCGCTGCACCGAAAGTACTTCAGCTTGCCTTGCAATGAAATCTGCAACAACCAACTTTGTTCACGTTGGGATGGGGGCCGGCCAATTTGCAGACATGGGCAGTTTCAATGCGTTACTATTTGACTATGAAAACTGGAAAAACAAGGCACGTCTTAGGTAGAAATTTGGTGGAGGTTCTCGAGAGCTTCACTTTAATCCGAGCTAAAGGGAGTTGTTAGGCTTGGATCGCTGGCCTATCCGGACTTTATGTAACTAGCTTTCATAGTTGTCATGTCGATGATGACATGCTAGCTGGTTGAATCGGTGTCGATTATGAAACTGAGATAAAAACCATCGATATGATCGATTCACGAACTTTAAATTAATAAATTTGATTGATAAAAAATGAATTTATTATATGTTTTATGAATATGAAAGTTAAAAGTTTATGTAATTTGTTGGATTCAGGTATAAATGTATATATTGACGTTAAATATTGTATTTAAATATGAGTATTCGTTATTTTATTTGGATTGTAGTATTTTATTAAGCCAGCATGAATTGACACAAATCGATTGTACCACTAATCGTACCATTCCACTTGCTAAACCGGCGCTACGGTATAAACCGGTTTGACTATCTTACTAGCTTTATACTCAGACAGTAAATTTTACTAAACTTAGTGATTATTATTAATATTAATTTTTTAGTGACTAAACATGACACATTTTAATAAAGCGAGTGACCAAACTGGTATTAACCCTATTTCTAGATAATTAAAATCTTTCATGAGACAATCTTAAATTTTGTCAATCTTTCACATTTGACTGATTTATAAAAGTTTGACGCGAACTCACTGTGCGCGTCTTGATTGAGTTGTGTATGTGATAGGATTTGTATTCGTCCCAATGAGCTAGAGCTTTTTTTATCATTTTCTTTCCAATTTCACATTCTTGTGCCTTGTGACTTGTGAGATTGTTGAATAACTCATTATTCCTTTCATTCAATATCATCCATAGGATAATTCCGAATTGGCCTATGGTGTCATTATTTGTTGCCTCCAAGACTTCACAAAACCAGCTTCCGGGGATTAGATTTTCTCTCATCTCGAACAGTTGTCTGAAAGCAGTATGTCTCCATATTCGTGTTACACACTGGAATTCCTTCAATATGTGATTCTGGGTTTCCTTTAGGTTACAAAATGGGCAATTTGAATTCTTATTTTTCTTCATTCCTCCAATCTTCTTTCCTGTGTGTAGAATGTTATACACCGGTAGCCAGAGGAAAATTCGCTCCTTGGGTGGGATGATAAGCTTCCCTAGCCATTTCCAATTCATCTGGTCATATACCTCCACCCCTTGCAAATGCCACATTTGGTCATTGTGTTTATTAAAATGTGTCATGTTTAGTCACCAGAAAAAATTAATATAAATGTCGGTCACTCGAATTAGTAAAACGAATCACGTTTAGTCACTCTCCGTTAACATTATCTAATGTGGCAGTCAACCCTAACAATTGACCGTTAAATGTCTGACGTAGCAATTAAAAAATTAATAAAAATTTTAATTTAATTCTTTCATTATTCCACATCCTTAAAATAATAATAAAAAGATAAAACCAAAAATTTCTTTTATTTCCCGTCCTCCACTTTGACTCCTTTTCCATACAAATCCCCCCCCCCCCCCCCAAATCCTCCTATCTCTCTAAATTCCCAGACTTCTCTCCTCTTATCTTTCCTGTTTGTCATTTTTTAGTGACATTTTTTACGATTAAGTTTTGTATTATTCGTCGGTTTATTTTGTAATGTTTGTAAATTTTGTTATTTTTGTGCACCGTGTTTGTCAACCATGTTTGTAATGTTTTTTTATGACTAAAAAACAACCTGGTTGACTTTCTAGTTTGTATGTTTTGTCGGTGTAGTTTGTATTGTTTGTACAGTTCATATGTTTGGAATGTTTGTAATCTATTTGTATGTTTAGTGGTTTTTGTTTGTACTATTTGTATGTTTGTATTGTTTGTAAGTCCGGTTTGTATACTTCGTAATTTTTCATAATACCCAAATTACCCCTCCCACTAATTAAAAATCTCTTCCCACTTCTTAACCGTTGGATTGGAGCGTCCAGATCTAATGGCTAGGAGGGGCTTAGTCAAGTGACTAAGGACCCCCCTTAGTTATGGGATCCGCTCTCTCAAAGTGGCTCGAGACCAGCCACGACACCTGTCCCAACCTCACCCTCCTCCGCCTCGTCAACCTGCGGCACCAATCCTCTTCCTCCCGCCGCCCCGATTCCGAGGACCAGGTCCAAATTTGGATTCAAAAAATCCGCAGCTCCGGCGAGAAGAAGCAAGAGGGTATCGTTTTTATCTCATGTCTTCGAATTCGCCGGCTGCTCTGATTACAACCAGCAGTTTTGGTATTGGTTTGTACCTCTTTGCCGGACACGACATTTCTTGGCAAGGAAAGGAACAGAAAACCCAAATGGATGTAATCGAAAATTGGCAATATTTCAATAAACCGCCGGGGCATCAGTTTTTCTTCCTATGGGACCAAGAAGAAGTAGACCAAGAAAAGACAGGACCGGACTGTACAAAATATGTTTATAAACATGTGACCAAGTCGTCATTTTTCCCTTTTTGTACCCAACTCCCAATTTCTCATAGAAAAAAAAAACACCCACCAAAAGCCCCCATCCATTCAGCTTTCCACCCCCCTAACTTGCCCTAAAGTATCTACACATCTCCTGCTGCTGCTGCTGCTGAAGATGCACCTCCTTCCCTTCTCTTTTCTACAACTTAGCCGAACCCGAAACCTTCATTAGCCTCGTGGATAGCCAGCAGCAACCTCTCCTCCAAATGCTCTTTAGATGGATACTCTGGCAAATCCAACTGATTGAAACTGAAACAAGAGAATCACACAAAATCCACAATTACAGCTCTCACCCATCAAAAGCTCAGCAAAGCCGGGCGGCCAGAGAGAACTTGAAGACTCACCAAGTATGGGCTGAAGGCAAGTGATCAGGGCTACCATAGGCCTTGTGTATCTGGAACTTCTGCGATCCTGATATCCCTTGTAGGGCGCTGAATCCTTCTAATGGCACCTGCAAATGTTCAGATCACAAAAGAGCTCAATTTACTGACAAATATACATACCAAACAGTTTATCTTCTAGTAATCAAGAAATAGATCAAACGGCTGTTTAAAAAGAAAATTCGTACCTTGGAAGTGCCTGTCACGAATTGGAGGAGTCGAGCCTTATCCTCTTTGCTGAATCCTTGAGCGACTTCCCAGAACCACTGTATCACAGGGGATGCAGGGCTGTAACCTGAATACTCTGTGTTGGCCCTCATGTCATCCACTGAAACCACCAATATTTGGATTCAGTCGCGACTTCATTAGATCCGCATAAAAGAAAGGCTGCAACAGTGATGAAATAAATGAATACTCACAATCAATATCCGGAAGGCCGCTTATCAACAATTCCAATTCTTTGTCGTTGAATATGGATATCAACTCCCTCTGGATCAATTCAGTGAACCCCTCGAGGAAAGCAGTTATTTGAGGTCGAATAGCAGTAGTCAATCGATGCTCGGCAACTAAATCGACATACTGATGCTTGTTCTCCTCGGTCACTTTGATATTGCGTCCACCAGGAATCAGTTCATGATCAGTGACCTGTACCATATGTTCATAATAAGTGACTTAATACCAGCACGTACTTAGAGAAGTTAACACAATATGGGCTCTTCCGTTACTCACCTCTGTCCTTTCATACAAAATAAGTTTCTCCTCATCAGCATCAATACTGAACGTAAGGTCCAACAGATCATTTATATCATTCTGCAAAAGGAAGGCACAAGAGAAACAATTGCATAGTAAGAAGCCAGCCTAGTGCCTATTGCATAAAAGTTGGGACAGGTGACAAGAGTTAAGATGTGCAGTCATACCTCAAGCATCCATTTCAGATTTTTGAAGTAATCAGGATCAATTGCTTCAATGTCATGATATGTAACTTTAGCTCCTAATATGTGCTTATAGAAAGAGCGGGTAAAATGGACATCTAACAGCTGCCCATCAAAGAGTGCTTTCCCAACCTGCAAAAAATACAGAGTACAAAAACAATTAGAAAAAAAGGTACAGAAGATCAATTGACATACAATGGGAAGACAAATTTAACAGCTTTGCACTTACAACTCGACCAACAAATTTGAAGTACGACAGATGTTCCGTCTGGTAGACAGAGTTGGGGTTGGGCTGAAATGTAGAGTCATTGCCAACCGTAGTGAAAAGCAATGCCCCCTTGTCAAAAATAACCCTAGAAAGCAGCTGATACCATTCCCTTGTCAGACCACCAGCATCAATACCTTCCTCTCCTTGAAAGTGAACAGTCAACCTGCCCTTCAAATCTTGAGTTGACCGCATCCGGAGCTGATTATATGAATCTTCTAGAATGTAGGCTCTCCTCACAGATATTCTCAGGGGGCTGTGGTGGTGATCATGCTGATGTTTTATTTTGGATCTGAAGTGAGCACGTTTATTGTCAAAATCAATGAAGCGGGGCACCTTCAAGAAGAGCGAGAACGACTTCTCAAGCAATCCCGGATTCTGGCGGATGAAAGCATTAAGCAGTTTCTTGTGTTTCTCTGAGAACCTCACAAAGGCAATGTGTTTCTCATCGATTCTCGAAATGGGACCGGGTGAGGTCTTCTGCTGTGCAGAAGAAGAAGTGATTGTCTCATCAACCTCAGCAGCTGCAGCACCATATTCATGACTGGATCCTGATTGTGCAGGGTGCAGCTTTTCACACATCACAAAGAAGGACTCGATATAAGGCAAAATGTTCTGAGAGCCTGCAGGGAGAGGAGCCATCACTGCAGAATTTCTTGGAGGAGGAAGCACATCAGATGAAGAATCTGAAAAGCTCTCTATTTGGCTTATGCACGTACTAAGCTCCAACCATAAGGGCTCCAAAGCTGCATTGATATTGTGAATCTGGGAAAGAGCATCAGAACGCTCCTTCTCGGGAAGACTCGGTGGCTGGTCTCTCTCTTTATCTACCAGCAATGTTATGAGAGTACTTAATGCCTGAATGACTCTTAATATGGCGGGTCCATCAGACGATGTTGTGGTGAGGAGTGCCTTCACCGCTTCCCCAAACAGATGCAGCTCGTGCATGGCAGATTTAGTCAGGTTATTTATTGCATCAGCTAACTCAGTGATGAACAGATAACAATGAGTTGGAGCAATAGCAACTAACTTCTTCATAACCTCGGCTACAAGAGTATAAGCATTATCTGACAGACTGCGAAACAAAAAAATGAAACGTCAGATTGACAAAAGTTGGTAATAAGTCTAGAGAATTTTATGAAACAAACTTCACCAGAGCATTACATCATTTTAAAATATATAAAATGCTAGTACCACCTTCAATGTTGTAATATGGATTCTTAAGTTTCAACTTACCCTTCCTGCGCAAGCAATGAACAAAGTAGGCATAGCTCCGTGCGCGGCAGGTTAAGCAGAACATTGTCCATATCATCATTATCATTGGCACTAGAAGTGGCAGCCTTGGATGATAATTCAATAACTGCTGATGATGAACCAGCCGCTGTAGTAGAACTACCACCAGCCTCCCCTCTTGTATCTGCTTGTGAGGCTGGGAGCTGAGCCTGTATTTGCCCAGAAGCATCCGCCGATTTATCTGATAAACTCGATTTGCTTTCAGCACTATCAATAATGACCTCCAATAAGCTAAGAAGCTGCAAGAATTAGCAATGTGCCACCAATTTTGTCAAATATCCAAATATAGTAGAAGAATACCAAATCAAAATCTAGAACAAAATATTTAGCAATCTACCTGCTCAAGATGAGCTATGCTTCTCAAATAAAGAGGTTGTTTCAAGAGGCTCAGAAGCAATGCAATGGACACATATCCATCATCATGTTCTCTCCTATCTGTTTCACACTCTTCAATCACCATCAGAGCTTTTCCTCGTGACATATCAACATCGTCTGTCTGCTTTTGTTGGCCAGGCAGAGGCAGCCTACGTTGAAGCAAGATTTTGGCCACATAGGGATGATTTCTAGCCAAGTAAGTCAAAGTCTCGAGAATACGACGAGAAACCAAAGGTGGCACTCCTGCAAAGATACAGGATAATTAAAACAAGTTGAGAACACAACAGCTGCAGCATAACTAGTGAACCTTGTGAAGGTTCACTATCCACATCCACAACCTTAACAACCAAAATGGTATCTAAAATTGAGACCTCTATCACCAACACAACTTTTCCCAAGTTTTAGCAGGTATGAGCTTCTCTACAACATACTGACTGATGTTTTAGACAAATGAGGTTACGTGACCATTAGCGCCCTCGGAATTTTACACACCCATCCCAGCAAACAGCTTTCTGTTATACATGTAAAGAAACTGGACTGGAATTTACCATCAAAAGACTGTGGGCGAGAATACATCACATTGCTTTGACAAGCATAAAGTCGATATGAAGGCTCAGCAGTCCTAGAGCGATTGCCAGACTTTCTAAAGTCAACCATCAGCATGTCCATCAGGATTTTTACCAAAGTGGTTCTGGTTTCGCCATGAGCACATATGTACAACAAAAGCCTCTGCAATGGACCTTTATACAGGGGCTGAAAACAACGATATGTTAGTAAATCCATTATGAAGCAGACAACATGGAATTTTTACTCCGAATAATTACCTGCACAATACGAAGCACCCGAATCATAGCATGTAGCGATTCCGTCTCAACTAAGGGAGCTCCATCAGCTTCAACAACCTTTCCAGTAGCAGACCTCCGTGAGGCAATATCAGCTCTCTCAAGGCTGAAGCCAATACTTTCACCCCGTCGAGATGACTCACCCCTGCGGCTTCTAGGATACATACCAAAAAGCGTACGGTTGTGGTAACGGTGTGCAAATCTTTCACGTAACAAATTAGCCTCCGCAACCAATGCAGGAGTGAGATTTGCAAGAACAGCATCGGAAGATGTAAGCAGAACCTGACAGAAAATTGAGCCATCATATAGGAATTACAAACTGCACACGTAAGCATCAAACATCACAGCTAGCAAGAAGAAAGAGCCATCAAATTAAAATTACAAAACTAGAGATCATATACTTCAATTATCCCAGCACTAGCAAGCAGGAAAGTACCTCTTCGCGCAACTCTGAGGGAAAAGTAGCAATGATTGACACAGTATCCATTTCCACAGGTTGACCTTCAAGTTCATGAGATTGATGCATACGTTGCGCTTGTTGTTGTGCTAGAACTTCTGCTCTTATATCAGGAGGAAGAGCAGCAAGGAACTCAGGATCTATATCTCCTGTATTTTGTTGCTCGACATTTGATGGCTGTGCAACTTGTCCCTGTTGAGCAGAAAGAACTTCAGCGCGCAACTCCTCAGGAAGGGCATCCAAGAATGCAGGATCAATTGATCCTGAACCAGCATCACCAGCAACTTGCTGCTCCAACGCTGGGCCAGCTTGATCTGCTTCTCTGCTAGAATTTTCTGAAACTTCCGTAACACTATGAAGAGATGCATCTCTCCCAGCTCCGGATACAGAATTGCCAAAGGATACGTTTGATCGTCTTCGAGTTGCATGAGGATCTAGAGGCATTCTATCAGGCAAACCCTGCCTGTCTCCACCATCATCATGTCCATCAGCGCTTCCGATTTCAACATCAAGACTCCTGAGGCTTTCCCCTAATGTTGCTGCACTTCCACCACTTTCTTGGCTTACTGCTTCAACATCACGGGTAGCTGCATCATTTTGTTCAAACTGCATCTCAACAGCATGTGAATGAGAATCACTTGCAGGAGGTTCGACAGTGGCCATACCAGAGCTATCATTTACCACAGGTTGATGATGCACATTGCTTGTTTCATGATTCACATTGTTTTCACCTCGGGTATCCGGCTGTACTACAGGTTCTTGTGACTGGCTAACAACACCATTGCTCTTAGGCTCGGTTGTCAAGGCATTAGGATCAGACAATTTCTCAGAGGATGGCCGTCTCAGCTGAGAAACAAGCAATTCCTCGAGGCCTTGGGGTACAGATGTATTAGTTCCACCACTACGCTGGTTATCATCCATCCACAAGTTCAATCGATGTCCATGACGCCCATTTCTCAGCGAGCGGAAAATAGTATCCAACTGGGAAGAGGTACTCTCCAAATTCCTATTTGAGAACACCAAGTCATGGGCGTTGTCTGGAAGAAGAAAAAAAATAGGAAGGAAAAAAGAATTATCCTCATTACCTCACCTATAATTACAAAATAAAAATCAAGATGACCAAGTACGGCAAAGTTGCTGATGAGAGCAAAATGATAAAAGACCACAATGAGAAAAAGAACATTACCTGTTTGCCTGGAAGAAGCCAGCTGCTGAGGAGCCCCAATTAAAAGGGGATGTCGGGACGGAGCAGAACTGTCACCATTTCTACCAAGAAGACTATAGATGGAGGTAGTCCGTCCTTGACGTCTTGAACCAAAAACTTCAACAGGCATCACATGTAGTGTTTCATTAGGGAAACTATTATCTCTTCCAAACACTTCAATATGGTCAAAAACATTTATTCCATTGATTCCCTCCTCTAGGCGTAGGATAACTCCATCTTCGTCTTCTTCCTCATCTTCCTCATCTTCATCCAACACTTCCTCGTCAAATTCATCGTCATCCATATCATGATCATCTTGATCTGTATCAGGATGCGGCAGGTGATGGACTTCATCTTCTTCCAAGTCATTGTGCCCGTCATCATCTTCGTCCTCATCATCCTCGTCCTCAGACTCATCATCCTCGTCAACTTCATCCCCTTCATCTCCAGACATATCCTCATCTTCATCTTCTTCGAGACCTTCCTGCCCATGAGGCTGGATGTCAAATTGAATTTCAATTGTATCCATTCCATTACCAAGAACCCTCATATCCTCAGAGCTATCCTGCATGTAATCATCCTCGGTAGCAGGAACAAAGCCTCCATCCAGATCCTGGTCATGTTCCATATCATCTGTGACAGCTTCAGATCCACCATAGTTTTGAATGGGATTTGGCAATTCAACTTCGTCAGCAGATGCAGGTGGATTTGATGGAATTTCAAGTCCATTGGACTGAGATCTATCAGCACGGTTCTCAGTTCCTCTGGATTCATGAGCAGGAGTTTTTGCTGCATTGTCACCCTTTGCTGCACTAGAGTCAGAAGCGTTTATATGTTCCTTTGTCACCAGCTCCAGAGCTTTAACTAGCCCAGTTACAACTTTTGGGGAGTCAGAATGATCTAGATCCAAAACTTCAAGAGTTCGGGTCAGTGATGTCACCAAACCAACTTCAATAAAAGTGGCAGCAGCTTCAGCAGAAATGTAAGATCCAGTAGGAGTACGGGCAGCCAACACATCATTTAGCAGATCAACATAAGTTTGTATATCACTGGTTGGTGTACTCGATCCCTCAGAAGAATCAACAAAATTGTTCAAAATGCAACTGATCTCCATAAATATCCTCTTCCTTGCCTCAGCAGATCGAACACATGTTGCAACCAGAAACTGACTAGCCCTTGTTGCCAATTTATGCCTCCAATCTCCATCCATTTTCCTCTCCTTTTTCATATTTCCCGAACAGAGAATGAACCTATGAACCATATGATGGAATATACCTCCAGTAATGGGACCGGGAGGTCTTTGATGAGGTCCTCTACTGCTGCTAACTTCAGCATCCCTTCTAAGCAGGACATGAACTGATGAAGAATACATCAAAATGATCTCTGTCAAAAGCTTCAAGATGAAAACAATCTTTGCAAGAGACGCAGAAGTTTCTTGACCACTAACTTCATTTCCTTCCGAACTGGTTGCCACCGCTTTACCTTTCCCCTTCAGAGCAGCAACATCTATATCCATATCGTTTGATGATGGCTTATCTTCCTTTGTCGGTGGCATAAAGCTAATGACTGAATCCAAAAGCAGCTCAATCACATGGACAAAGCTTTGAGGAGTCTTTCGATGAATCTTAGAACTCTTGGTGTTTGTATCTTGAAGTTTACCATGTCCATTGCTAGCAGCAGTGGCATTACTGCCCAAAGCAAGCTTGCCCTCACTAGATTGGGCTCTTTCTTTCTCCAAAGCTTTATCCTTGTCCTTCTCTTTCTCCTTGCTTTTATCTTTCTCGCGATCTTTTAAAAGCACAATGTAAGGCCTCTCACCCACCATCTCAGCTTGGCAGACAGACCTTGCAGCCTGCATGAAAACGACAGGGTCCCTGGATATCACAGAGCTCAGATTTACAAGGAAATTGCGAGGAGTGACTCTCCCATTTGTGTGCCTGTTGGCAGCAGCAATAAGGCTATGCTTGATTTCAGATTCCATAGCTTGCTGGAGAGTTTGAGGATCTTCAAGAACATGGCAGATGATAGCGGCCGCAACTGTGTCAAATCCAGAGAAAAGGCTACTTGTTGGAAGAGACAGTAACGAGCTTACACCCTCTGCTTCAAGAAAGCAGACAGCATTAGAATGAGATCGAGTCAGACTGGAACAAAGCTGCAGCACCGCATGCATCATCTCTGATGGAAGCTTTTTCTTTATACAATTGCAAGCAATTTGAATCAACCTCTTCTGTTCATCTGTGCTAATGCGCTTCAAGGGAGATCCCAGAGCAAACTGCAACTTGTCTCGCTTTTCTTCATCAATAATCAGTGAAGGTTGCTGAATGCTATCAATATCCTTCTTCAACTGCTCTATGATTTCAGGATTTAATTTCTGATTACTCTGTAGCAACCGATCGAGGGCAAGAAAAGCCGTTGTTACCCATTTCGGGACGTGCTGTTGGTCCCCTGAACAACCAGAATCCCACTCGGAAAGAAGATCCAGCACAACCTTAACCAGACCATTCTTGAAGGCAACTTCTCTGGCCCCAACATCCTCGTGAAGAATCAAGGCAAGAACATGAAATAAAGAAAACAACATAGTGCTCTTTTTTCCATCAGAAACCAAACTCCTGTCATTTATTTGGTCAAGAATGACTGTCATCACATTAGACCTATACTGCCCGTCATTTTGCGAGCAAATCAGTGAAAGTAGGTCACGAACTGGAAAAGCAACAGATTCCTTAGCTTGCAGCAGCTTCGTACATGTTGCTATCAAATCCCCTACTGGGGGCAGCTGGACAATGTCTTCTTCAGGTTGTTCTGTGCTAGAATTAGTTGCATCTTCTTTAACCTCTGATTCGGGGTTACCCAGCGACATAGCAAGTGCCCGAGCAAGTTCATCATCCTCTTGAACTTCTTCTGGATGAGAGAACAACCACTCCATTGCCAATTCTACACTATTCGACCCAACCTGCCTGAGAGCTTCTTCTGCCCTGGGCCTGGAAAACCCCATCTCCACAATCGTTGATATCGTTGTTTCATTCGGAGGTGGGCCTACAATTCGAGCACTGGCATTACTGGCAACATTTTTCACTTCGACTCCAGAATACACATGCCTGATGATTGAAATCACTGTACTGATAAAGTCAATGCTGCATTCAGGGAAATGTTCATGTGTCCAAACAGGAAGCACTGCCTTCAGCACCATAGACTGCAGTACCTTAACAAATGTCTCTGCGTCCCTAGGGAAAGTTATGGCTCCATTATCCAGCGGCTGTATAAGAAGGTGCTTGGTGAATGGAGACAAGATAAAAGATGATGTGACCAAGTGGTCCAGAAGTTTACTGTAGCTTGCCAAGGGACCATATATCCAGGAATAGTCAGCAACTTCCCTAGCATCCTGTCTTGTGGTCCCATCATCAGTATCCATAGAGGATGATGGAGCCCTATTAACTGAAAATAGCAGAAGACTCGTAGCCTCAAATGTGGTCAGAACTGAGTGAATGACCCCCTGTCCATACAAGCAATTCAGCAATATTGGATTACAGGAATCTGGCCTGTCCAATAGAATACCATTGATGAAGTCAATAACCTTCCCGAAGTAGCGACATTTTGTTGATCTGGATATATCTGATCCAGACGAAATTACATGACCAGAAAAATCCATGTGATCCAATGCAATAGAAGCAATTGTACGAGCAACCACTTTCGAAGCAGGGGAGAGAGTAACTGTGTCATCTCGCCGACGAGATGGAAGCAGCATTGCTTTTCCCAATTCCTGAAACAGGTGTGTAATGTGAAAAGAAAGGGACCTAACCATGTCACGGTAAGAAGAATGGTATGATCTTTGCTTGTCACTCTCTTTCCGACCAGCATCGCCAGCTGTAGAGGGCTCATTAGAGTGTGCGTTAACAGATCCAAACCGACTCAACGGACCATCAATTCCCATTCTCTGTGGAAATCCAGCTGCACGCCCAAGATCACGATACAAGTTAATGAGATCAAAAAATTGTGATTCAACACTCGAACCGGATGTCCTCCTCCTCAACAACGGATCAAGAAATTGCCTGAAAGAATTGAACCGCTGCTCTTCAGAATCATTAGTTGGTTCAGACTGTTGGGGCTCTGAAGAACTTGCAGCAGCATCCTCCATCTCAAGCTTGGCATCTTCAAGTAAGGCAATCTGCCAGAGAACTTCACGATGCACGCATCCAATATCTTCCAGAACATCTTTACTACCACTGCCAAATTCAGTCAGTAGGGCAGCTACCCATCGATTGTCTTTCGAGGCAGCAAGAAATAGAAGAAACTCTATCAGGAACAGTGACGAAAATATTGCCTCATCCATTGCAGACTTGGGATCTAGCAAGAAAGAACCCGAAACAGAGCCAAACTCGCTCAAAGCTTTTTTCAGATGTTCCCTAAGAGAAGAACAGAATGCACGTGCCAGAGGTGCAGAGTGGTGTTGGGTAAAACTCTTGAAAACCATAGTGCTGTGCAATGCAATAGACATCCCTTCAGATGATTGAACAATAGCCGGCCGCAATAGAAGTGCCAACAAAGCTTCGATTCCCGACTTCTCTACAAACAACCGACAAGTCTCCGGATTTTCCATTGTTCTATGCAACAATACCATCAAGTGAAATATGCACAGTTGAATGAACTGCTCATTACTCACACCTTCGGCACCCAAATCATCACCTGCCTTGTCTTCAGAGACCATCTCCATATCCATATCGTTGCTTCCAGAAGCCTTCCCTGATGACTCTGCAATAGTAAACTCCCCAAAAGAAGCTATTCTATTAACAATTTCAATGATTATATCAACTCCGGTGCCCCTTAGTGAAGAAACATGTCTGAGAAGCTCCTCCACTGAATTAGCCAAAGGAACAATAGCATCATTCATTGCTAGCACATACTTTTTGCTGGTAAAGATGTCAACTAGGAACCGCAAAGCTAAGGTTTCTTTAACTGCTTCTAAGCCTTTTGCATTAAGACATATAGCACCAAGTCCATTTGGAATGCATGTAAGAGCCTTTGACGAAGGAAGTACTCCAGCTACCACTGAAGATAGAAATGCATCAGGGAGACCTATTTCATGCAATGCCGAGAAACAGGTTGGATCTTTGTGGATGAGTTCACTCATGACAGTAACTGCAGAGTAGTAAATGTCCCCTCCAAATTTATCCGTGTTCTTATATATAAGTGACAATGACGAAGGCAAAGAACTGTCATTAGAATTTATGGATCTAGAATTGTTTGAAGGGGAATAGGTAGCAGACCCAAGAGCCTTCAGAAGAGCTTTAACAAGCCTTTTCTGGGTATATACGAGATCATCAGTAGCCCTTGAGCATTCACCAATGATCATTGAATTGTCATTCTCCACAGAAGAATACGTGATTCTATGCACTTCTATCTGTAACCTTTGGGCCAAAAGCTCCACACCTTTTTGATCTCTGAGCAGAAGAACAGCTGAACTACTGTAGTCCATTAACTTCTGTAGAGCTTTGACAGCCAAATAAACAAGGTGCATGTGAGTGGGATCTGAATCCTCCAAAAGAGGCAAAAATGTAGGAACCATTCCAGATCCACGTACATTACTTCCTGAAGCTGAAGAAGAAACTATATGGAGCAGATAGAACTGAAGAAGTGCTTGGACAAAGGAGAGAGAAGACTGATCACTTGAATTCTTCAGAGAAAGAATGGCTCTCTGAAGCACATTGAGAAGAATCGGCCGATTTCCTATAGCAAAGCTGATGCTAGACCCGCTTAGAATACGAGCTCTCTCATGAGAAGCTGAATAAGCAGCTAGTTGTGCCCCCAAAGCTTCCATTGCAAGGGTTCTGATGCTTCCAGGAATACTTTCATCAGAACCCACAATCCGAATCAACTCATTGGTATACTCTGGCTCGTTTGCGAAAAAGGATGTCAGCTCATCATTAGCATCACTCGACTGCACCAGTACGATAAACGCAAGAAGGCAAATCCTGCAGTACAGCCTACATATCCTGGGAGACCGAAAAGCCCGAGCATATCTGATTCTAGTCAACAGAGAGAATCGAAGGTCAGAAGGAACATTGTATTGGTCAATGCAATGCTTCAACAGCAACAGATCATCTTCCTTCCTTAAATGCAAATCTGGCATATGTATGACTTGTGAGCTAGAAGAGATAGCATCAGTACTGCCCTCGACCCTCCTCTGAGCATTATGGCCATACAACCCAAAATAAAGTGTAGACCCTATTCGGCACTGAGACTTTTGACCATCATTTTCTACATCAGATGGGAACAAAGAGAGGCCCTCCTCTTGATTTCTCTCATTTGCCATAACGCATGAATACAGACCTAAGCCCTCCTCCTTGCTCCCCCAACCTTGAGCTAAGGATAACAGATAGCTATTTACAGCGCCACATCCAATCAACTTACCACCCCCGTGCAGCTTGGAGGGGTTGATTTTCACGAGGGCCGAAAGCGTTTCCAAAGAAGCTATAAGAATTTCAGGATCTGCTGATGCCAATAGAAGCTTGAAATGCTGAAGGGAAAAGACAGTTCCAATAAATTAGAAAGACAGCACAACAGAAAATGTGGAAGCAACCGTTCGCTGCAACAGGAACTTACCTCCAAACCGTCGAATGAACTCTTGTTAGGACAATTCTCCAAAATTATTTGCATGACCCATAAAATCTTTAGAACTTCTTGCTTCGGGAACACACTATCATTTTCTGAGATATTATCTGACAGGAGAAGGTCATTCCTACTGGACAAGTAAGTCTTGAAGTATGTATCAAAATGCAAAAATAGAGGCCTCCAGTGATGAAAATTCCCCTGAAATAAAACCCAAAAATATATCTTCAATCTCAAGGAGAAAAAGATGAAAATACTATACATCACAAGAGTTATATTTTTCACCTTACTGTACTCCCAACGGAAGCCAGAGAGTGGTATGGCAATATCTTGCAATGGACTCTGAATGACCTTTTCTATGAATGCTTTAATTCTTGGAGGCTGCAATAAAATTAACACTTAGAACTTTTATGGTAGGGACAAGGACACTGAGCATGGAAGAAGGAAACCAATGCAATTATCATCTGTCGGATCCATGCTGGATAAACTCGCAGATCAATCACATATAAAATACCAACGCCATCTAGTAGGTAGCACTTCCACATTGCTTGGCAAATTGACGAACTACTATATATATATATATTAAGTTATAAACACACAACAATAACGATCAAAACCTAAGTGCCAATTCAAATTATCACCGAGGGTAAAAACTAATGAGACTAAAGTATGACATTCTCCACGGAAGCATCTCTCGACACATATGGTTATTATGCCAACAGGAACAGAGAATTAGAATGCATTGCTGAAGAAAAATTAGAATTGACGAACAAATCTCCCCATGGCAAGCACCACACCTGAACCAAATTGCTTCACACTCGCCCTCAGAAAATATATACTGGTAATAGAAAAACAAATATGATACATTTACCGCTGAATCTATTACTAAAATAGGCCAAGTCTTGCAAGCGAAGACTTAAATTATCCGCTCGGATTGATAACCCAATAGAAAAGGGGGAAACAAGTTGCCTCAACTATTGTAGTCCTACGACAACAGGAGCACTTCTGGGCGTTTTACTTATCAAATATAGTACCCTATAGCAACTTCCAAAAAGTAAAATCTCTCCTCTTCTTCCGTAAGGAAACATGAATCAAGAATTATAATAGCTCTTTAGCATTTTGTTCAATGTCCTAATAGCCTGAAGGCTTGCAACACAGATAACCAGCCTATATCAAGAACGTAATTTAACATTATGTAGCAGCAATACTTCTAGAGAGCCAATACTCCAATGCAATGGCTCCATTCTAGTTTCAGAAGTTTCAAACTTTGGCTAAAGCGTCAATGATCAAACACGCATAAGAACGGACACATAAAAATCGAACAGCGGAGAGAGGGGCGAGAGACCAAAGACCAAAACAAACACTAAGGATTCTAAAAGGGTGGAAAACAAAAGAGTTCAAAAAGGAGCAGAAGAGAAGAAGAAGGGGGGAAAACAACTCACAGGGTCGGAGTCAAGTTTAATGGAAGGCCCGATTAGGCTTTCACCGGACAGCAGCTGCCTCAACCTAGACGGCAAGCTCGATCTTACCGCTGCCATATCCGAAGTTTCTCTCTACTTCCGACTACTGCCGCAACACATGAACAACAAAAAGGCAGCGTGTCAGCCAAAGCATACAACTCCTAAGAGCAAAAAGGAAAATCAGAAAAACCTACACAGACCACAACCCCGGCAATCGGCGGATACAGAGAGGCGATTACACCGCAGTAAACTGAATCAGAAAGAAGAGCAAAAGAACATATACCTAACAGATCACTGCCGCAAAAGCTTAGACGCGAAGGGAAGGACAAGGAAGGAAGGAAGGAGAGTACCTGAGGCAGGAGAGAGAGAGGCGATGGATGCCTATACATCCGCAGCGTTGAGTTTAGAGAGGGAGGGAGACAGAGCGCAGCGAAACCCCAATAGCAAAATCGTTGTAGTGATGGTGGTGAGTTTTGGCGTTTCAGAAAGACTACTGCTGTCCCTTTGGTTATGGTTTTGGTTTCGGGGCTGCGAGCCTGCGACTCGAGCTTTCTCTTCTCTTTTTTTCTCTCTTTGTTCTGGGCGAACGATTTGATTAATTATATACAATTAGTGTAAAAAACTACTTTGGATTTTGGAAAGCATATTAATTTATGTGTGGAATTATCGGATGGGCTTGGGCTGGAATTATTGGATACGTGGATAGAAAGAAAAAAAAATTCTACAAAAGCAAAAATTATAGGGGTATGAAAACTTAGTCTCAAAGAAATTGCCAACTAGTAGAGGCTTCCAATGAAACCATGTGAAGTTGTTGCAAGTCCAATCCTTCTAGTCCAACTGTTTTATATCGAAATGTTGGTGAAGTAAGTGAAATGATATAATCGGTGGTACAGTAACGGTTTAAATTGATGGTAAAATACCTCGTGTGCCATTAAAATTTGAGAATTGGGGCAGGTAGACATACAATTTAAGTTTGAAAAGAACGTCGGGTACCACTGAACTCTATTATTTGTGCACCCGGTACCACTTAAGTTTAATGTTAAGTGCATTCCGTTAAAATTAACAGAATGTTCTTGGAATATTCTGTTTTCTAAATTTCTTAATTGGTCATTCTACTTTTCTTATTGTAAAAAATTATTTTGACTTTGAAAAACATCAATTTTTATTATTTAGTTTGTATACTCTTTTGAAGACTTGATACCAAATTAAATTTTTAATAGAAAATTTAGAATCAATCATCATTATAAGTATTTTCAATTATCATTATGTTTTCTAATAATTGAATTATTCTCTGAAGTAAATATATCCTATGAATTCTATTTAGTTGGAATCCTCTTTTGAAGACTTTGATACCAAACCAATTTTTTAATAGGAATTGTAGAATCAATTATCATTATAAGTATTTTCATTTACCATTATGTGTTATAATAATTGAATAATTTGCTGAACCAAATATATCTTATGAATTCTGTATCGATATAAATAATCTCAGGATATTATATTTAATTCTTGTACATCATGTTGATGTTGTATAATTTTCTATGTTAAATATCCTTGTAATTTCTAATATTATATTGTAGATGTTCCATATTAATTAAATTTACTAATTCTAATTCTCTTTATAGTCTTATTATTTTTTTTCTAGATTTGTTATGAAATATTGTAGCTTTTATTTATTTATTACTTGGTTACTTTCGTTCTCTTTTCGTTCTAAATTTTCTTCAATTACTGGAATATGTTTAATTCTTTTATGACTGTGTTGCATTTATCCTTCTTTGGTCTTGATATATTGATGATCGATTAGGTTTTATTTTAACTAATTTTTATGGTACGTCTAATTGGATTAGCGATTTAAATATACTTTTTTGGGTACCTGTTGGGGGTGTAAATATGGTATAGCCCAACTGAACAATAAATATGGTCTACTAGACACATATGGACCAAAGCCCACGAAACACCACAAGGCCTAATTGAAGCCCAACAAAGTATCATAAGGCTTCACCTATAAATATGCTCCTAGGTCTTTCAAGTAAGGGATCTCTTCTTCTTCTCTTCTCATTTTTTACACATCACTTCTCTCTCTACACTATCTCTCTTTACCTAAACTTTTCATATTTCTCTATCACTATACTAATGTTGATCGTTGGAGTGTAGATAATGGGGGCCATCCCTGCCCTTTTACAGATCCGAAGCTTCCTTGTTTCTTGGCTGAAACAGTACCAAAAAGTAATTAAAATTTTGGGTTGTATGGAAAACTAGACGGATGCACATTTTGGTGACTTTAATGGTATCTGACGTCCTATTCAAAGTTAAGTGCTATGTCTGCTCCAATTCTCAAACTTAAGTGGTACCCGAGGTATTTTACCCCTTTAAATTGAATACATGAGTAAAGTAAAAAAATCATTGATACCAAATAAATTAGTTAGGAAGAAGCAACTAAAAGAGTTCATTCACATAAAAATAATTTATGATTAGAAATGGTAACTAATTGTACGTCAAAATAAAAGTATAAAAAATGAAGTTTAATAAAAGAGTAAATACAATATATTAGCCATAACTATTAAGTAGCGGGGAATTATAGCCACAACTATCGAAATACACATTATTAGCCATAACTATTGTTGCGTGTCAAGATTTGGCTAACAGCCGTTACTGTTTTCAAATTTTTAACGGAGAAGGCCATGTCTGCATTAGTAAAAAATATTATATGATGACTGCCACGTGGGAGCCAGCTCAGCATCGTAAAAGTTTAGTCATCATTACTAACAGAAGTGTTAACGAAAACTTAGCAATTGGCTAATAATTTGTATTTCGATAGTTGTGGCTATAATTCCCCGCTGCTTAATTGTTATGGCTAATATATTGTCTTTCCCTTAATAAAATATAGCATTAATGAATCACAAAGTTCCTCGTAGCCTATTGGTGCACAATTGAAATTGGTGAGCATGAAGTACTTGGTTCAAATTTCACGATTGGTGTATATTTATGGAGGACATGGGGAATTGCTTGAATTTGATTTCTAGTTTGACCGGTCGATTTTGGTTTTGACAAGATTTGACCAAAGCTAAATACTTGCACCAATTGAACCAAACGATAGGAAACCGGCATGACAATTGACAACCATGGTCTCTACTCCACATCCAAGTAAGCCACTTCTAATCTAATAATGTTGGTTAACCCACTTGATTTTGAACCATTTTTAGATTTTTTTTGAGTATGATGATCTCTTTCTAAATAGACCAAATTATGTCATTCCAAAGCAAACTCCAAATTCGTCCAATAACATTGTTCCCTCGAAGCAATGAACAAGGACACTCTCAAAAACTTTTTGCCAATCAACTTTTTAGCCATAAAGGAAAGAGATTGTTGAAACAAGAAAGTGATAAAATAGATGGTTTCTACTTTCTAGGTTTCATCCCTCCCCGTCTCAATTGCCTTACAAGTTACAACACAAATGTTATTGAAATTTGTCACCCACTAACTTCTTAACTTATCAAGGGTGACAACTGACAATTCTATCTAAAACCACAACCATTATAGCAAACTACACATGGGAATATAGTTTTACCCGTAACAACACATAATAGTCACCAACAAATCACAACCAAGGATATAATATAAATATCTCTAAAATTTTATTAGTGGAGAACACCTCCATCAATCAACCATCTCATGAGGAATCTCAAAGCCTTTTTGGAATATTTGTCAAACTTTTACTAGTTTTAGCCAACAATATCAGTCTTTATGATAGACATATATACATCTTATATATGTCTACCCTTTTTCAACTGATGTTTTTCATTCCAAGTACCCAAAAGGAACCACTAAAATATCTAATAAATCCTCTATTTAAGTGGTTCTTCCTTCTCCTTGTTAATGTTCCTAGTAACGTAAAAAGCTCCTTCTCATGTTGCATTTCTTTGGGTAGGGGCTTTCGTGAGCGTTAGACTGTGGTTATGCACTCTTCGAATAGGAATTCATTTTCTGAAAGATCCTGGCTTTCGTGCTTTGGTGGGTCTCCGAGATCCTTTCGATGGTTCTGTCTCCGAAACAAATGGTCCATTTATTGATGGGCGAACGACGGGGATTGAACTTCAAGCGGTAGAGATCGAAGTGAAGTCAATTGATCTTTGTTCCCTTCTTGGGAGTCAACTCCTCGCTAGTTTGTCCAAAAATCTATCTTGAAATAAATGTATTCACGTATCTCGAAAGTCATTCAAACCATCTCACAAAAGAAACAATATTTTTTAAAATTGAAATTAAAAATTACGATGCCATGCGGTAGTGGACAACATAAAGTCGACAACAAGGTTGAAATGAGAAGAGGAAGCATATATTAAATTAATAATTTAGGTTTGATGGTCTTAGTTTATGTTAAAGTATGTTTTTTTTATTTTTATTTTTGTTAAAATAGTGAATCAGTAGACCAGTTAAACCGTGGTGGATATTATGATTTTATGTTGAACCGTGAAAACCCGTTTGGTCCATCAATAACTGTCCAAGCAATGAACTGGGCCCGGCCGTTGATCTAGTTCGGTTCTTATAACAATGGCTAAAACCCTAAATCCTACCCAGCAATTGCAGTTGTATAAGGTCCATCCGTCGTTGATCCTCCCTTCTGCTGTTTTGTCCTCTTAACTCCGGAAGCAAGGACCAAGTGAAGGAATTGAGAAAAAGAGTGTGAATCGTCCATTAAGTCAATCCAACTGAACGAAACATGAGTGAGAAGGAGAATAAGGGAGAGAACAACGACGAGCAGAACAAGAAGTTTTCGGTATGGGATTTGCCCGACGTCCCAATGGGCCAACTCCCGCCTCACTTCTAGATTTAGAAGACTCGCGTTGTTTGCAAAGCAGATGCGCTCATTCATGTATGCCCTCGCTCCCTCTTACCTCATTCCTTTCACCGCTTACGTTTCTATTGTGTGGGTAGTGTAATTTATTGCTCAGATATTTTTGTTAACACGTTTGACCGATTTTTCAATGAAGGGTTGGTTAAAGATGCAAACTTTTGCTTTGGACGATTTTTCTAGTGTTAGTTTCAGCTGTGACTGTGCCTAATGTGCTGAGTTCAGCAAATTGAGGTGCTTTATATGCATTGAACTTAAGAAGTACAGTAATCTTGGAGGCGAAGATAATGTGCTTTATTTGTAGACTGATATATATCATACTCTGGTGCTTGTGCATTCAGTGGGGTTGATAATAGTGTTCACTTGGATCTTTTTCGTGACAACTTCAAAGTTAAAATGATCAGACTCACCAAGGAAGACATGGAATTTGATATGATTGGTATTGATCCTGCACTGGCAAATGTGTTTCGAAGGATTCCAATTTATGAGGTATGCTTGATGTGTGGCTTGGTATATTTGTAGGACTCGGAACTGGGATGAACACATGACTCATCCTGTTGAAATTGCTGGACAATTGAACATTATACCTTTGCACCAGATCTTTTGGCGTATATGGCTTACTGAATGGCATATAACATTGGATATAGGTACCTACAATGGCAATTGAAAAAGTTCTTATCGCATATAATACATCAGTGGTCCAAGATGAAGTGCTTGCACACTGATTGGGTCCCATTCCAATCAAGGCAGACCCAGGCTATTTGAATATCTTTCAGGTTTGAGTCACGTCATCTTTCCTTCTTCCAGTAATCTTAAGTTTCATATGGAATAGAAAGAAAAAAAAATTGGTGAAAAGAAATATTTTTTCTATGTTTTAACCTTTTGAGCCGACTTTTTCCTTTCATCTTGAGTGGAGCGAATGATACACCCAATGAGAAGAACACTATAGTTAGGTGTAAACGTGGCGAGTGTCGGACAGGTATGATGTTGATTCGTCCTACAGTTCTGGCACATCAATTATATTTGCAATTCATGCTTTCATATTGAGACCTTTTATACTGCAGTATATTATGAGGAATTGGAGTGGCTACCGAATGGGAGTAAGTTGATAAAGGAAGCAGGCCAACCATATTCAAAACCCACTACTTATACTTCGTTTACTTGCAGTCAAGACACGTTACCAGAATTATCAAGCGATCCAATAAGCCCTTTAGAGGATAAGATGATACTTGCTAAACTTGGCTCTAAACGGGTAAGAATAGTCCTAATACTGCAGAAATTCTAAGATATATTGAAGATATTGTTAATTGTGTGCAATCATTGATAATCCTCTCAAACACATGGTCTATCATTTGTTTTTATTGTTGAAGGTTGTAATGACCTTCAGGCGATGTTTTAGGTGCAAACGCTAAAAAGTTTCAGTTACTTTCCAGGAAATTGAACTGGAAGCGCACTGTTAAAGGCCTGGGTAAAACACACGCAAAGTGGTCACTGGTAGCCACTGCTTGGTACCGTATGCTTCCTGCAGGTAGACATTTCTTCTCTTGATAGTTAATGAAGCTCCCCCCATCCCCCTCCCAATGTTTCATCTTAGGTAAGATTTCTGTTGTTTGCTCGTGATACCTATTTCTACTTGTTAGGTTGTATTACTGGAAGACATAGAAGATGAGGATGCAGAAGAACTTGTGAAGAAACGTCTTGATAAAGTATTTGACGTTGAAGATATTGGCCATGGTAGAGTCCTCTACTATCTTATCCTTCCCCCTTCAAATGTCATATCAGTAAGAGGGAAGAGGTTATAGAGAGAATGTTTCCTATATATATGCATTGCTTGTTGGTGGCCCAGGCTATATGCTTCTGCTAGGTGTAATTTTGACTGCATCCTTTCAAGTGTCTGAAGTAATGAGGAAATAGAATAACTTAAGCACCATAAGTAGTTGCGTCCATCAACCATGAAAACATCGTTTTGTGGAGAAATGTAAAGTATTATAGACCAACTGACCGCAAGTTGCACCTAATATTGGCCCTTAATTCTCGTCCCATGAGAAAGACACTGGAGGATCTAGTTTTGGCCATTCATACACCCCAGTTGCCCTTTTTATCTTGTCAAATACATCAATGAAATGCATATAGATGTCATGATATTTGATTTGATGCATGTTGAAAGGCTACAGATTTAGAAAGTATATATTGCACACATAAACTGTTGACTGCATGCATTGTTAACTTTAACCCCTGACAAATAATTTGTTGGTAGCAGGTAATAAAAGGGCAACTGTGGCGAGACCGCGAGATTGCAGACTGTGTCGTGAATGCGTTAGGGGGGAAGGATGTGAGGAGCATGTGGAATTGTGTCGTGTCAAAGATCATTTTATATGTGAGTATTATTAGTATCTATGCATCAAAACCATTATCACATGGGCAACCTGAAAAAGTTTATTAGTGTGGTCCTTCACTGATTTGGTCAAGTGTCATCCAAGGAAAGTTGAAACGAGGCTTAAAATGCCTATTTACAGCAGGAAATGTTCTACAGAGTGTGTCTTATCATGTCGTTGATTTGTACAGTTTTGATTCAATCGGATTTCTTGAACTAAAGTTCCGCTTCATATTTGCCTATGATGCCACTTCGACAATATTGCACGTCGGAATAGCCTGACATGCAAATAAGCTATAACTCACATGTGGAATGGGAAATTCTTTTCACTTGGTATGTCCTATATTTAGCCATACATTCTGTAATGATCCATTCTTTATAATCGTGGATCTTCTTTCATATGTAGTCATTGTTGAATCTACCGGAGTACTACCACCAGAGGTGCTATTTACAGAAGTTGTCAAGATCTTGGAAGACAAATGTGAGCGCGTAATTAGTGAGATCTCTTGATTCTCATTTCCTGGTACAAATTCCAGAGAAGCAGCGAAAAAGTTGAGGGTTGTAAAGTCCCTAGTGGTTGTTTTTGTAATTGGGAGTGTTTGTTTACAGAATAGTTTTGTAGGTTATGCTTAGTTATGCACCATAGCAAAATAAGGATAAGCGAGAACAAGGAGATTTCTTCACACCCCAATCAATTTGGTTATTTGCTTATTTTTAATGGTCATTTACGATTGTAATTGACAAAAGGGAGTTTTGTATTGTTATTGACTCATAGATGATGACTACTAGGCCATCCAATGACTAAATCATGATATCTAGTAGTTTAAGAATTTAAGAAAACACTCGGAGCAAGGAATATAACTATCAAAGAAGAGAGACTATATGAGATCAACTTGGGTATGCGGCTTAGTAGTGCAATTAAAAGCGCGATTCTATCTAGAAGCATAAAAGGGTAAAATTGTAAAGCGTAGAATCAAAGAGTAAAAGTGTATGTTTTTTTACCCATATTGAACAATAGCTAAAAATGTTTTACGTAGGACATGTACTAATTATTTTTTTGCCTACGAAGCCCTGATAAGGCATTATTATGAAGTAGTATTTTGGTCGAAATACTTCATGATACTACTTGAAGAGGACTTGAATACAACCAACACACAATATGAATACTAGTTCATCTAAACTTGAATACTACTGTATTACAACATATATACTAGTTCACATCTTGGATACTATTTCATGACAACATGGATACTAGTTCATCACAAGTTGAATACAACTTCATGACATGATGAATACTACTTCATAACCTCATGGATACTTGTTCATCACAACTTGATTTTTACTTCAAAACAGCATGAACTATAGTTCTTCAAACTTGAATACTACTTCAGAACAACATGAGTACTAGTTCATCACAACTTGAATTCTACTTCATGACAACACGAATACTAGTTCCTCACAACTTGAATACTACTTCATGACAACATGAATAATAGTCATAACTCAAAACAACTTGAATACTACTTCACGACAACATTGATACCAGGTCATAAAACTTGAATACGACTTCATGACAACACGAATACTAATTCAACACAACTTGAATACTACTTCATTACAACATGAATACTAATTAATCACAACTTGAATACTAATTTGGAGCACCATGAATACTAGTATGGACAATATGAATAATAGTATGATAGATAAAGCTACATCACAACGTACTCCTATATTGTCTGCATAACCAAGTCCAAAACATCATTGTCCCATTTAGTAAGTTGCGACTCGAGGATTCCCTCTTCTTGAGGTTTGGGGACCTCCGAAAGCACATCAAGCTATTTCAATCTCTTTTCATACACAACCTTCTTCCAACGGCATTCTTTCTCGTTCTTCAACTTGTAACGTTCTTGCTCGTGCCTCCTCAGATTTTTCTTCTCTTTGAAAGTCATCTTACTTACTGGTTCAGACCCTCCTATAACGAACAAGTTTTCAGTACATCATGTACAACTCATATTCACAATCATTTATAATTCATATTTGGTGCACTTACCAATCTCTCTTATTATAGAGCTTGACAACAACTTGTTTGCCAATTTTCACACTATAGTGAGTGCCACCATCCACTTGTTGTACACTTTATCTTCATATTAATTGGTTAATTGAAATATTGAGTTAAAGATATCTTTTTAGGGCATTTGTTTAATATTCTAATATATAGTTAATTATTATACATATATTAATTTTATAAGTAAAAGACAATGGGAAGCAACGGAACATGAAGTCAATCAATAAAGAAAGGTAACGAAAGGTGTTATAGTCCTTTCTTCGTCTTATCTGATTTATAAGACTTCTAAGAGGCCACCAGAGACTACGATATATACCCTTAAGCATGGCATTACATGTCATGAGGATCTATCAGCCGCCTTTGACAGTTTTGTTGCGAGATGATTAAGCATTGTTGTTGTTTCTCTATACCTCATTGATGTTGTGTTTTCTTTTGCTACATCATTCTCTGCCCCATAAGAACCACCAAATTCACCACCCGCTTTCTTCTTATCCTCCAACGTCTATCTCTTTATGATGTAATGCACTAGAATGGTTCTAATACTCGCATTCCCAAAATCTCAAAGCATTCACATAACCTTGAACATATGTTGACATAACAACCCAAAGGTATTAAACAACCTACATTCACATACCAGGTTCGCCTCCAGAATATCAACTAGAACAACTCATTCATCACGAGGCTCATCATTCTGTATCTTGAATGTGATGCAGCCAATGAGGCCATTTTCCCTGGTACGTGTGCACGACTCACGTATATATGCTTCAATTTGCATAAACTTTTCTTGTGTATCCGGGTGAAAATGTTAGGAGTGAAGATATTAGCTGCTTGTTGGAGGATCTGGATGAATGAATTTACGATATGAGGGGACTCTTTCTTTGGCTTCAAAGTTGGAAGTGGTCTCATTGTATCTTTTGACAACTAGCAAGCCTGGAATGAGGAAGCAAGAGTTATGGTTCATTGCCAAACACATGTAGAAAAATTGGACACATGCATTATTTTGTACCTACAACACTGGTATTCATGTAACCACAGAGTCGTATTCACAATACTATTAAATAGTATTCCCCACTCATACCTGTTAAATTGAATAAAAACTAGACCAAATTATGGTTCTGTTGCAAGAAAAGTCGGACAACTGAATTGCATGACTCGCTCTCTTGGATTGTCAACATCCCGATTGTGAATGGATCTCAAACCCATGCGGAACACCATTGCTTTCGAAATATGACTATATACTGCATCCATGGCTCACCGTCTACAAAGTTGTTGTCGGGGAAACAGTTTTCAAGCATGGTGGTCCACTCCATGTCAAGCTCGACCTCATTGTCCAGGTCGTAGAAAAGGAAAATAAGATGACCTTGTAACTTATCCCAAACACCCTTGTTTTTAAAAAAATTATTCTTTCCATTCATGAGGATGTGCCATGTACATAGGGCATGAAATATCGTAGGCCACTCTTTTCTAATTCGCAACTGTCATGGTTGGGTCTGATAAGTGAAGATGGCGACCGAAAGCTTCTTACTCATGCAAAGAATAAATGGTTTAAACAACCATTCAAAAGAAGCTGTTGTCTCGTCGTACAACAAATAAGCTCTAAAAGCGCAAGTTTGTCAATGGTGGTTGAAACATATATACATCTCTACACAAGACAAGTTGAAATGGATAAAAAGGTATTAATTACAATGTCTAACCAAGCCCGTATCGCTTAAAAACACAAATATTATTCACATATCCAATGGACGAACGACTGAGTTCGTTCGGTAACTCTTGCCAAAGGAGAGCGAGTCGTCAAAGAGTTCATAATCTTTCCTTATCCTTGAGTATGCCCATAGTATACTAGAAACATGCTCCTCTCTATCCATTTGAACCGCATAAAATAATCCGGATTTCATAGACATTTTCTCCTGAAAGTACCCAAGCAAGTAAGTAGGTTCGTCACGAACCATCTTCTTCTACCTTCTCTTATTCAACTGGTTCTTTCGATCTGTTCTTGTAAAAGTCAGATTTTCATACCCACCGCTACACATGGCTAACACCTGATGTAAAGAACTCATACTAGTCTCGGTATCATGGTTTGCTTCGGCTATTAGTACTTGAGCCTCTCTCACACACTTGTTGGACTTGATAGGTGCGAATGTTCATTAGAGTGCAAAGCATGGTTGTGGATTGCTTCGAATTCAAAAACCACAAATGCATCACTATTTTTATCTCATCGAAAAGAAAAAGTGTTTTGTATCCAACCTAAATTCAAGCCTTTTTCTTTTACGGTGGCGTTTCTTTACAACTTTGTCCTCGGGCCGTTTCTCCACATTCACCATATTTGTTTGACTGTGGTACAAAGCGTTCCTTATTTCACTTGTAGTATCCGTACAAATATTTTCCCTCCACCTCGCCTATTAAATTCTTTGTTTTCTTGAGGGGCTAACCCATTTTCGAACACCAAAGCCTTTTTCGTGAGCGTTGCATGCATAAAATTTCAAACACTCTTAGTGCGAAAAAATGTTCCCCCGTGCGTCCTCGTCTTCCAAGAATAAAGTGTTGGGTTTTGGGGCCAAATACATAACGGAAATATAACCAAAAACCTTCCATGATCCAAGAGAGACATTAAGAACCAGAGTTAAGAATTCTAACATGTAGAATGGTGAAAATTAAAAGGTAAAGTGTAGGATCAAGAGTCATCCACAACAGTTGTAGCCAATTCCGCTATTAGTATCCACACGGACTTTGATCGGACTACCTCCAAGCAATGGTGCTAGCCACGAACTTTTGAGGATTGAAGAACTATAGTTTAAGAACTTTTCGAGATGACTAAGAGAGCTAGATCTTGCAAGTAAAGTGCTAATTTTTGTCACTCACTTCAGCCTCTATCTAAAGGCTCTTCAAGATAGTGATGATTCATCTTAAGTGAACTCAGAAATCCGCACCTCATCCTTTCACATATGAATCATCGAATGAGTCATCAAATATGGTGATGAATCATCCTCAAATGCACATAAATTCAACACCTCATGGTTAGCTATATGAGTAATCATAATGACTCATCTAAAGTGGTGTTGATTCATTCTCAAATTAACCAAAATTCTGCACATTATGCTTATTAAGACATCATGGTAATAACTAGCTCATCATGATCCACCTCATGCTAATGGCCACCTCGTGTTGATTAACATCACGTGCTTAATTAAAATAACAATTATTTTGATTAACAACCAATACAATTCTAACTCCCTAGTTTAATGCTCAAAGCATTAAACTGTACACTTTTTTTCATAACCAACAAGCTTTGACTATTTGACTGATCCGAACAAAATCTTTGTGTGCGAACCTTTAGGTTCTTGTCATGTTGGCAATGACTGTAACATTTACAATCATAATCAATGAGTGGCGTCTAGCAATGCATCATTGCTCCCAAGTGAACAAGAACTAGTTGTGGTGGTGGGGGGGGGGGGGGGGTGTTTGGTGATCCATTTAACCTTTCAATATGATCACTATCACATTGTTCTTGTGATCGTGAAAATGTCGCGTCCCTTCGCTATGACTTCGAAATAAATCATGAGGAATAGATAAGTGTCAACCTCATATAGTAAATATTTTTACTTGATATAGAGTAGACATAATGTGACGAATATTGATATCAACATATCAATCATTCGAGTATGCATACATTCCCTTAGTCTCACTCCATCAAGGGGCCCAAGGATGTCTCTCCATTGCAACTTGGAGTAACGAATCCCATCTTGGTCTATGCAAGGCTAAATACATAATGAGTTCCGCACAAAATAACCCATGTGTCTCACCCAATTAAGGTGATTAGATGAGGTATCAAAGTACACAAGCCATCATATGATAACCTTCATAACCTCAAGTCAAAGGACGACAATTTCAATGATCAACTATGACACAATTGTATAAACTGTGAAAGTGATCATCGCTCGGATCTATTCAGTACAAGTTCTCTAACTCGTAACTCACACGTGCATGCCTTAACTCTATAAGCATCTGCACTTGCACTAGTCTCAATTGTATAAGAGCTAACCAAGTTCTTGCTAATATACTTGACTAGGGATGTATTAGAATTCACATAAATTATGCGATATTCTATGGTCATTATCGTGTTTTCTAAAAGAACAGTTTTATTTCAAATACAACAATTGAACAAAGCCTCAAAATATCTTATATATATACAAGATACAAAACCATAACACAAGTGCCTGAACCACATATCCAAATATATGATTGGCTTTTGGACACCATACTAACACGAAGTTATATGAGTTACTAGGTAAATGCATGATGAAATATGATAAGACAGTTGAAAAAATATTCAAAATTGCCAAGTATTCAAAATCGCCCAACTAGTGTTCGAAAGCGTCGAACAAGTATTGGATTATCAGACAAAAAAATATTACACGTAGACGAACTCGCATTATTCATAATTGTCTAGCTAGTAGTCAAAACATCTAAACTAGTATTAACAAGTTTCTAACATGTATATCCCAACATCTTAACACATACTCATACACGTCTAATTAGCATTTATAAATAGTTGAGGAACAAATATTACACACAGACGAACTCGTATTCATAAGTGTAAAAATAGTATTCAAAACTGATGCAATCACCAAAAATTCAACCGATATGCCCTTAGGCACGGCCATACATAACATAGAAATCACACTTGGAAAGGGTGGACAATTAGCTACAGCTGCAGCATAAGAGTATTCCTTTGAAAAGCAAAAAGGAAAATTATGGATCCACTACCGGAAATTCAATGCGTAAGCTTAGTATTCAATGTGTATTCCTGAACAATTTCATTTTTCAATTATTCAACAATTTCCTTTTACCAAGTTCAATGTTAATCCGATTAATAAATATTTCTCTCAAGTTCACTTCCATTAAAACTTAAAAGAAGGAAGCACAATGTGGGAGAATTAAGTTCTGAAAATGGCTTAAGTGTTGGAAGCAGTTTGAGGTACCTACTTCGGAGGCTTACTCGTTCAGTTTGAGTGACATTCTGAGTGAAGCTAGGAGTTGAAAGTGAGGGTCCTAGTCTTGCTGAAGATCGTGAAGGAATTGGTTAAGGTTGTCTAAGCTTGGAAGACTTCAAACGAGAGTCTTGAAGACCATGTGGAAGCTTTTTTTTTTACTTGCGTAGGAAGTCACTTTTCTTGGTTCGAAAGGGACAGTGGGAGTAACCAGTCTAGGAAGATTGATTTCGAGTCAAGTTTAAGGAAGGACCAAACTACACCTGATACTGCTCGGAAGGCCACCACCTCAACTATAAGTCGGGTTACAGGTTAATTGGGTTACGGGTCGATCGGGTTGCAAGTCAGTGTCAATCAAGTAGCGGGTCGGTCGGGTTATGAGTAAGTGTCAAATCGAGTTGCAGACAGGTTACAGATCGAACAGATCGGACATGCTACTCGAGTCGAGCTATATTCTTGATAGGATAGATAGGAAAAAGGTGCAAAATAATATTTTAATTTTCGTAAATGATGAAATATTTGAATGCCTATTCAAACGAGACAATTATAACCCAATCATCACATCATTAGGTTAAAAGCCACATGAAATGTTGCATGCTAGAATGATGCATCATTTAATCCAAGATACCACATATTCAAAATGTTTGAATCTAAAAGCCCCGTTAATCACCGACAAGCAGGTTAGGGAATTCGCAAATTATTATTTGACAGAAAGCAGGCAACATTGAATGCTCAAGTCTAACTACAGATCGAGGATTAAACCAAATCATCAACCATCTTTGATCAAATTTGTGGCCTGGCCTGGACTACATGTATCACTCCATCCTTCACGACCCCTTCAATATCCTGAGGACAACCATAGAGGGTTTCAATGATTTTCCCTGCCTCTGCAATTCTCGACAAGACTGAGACTTGGAAAGCCTTGTCGATCAGCAATCGATCCGTGGAGTAATCCAACACAACTTTGTCTTCTTCATCCAGTATTACACTGCAACACAGATATATCAGCTCTTTAATCAACGGGAAAGGAAAGAAAAACTGAGAGCAAAAAGAAGTGTTGTTTCTTCAGTTTGGCTCCAAAATTGCTGTAATGGAAGGAGAGCATATAAAACTAACCTGTCATAAAGTCCAGCACCTGCATATCCTTGCAGGTCTTCACCATTGGAGTCTGATCTGAATATAATGGATGGCTTGCTAAACAAGCCTATGTTCTTACTCGGGTAGCTCGCAATCTGAAACATAAGATGTAGATGAATTCCATAGATGAATAGATTTACCCTCTCCCACATATGGTAGATGTTATGATAAGAGACTCAAAGAGACTTACAATAGGATTCTTCAGATTGTTCTTGCGGGTAATGAAGCTCATAGCTCGTCCTGGGTACGCACTGACGAGTGATTCTCCCAAGCCCTTCACAATCTGCATTACCATCAAATTAAAAGACACAGATTGGAATGGATATATTCAAATGGAGAGAGTGTGAATGGAAAGAGCCAAGGGAAACTCTTAATTACTTCTGCATATATCTCAGATTCATCTCCAGATAATGGATTCTTCGTGTGAATGACAAAAGCATAGTCAGCACAAATGACTTCTTGAATCAACACCGCCATGCGTAGATTGTCCATGTTCAAGCTAGCTTTCCTGCAACTTACATATGCTCGTTCATTCCATTTAGAAGCCCAGACCTGCACATCAATGGAAACAACTCAATCACTTTCACTGCCGTTCTTGCATTATACCATCAAATGAGTTTTTGTAAGAGCAATACCCTTTTTATTGCTTGCCAAGCAAGCGACCACCTTTCCTCGCTTTGATCCCCGGGCCAAGACATTCTTGAAGTTCGCATCTTGCTTGCCAATTCATTTTTCTGCCATTTAAAAGCACAAAGTAGTTGTCACCATATGAATCTTCTTCTCATCAAGAAGCCTTCCTTCTACTTAAAGAACGCTTCAGAAGGTAGCTCAGAACTAACCAAAGACAAAGGTGCACGCATCTGCTGTATTGCAGTTTGTATCTCTTTAAGTTTTGTAAGATCACCACCAGAGACAGATTTGTGTAAGCCAATTACCCTGCTAGCAATGTCCTGCAAGTAAAAACATAATGTATTACGGTTCTAGGAATACAAGGATAAACTAGAGCATTACTATAATGCCTAAAGAATGCAGAAGCAAGTTCTACCTTGTTTATATTTTCTGACAAAACAGCTTCAAAAGTTCCAAATGGAAGAGCCACAGAGTTCGGAATCTTGATCCACGAGGGCACTCTTTCTCTTAGGAATCTAATGTTGCAAGATTTTGCACCAACCTATAAAATCGGCAACAGATACACTACCAAGTCAAGCTGACACCAAAGAACTTGAGCAAAGGAATTTTCTGGCTTATTTTGTAAGACTGTATAAAACAGAATGTCTCTTTGAAACATTCAGAGACCGTCTGAACATAAAAACCTTGAAAATTTATTAGTTAGATGATCAGAATGATACCATCTCTGTAGTGAATTCCTCAACAGAAACTGCATACTTCCCACGGAATGTCTTCCTCTTCAATGTCGATGTTCTCCGTAAAATGGAAGAGAAAACAGACGAACTGAGAGACAATTCTGAGGCACTGATGTCACTGCAAGCACCAGCAAATGCACGATATGTTCAGGCTTGAGGTTACAGTAAAATACAAGTAAAGGTAACCCATATGACGAATTTCTAAATACCGGATTTGAGAATTTCTAAATACCGGATAATCAAATCCATCGATTTGATTTTAATCGATACAGCTTTTCCTTCCTTAAGCTTGAGATTCCTCAGCAGGTTCTGGTCGTAACATGTTGCGAAGCATACCTAATACCATATTTTGGTAGAACATGTGATGTTTGAAATCTCAATTCCAAAGCTGTGCAATAATAGTGAAATGCAAGAGGTGACAAGACAGACATGCCTTGCAGTTCCTCGCTCTAATGGAGACATGAGAAAGAATATCAGGCGTGTCGGGGGTGAGTACAGCAACAACTCCATCTGGAATCTCCTCTTCTCCTGTCACTTTAGTTGCAATGATAACAGTTGGTTTCTTGTACACTTTGTTCTGTACGGTGATTAATTCGTTGACTGATGTCACGAAACCACCAACTTCCACTGGACTAATAACCTGCCAACTGTAATGGAAAAAAACTCGGACATTACTCAAAGCTTACCACTTCACTCAGTATTTTTGCTAACGAGGAACGAGTCGAGGTTTGCTTCAAAGTTTACCAGCCCAAGTTAGCTACTTTTCTGAGGACCGGGTTAAAACGATTGATAAGTGCAGAAAGGGTAGCTGCTGAACCTGCCCTGATTAGTTCCTCTGCCGAAGTGTCAATCTTGACCAAGAGAAAACAACCATATAAGACAGACGAATGACTAGACAAATCACATAAGCTTTTGTCTTAGCTCAGTTGTCGCATGATATAGAAGAAACAGAACCTGAATATATCATAGAGAGTTTATGCCATTTGTAGTCATTGCACAACTAAGTCAGTCACACAAGTGACATACCGCTCGTTTGGGAACAGCAAGCAAACGGCCAAGATACTGGACAGTGGGTTGGATCTTTGTGTGGAAAGCAATCGACCTCTCAGCAACTACTAGCTGCAGCCGATCAAGTACAGCTTTTGCTTGTAGCGCCCACTGTGCATCGTTTGGTTTGTACACTTCGCTCACCCGATACCAATCCTTTCCAAAAGAAACAAACAAAAATGGTACTGTATTATTATAAAATAAAACTAATTGGGTCCACCATTGTTGTTGAGGCTCAAACTCAAGCAAAAAACAACGGTCAAGTTGTTCTGATGGCGCCGCCTGCCAAACAGACCAGTTTTTTTAAAACATAAAAGGAGATCTCACCAACTACTTTCGCGTCCTGTTAGGCTTCTTTGCCTAAAACTGCAGTGCTCCCTTCGTATGAAAAATGGTATCATAACCATTTTACTTTCGTGTCAAGCACGTGCTGACGTTGTTGAATCGCGATCTCGCGCGTTCTTAAGTATTGAAATTTAACAACCTCATCACATGTGTTGATCTCCACAAGTCAGTACCTCCAACCAAGTTCTCTTTTGCAGCCTTTCTATTGGCTGAAAACTTGATTTTGTTTGAATACTGCAACGTGGGTCACAGATGAAAGGACAAAAAGAAGACAACAACAATCTACACAATGGGTACTCCACGTTGATTAACACCCCGGGAAGGAAATGCTTATCCTAATCAAATTTATTAACAACCCAAATAAAGCCAAATCAGGGACGAATGCATCCTATGGGTACACTTTGGAAATATTAGTTGTCATTTCCCCTTTTATTCTCCACTTCATCTCTGTGGACTGATTTGCCAAACACACAAGGTTTGGCTGAACTAGATTCCAGCCTTCTTTGCAACCTCTGTAGCTTAGTCTACGCAGCCACATGGAGGAGCCACTCATTCTGAAGAATGGTCATCCAGCAGCCACGGCAGCATCGGTGGAAGAAGATGGTTTGCAGCAGAAGAGCAGGAATGAGAGCCTGTGGATGGTCTATCTCAGCACTTTCGTCGCTGTTTGCGGGTCTTATGTATTTGGATGCTGTGTAAGTTTACATATTGTTTTTCTTGTTGTAAATTAGCTTTCTGCTTTACACACATGATAATTCTTTGATCATATGTCAAACGATGTTGCTGGCTTGTTGTAGGTGGGATTTTCATCGCCAACACAAGATGCAATCAGGGAAGATCTCTCCCTGTCTCTGGCCGAGGTAGAGTCTACTATTGTACTCTCGCAAACGAGTTGTGGCTTATAAACTATAGCACTGAATTCAGAGTTATTGAGATATGTGCAGTATTCTATGTTTGGTTCAATTCTGACGTTTGGGGCAATGATTGGTGCAATCACAAGCGGATCACTGGCTGATCTCATGGGCCGAAAAGGGGTAATTTTTAAGTTTAACCATCAAACCACAGAAGCAGCTAGCTTAACATTTTGGGTGTTTTTTCAGAAGCAAAAAGTCTGCATCTTTATTTCCATATGCAGGCGATGAGATTGTCAAGCGCCTTCTGTGCTGCAGGCTGGATTGCCATTTACTTTGCTCAGGTGCGGTTGTAGAAAAATTGGATTTGTATATTTTGGTATGTCTGAAATTTTGAAGTTGTTGTTTCTGGTTTATAACAAAAGGGAGTAGTCGCACTGGACATTGGCAGATTGGCAACGGGTTATGGGATGGGAGTGTTCTCCTACGTGGTAACATTTTGCTTTTTCTTTGGAAAATATTGCTTTAGATCTCTATTTCAATGGTGAGAAACTTGAAATGATGTTGATGAACGATCAGGTGCCTGTTTTCATATCCGAAATAGCGCCCAAGAATCTTCGAGGGGCCCTAGCTACTTTGAATCAGGTTATGATCTGTGGGGGAGCGTCGGCATCATTCATTATAGGCACATTCCTAACGTGGAGAGCTCTCGCTTTAACCGGTAAAGAGGGGGGGATTAAAGGATCAGTTTCTCCATTTTGGTGAATGGCAAATGTTTGATAGGAATTTGGATCTAACTGATTGTGGCATTTTGAAGGACTCGTCCCTTGCGGAATCCTGCTTATAGGACTATTTCTCATCCCAGAATCTCCTAGATGGCTGGTACCCTAAACTAAATTATCGTCGTCTAAATAAGGGATCGTTTGCATTTTCCTGACATTGTATGTTGTTTTGTATCTATCCTGCAGGCAAAGAGAGGTCGCCAAAAGGAGTTCGAGGTTGCACTGCAGAAACTTAGGGGCAAGGATGCTGACATTGTGGAAGAGGCAGCTGAGATTAAGGTTTGAAAGTTTGAAACCTTGGTGAACAATTTGTAAGAGTTCGAGAAATATAATGAATGATGACAAAAGCTAATGTTTTACAATGTCTACAGGAATACATTGAAACACTTGACCGGCTTCCTAAAGTAAAGCTGCTGGACTTGTTCAACAAAAGATATCTACGATCAGTCATTGTGCGTTCTCTCATCTCTCTGCTATTCGTTTCAGGGATGCATTCTGTTTTTCGCTTGGCTTCTTTTTTTTGTGTATGATTTTGTGTTGGCTTGCCAGATTGGTGTAGGGTTGATGGTGGCTCAACAATTTGGAGGAATCAATGGAGTGTGCTTTTATGTCAGTAACATCTTCAAGTCAGCAGGTTGATATACAAATATACTTGCAAGTTGCAAAATGTTGGATTTACCCCCCCAGTGAAACTTTCTTGTTACTGTTAACTTATTTGGTGAATGTCATTTGTGTTAGGATTCTCTCCAAGTGTTGGAACTATTACCTATGCCATTCTTCAGGTTTTGCTAAACCCTCAAAAGAAATCCCTTAAAAAGCACTCATAATTCAAACACCTAATATGCTTCTGTTTGAAATTCTTCAGGTTGTAGTGACACTGTTAATTACACAAGTGATTGACAGAGCAGGAAGGAAGCCTCTTTTACTGGTAAGAACCGGCCACAGATCAAAATATATATATCTTAACTTTTCCCTTACCCTAATTAGGATAAACTCATCGTAATCTTCGTCTTCTGAGCAGGTTTCTGGATCTGGTTTGGTGCTGGCCTGCTTGATAACAGGCCTTTCATTCTACCTGAAGGTCTTTTTTCTCTCAAAGCTAATGATCTTATCCTTTTGTCTGTCTCTTGAGAATGTAAATCTAATGTGTTTTTATCTTTTATGACGTCTTTATGCTGTCTGAAATTAGGACAATGAATTGGCTCTGAACTACGTTCCCGCGATGGCGGTAACTGGCATACTGGTAAACCCTAAACACACTCTGGCATAAAACTAATACAGCCTTCCCTATAGTAACTCAGAAAGGTTTGAATTTTAACAGTCTCTTCTTGTTTTGAGTTGCAGTTATATATTGGGTCCTTTTCAGCAGGGATGGGAGCTGTTCCATGGGTTATCATGTCCGAGGTAACAGTTATCATTTCCTTTGACAGAAAGAGCACATTAAGGAATTATCAGATACTTTCATCATTTTTGACTCTGACCAATTTCTCTTTCTTCGTCGGAATTTTCTTTTCTGTATTAGATATTTCCAATAAACATCAAAGGGGCAGCTGGAGGTTTAGCCACCTTAGTTAACTGGTTTGGTGCATGGGCAGTTTCCTACACATACAATTTCCTCATGTCCTGGAGCTCCTATGGTAAAGATATACTACTCGTATAGATTGACGGATATTAAGACGGAGTTAAGAGTGCGATTTGATTGACGAGAAACTGTCAATGTTATGCAGGTACGTTTCTTGTTTATGCTGCAATCAACGCGCTAGCCATAGTGTTTGTAATCAAGGTGGTACCAGAAACTAAAGGAAGAACCTTAGAACAGATACAAGCAGCCATTAATGGTTAAGAGTGTAAAGCGGGTTCGTTTTCTGGGTGGACTTGACTGAAGCTACGATTAACGGGGAATGTAAAATGGGAAAATTGAACATACACATTCATCTCTTCATTCAAGCAATTCAAGGGATATCTGAGATAGGGGCAGTAACCGTAATGTACCTTTATGGAATAAATGAGGTCCTCATTATTGACTGTGGAAAGGCATAAATTTTCCAGCACCAAAGTAATGTAGAATGCAAATTCCTATTCAGAGACAAGAAACCAAAGATGACTTCTTATTTTCTCCTTTATTAATTCCTTTCAAGCAATGTGAAGTTGAAAGCTCGTGTTTCGCAACCGAAATGTATATGTGGATATGCATTAGAGTACTTACAGGCGGTTGCACAGAGCTCAGATCTTTGAGTGCCCTTTCCAACGTTGTTCTGACCGTTGAATCCAGAGCAAGATCAAGAAAAAGAGTGTCTTTAGCTTTTCCATGACTTGTTAACAGGAACGGGCGGAGTTCAATCCGAGATTCCAGTAATTTCTGGAAAATGAATGCGAAATCCAATATGATATGTGAAGAGAATTTCTCAGTTCAAATGTTTGTAAACATTCATACTATCTGGCAAGAGTGAGCTAACCTCCATCAGAGGAGCTATATTCTGATCAGCAACATGGGATCTGACAAAGTTCAAGGAGTCCTGATAATTAGCCATGAAATAAAAAAAGTCGTTTAAATGCCTGCAAATAGAACATTGTGCGGAAAAAGACGCACAGAATCTGAACAGAACATATTGTATAAAAGATCTGCCAAACAATAAGGCACCTGTAGCTTTAGTGTTAGGCCACCAATAGAAGCAATTCGGTCTGGGCTTCCACGGTAGTGCCCCTGAGATATAAGATTGCCTTTCAAAATTTTGAACCACAGAATAACCCCCAAGCATTAGAGAATACTGAATAGAAGAGAGGGTAGGGTTACATTGGAAGGAGGGCCCAAACAGCTCTCAATTGCAGATTCAAGGTCAGCACCTGAGTGTACAGCCTAAAGAAAACACAAGTGAGCAGTTACAAGAATCATTAAGGGCTATCCATGCTGAGCTTGGAGCAGTAAACATGAAAACTAATTATGAACAGATGAAAGTACTTTTAATGTCTTCAAATACATGGTAAGGTCTCGGATGAGACCGTCTTTAGCATCGCTTCTGAAACGAGGTTCTGATGTAATTGGACGGTCATAACTGGCAAGCTTCTCTTTTGTCAACCCATTGGCATTCAGTGTTTGCCAGTAAACATCAGTTCTGAAACCACTGGTTACATAATTCAAGAGTGCCTGTATGAAACACAGAAACATAACATATTTAGGATGTCTCATGCTGAAAAAGCACAGAAAACTTACACCAAACACAGCTTAATCCATCCGAAGAACATACCTCACAAATGATGATATCATCCGGGCTGCTGTTGTTGTGCAACTTTTGGTGCCATTCCTCCATCATCCCAGTTTTGCACTCATTATTTCTCTGATACATTAAAGTCAGTCAAGCAAGCTAATTCAATAACAAGTTTGATAAAGGGCAAGCAATAATAGCAAAGAATTTGAATAACCTGAATAGTAAGTATCTCGTCACGTATTCTCTGCCCAACATCACCTTTGCCTCCACGGCCAACACATGACATAATTAGTCGCACAATCTCTCTCTCACTCGGCTGGTTCAAATAGATCCTTTGCAGTAGGTTCGTGAACTTATCTTGGGCTTCACTAATTTCACTGGACAGACAGCAAGGAAATAGAATTAGTGTATTATCGTTGCATCCCTTACGCAGGTTATACATGATCACCGAGACCTTAACATACTCATACAGGAGAATATTGATAAGTTGAAATATGGCCATCTTTTACAGTCTTCCTCTAATGGTTATCATTATCCAGGATGTGACGAGAATTCTTATCAGAGCTCAAACGATCTTTACCGAGGTTTGACATTGTAATTCTTGTTCCAGGTGAGATGCCTACTGGCCATGAACCTCAGCCACACTAATATCCCAATCAAACCCAACTCGCCTTCACCCTTGCAGCGATCTGTTAGTTCTGTAGCAATGCTAAACCTGTTATATTATGTAAAAATTTAATTTATCAATTTGCAGAGGTCAGCAAAAAATGGATCCCTTTATCATGTTCATGTCCTCATGCTTCATCAGCCATCACGTAGATAACATTCAGTTGTGAAAGCTTAACCTGTGCATCAAGGACCTCTCAGCCTCCTTTTCACGTTGAGCTATCTCATCAAGTAACCAGTTCATGCTGCCTTTCACTTCTCCCCTGCCCTGAATACCAAAGAGTAAATAGAATCTCGCTAAGGATCCAGTATTATGACAGCAAAACATTAGAAGCCTTTTTCACTCACATTGATTGCCTTCAAATTGACAGAAAAGTTTGCCCCATTGTTTTTTATCCATGAACCGCCTGTCCATATCACAAACTGAATGCCCTCAAACTTCTGTTGCCGCAGATTTATCTCCACAACCTATATTTTCCCCCACCGATTCCGCAGGTAATTGTATGCATGTGCAAAAATTGGGGAGGATTAGTACAAAGCCATTTCAAAGTGGATGATTATAACCAAAATGAGGTCATATTAACTACCTGAAAGAACCCATTTGATGTGGCTACTTCAGTGAAATATGTCTGACAAGCACCAGGCACAAGTTTCGATTTCTCAGGCAGTAGATCAGGTGGAGGAGCCTTGCAAGACGTTTTCACATTGTACTTCAGTTAAAAAGGAAGCGAAATTCGATATAGACTGTGTGTAACAAGGGAACTCACCAACCACTCCACCGAAGACAACTTGGATAAACCCCAGTGAAGAACGATGGAACCTTTAATGTTCATTGCCACCAAAACATGAACTTCACCTCTAATTACTCTGAAAAGGACCTGTATGTAACCATTGCTTTACTACTCAGAACACTTCTATAAAGAAAAAGTACATTAGCTAGAGATAAGTCTATAGATGTAACATGTTGATTTTACACAGAGCTTTCTTCGATCCTAAGCAATTTGGTAGTTAGATATTAGGTGTTTCCAGAGATAAGTCTTGTCTGTTCCACTTTGACAAACTCGTGATTCTTTGCAATCCATGTTCATGACAACTTCATCCATTTATCTCAATAATGGCTTGAACAATTTGAATTAGTCATGTTCATGAAAGAGAACTAACCACTATCTCACAGTTGCCTGCATAATAGCTCTGTCTAGACACCACATCATCTCCTCCTCCGTAACGTTTCTCCACGAGATCCATCAAGGCGGACACTTGGCGATTGAAGCTTTTGCTGCGTCCCATTGGCTTATGCAACCACTGCCCCACATCATGTCTCCTGCGGTAAAGAGATTTTACCGTTTGATCCTTGGGCAGATCTCTAGTAAGAGTCGGAGTTCTGGTAACTTCAGCGTTGGAATTTCCCCGTAGCTCATCCAAAGCCAATCCTCTGGATAACTGGAATTGAAGCTCCCTTACAGCATCATCATAATCTTGCTGCATATGGGAATAAATTGAGTAAAAGTAATAATACATAAGAACACAGGCTGACATAGAATGTCATGTGTGGATGTTAACTGGACCTTCTGTTGCTGCGGTGAGCCCATTGGCCTACCCTTCCTTTCCCAGATCTGATAAGCCCTGCGGTCAACCACATCTTTTGGTATATGCTGAGTGACAACATTTTCATCATGTTCAGGTAGCTCCACTCTGAAATTCCCATTGTTCAGTTTCAACCTGATAGCAAATAAACAATCGTAAGAAAATACCGTTAGATTGAAAATTCAGAATGACTGTAAGGGACCTGAAGAACAGACGGGGCAAGTAAGAGAGTGTGAAGTTAAAGAACCAACCATCTGTCGCGGCTACCATCTTTCAAGACAAATTCAATAGCTTGAATCTTTGGATCCAGCAGCTCGATGTTGACAACATATAAATCTCCACTCTGTACCTTCAATCAAATTTGTAGCTCTCAAATAAATCAAACCTCAGGTAAAGGAGTCTGCTTCAGAGCTTGGACGACAACAACGAACCTTAGTAAATGGGGTCTGCAGTGCACCAGGCTTGTAGGAGTTTGATCCATCACCAGGAATGAACCAGCTCCTGGAAGAAAAGACAGACAGAACAGTTACATATCCACATGGAAACCACCTTCACAAAGTAAAGGGATTATCGTGTCCATATACACGAGCTAGCTAAGGTGGCGGTGGCTACGCCTACCTGTTGCCTGGGAAAGTGAAACCCCAGTGGAGAACCCAAGTCCTGTTGCAATTCTTCAGCTGGAGCTCAACTCTAACGTTGCGTCCATTCAAAGATCCACTTACATTAATCTACAAAGCCAGGAAACAAACACAAAAAAATAGAAGGAAAATGCTGAAATGAAGACCAAAAATTCAAACTTTCGGGTATTGGGCAATTCATATCTGTAATCACCTGGAGTTGCATGCCGTCCACGAGCTGAAACTGATGAGCTCGTGGAGGAACCTTTGAGGCTGCCATTGCAGCAGCCGGATGAATGGTGATCTTCTCCTCGGAATCACACTTCAGAGCTCATCTTGCTTCTTTATAAGGCAAATATCGAATCCAGGCGATTCTTCTTCTTTAGTCTTTCTGTCGGTTTCAGGAATCCCTGGCTTTTCAGTCTCCCATGGGCATAAGAGCTGGAAACCGTTCAATTCTCCTTTCATTTTCACAATTTTACAACACGCCGAAGCAGTTAGTTGCCCTTGCCTGCCATGGCAATTTTCTCCGCCGTCCGCTCTAGTTCCTCTGAAATTCCAGTGCCAAAACTTAGTGGCAGATTCTTGGGGTCTCATCTTTTCCAAAAAGTCGGTCCTATCAAAACCCAGAATCCGATTCCACCCATATAATTAGTGGACCACTTGCAGAGAAAGAGAGCTGCACAACTTCTCCCTGACTTGGGCTTCCGATTCCATTTCCATCCCTGCATTTGGATTCGACAACGACGGCAAATCAACCAAAAGGGTCGCCGCCGCCGCCGCCGATCCCAACACGTGAAACGTGGTGGGAAAGCATGGATTAACCTGTTTGTTAGACGCTGCAGACCAAGAACAAACACAGAACCAAAGAACCCTTGAACAGAAGAGGAAATAACCTGCAAACAATTCACGAGACAGCACCCGGTAGAGGGTATAGAAAAAGAATTCATGGCGTTACAATTGATAGACTGACATTGATGGAATAATAGTCCACAGTGGACTTCTCAACTCTCAATTCACTACTACATCTCTGTCTCATCATCTCATAACAACATTGATAATTTCTCGGAAAGTCTTAAAAAAGATAAGAACTTACAAAATAAAGCATGATATATAATCCAGAGCCAGAAGTTCTCTGTTCTCTTGCAAACATCAAGATGATAAGAGGGGTTTGAGATGATGATGATCATGATGGATGATGGCTATACAACAATATTCTTTTCTTTTTTTCTTTTGAAATTTTGGTAAAACTAGTTCCCGGTTTCAGTGCTCCTTCATCATGCTCCCATCCTTCCTCGCCTTACCATCAAGAGTTACCGAATGGGGTTCATCGCTTCCCAGAACCTCATTGTGTGAGCAGCTTCGAATCACATGCTACTATCTTAACACGGCCCACGTTCTCCTGGGTTTCTTCGTTCTTGAATAATGCATCCTGCAATATGAAGGTCCATACATTGTCGCAGAATCTGTATGTGTGTAAATGCCCCTGTACTCACAGAAAACACAACGGAAATGGTCATTAGAGCGGTTAGGGGAAATAGTGAAGAGACTTATTGAGGTGATGACACACAAACATGGACTGTTTCCATTAAGACTTGTATCAACATGACAGAAAATTCCTTTGCCCTAGAGAAGCGTAATATTTCTAGTGGACGATATGCTCAATGATCCAGGTACAGAAAATTCGTGTTGACTTGTTATCCATTCTTTCTCCAGCTTACAGTATACAAATTGGTCCCAAGCTAGAAATACATAATCAGTAATCTTTGGGGACGAAAAAGACCCTGTCCTTAATTGAACTCCAGATTAGCTACTCACAATATGACAAATGCTCAAGGAATTAACCTAATTCAGCATAACTACTGAATGTAATTAATCAAGACATGCTACAGACTGAGTACGTGCACTCACAAATTCATGCAAATATAAATAAGAAAGTCACCTAGGTAAAGCAGAGTTCTGAAACTGATATACTACTACAAACCAACACTCAGCGCTCAAAGCTATTGGTAGGTTCCCTCATGAAACCCATGTAAGATGTCGCTCTTTTTATATTAAACACACAGATTCCAGCCTTGTTGTAATTCTTCAACTTCCTTTCATGTCCAACCATTCATGCAAAGATGCAGACCACATGTGGTGGGCACGCACATTCACTAACTTATTATACATTCAAATTAGCCATAGACACAAACAATACCATTTCACATTTCATCACAATGGGATGCCACATCTTTGGATTAATATTAGAGGACATGAACCTCGGAGACATCTGGGCGCATCAGTTCATAAATATACAAAGGTCACCGGAAATACCATCAGAACAGCACAAATTGATTTGCAAATATCAAATTGGGGATTTAATGTAAGGGTCTCAGAGCCGATTGTGCTCGGGCGAAACAAGTTGTAATGCATCTAATGATTAGACAAAAAAAATAAAGAAGGTAACAATTCCAGATTCGGTCTCGTCAGACCACCTAGGCACACTGACTCAGTTACCTATTGTGGGACAAGTAAAGAACAGTAGGCATTAATAATTTATTGCATTACCAGAAAGTCACCCTAGGGTTTTACATTTAGGATAACCACTAAAGCGAGGATTCAAGCAATTATCAACAAGGGCTTGGTGACCTATGGCAGGGCTCCAGTGTTGTTAGTCAGAAATATCAATGTAAATCACAAGAAACCAATTTCGAAAAATCCCTCTGAAACATTTAGCAAGCAGGCAGCAAATTCAGCTCAGATCAAATCAAATCAGATCTGAATGTGCCACGCTAGCGCACCAATCCCTAATCCACCCCAAAGCAGATCACACCTTCCTTGAAAAATCTAGAGCAGAAAGAACCAGAATTCCAACTTGTAATAACACAAACAAGATAATACACCATAGGTCAAGAATCAAGACGCCTAATCGACATAAACAAGCAGAGGAAACCAAAACTGAATTTCAATTAATCCCCCAAACGAACAACACAACTAGTCCCTTACAACATAACGCAAGGAAGATAACAAAGTAAATGGCTTTGGCGGATTACCTTGATCGTGACCTTGCTCTTCACTTGCGTTTCTAGTGCCTCAGTCATAGACTAAAACCCCCCCCACCATATCCACAAAGCAATGGTCAGAGCATGGAATTTTTCAACAGCTAGTTCAGCTACAGCTAAACAGTAATTCATCCATGGATACCTTATCAAACTGAACCAGGACCTGGATCGCGAGCTCCGGACTGAGGGTACCACTCTGAACCATCTCGTCCAAAGTCTCCGTCAAGCACATCCCAATCGTCGATCTCCTGTAGAGCTCGAACGTCGCCATAACTAGCCAAAGATCTGCGCACACCAAACAAACAGAAAACGCATAAGAAAGACGATCAAGTCAAAACTCTCTCCCCCACCCCCAGCATCATGATCAGCAACCGGAGGAAACATGAACAAGAATTCGCACGGAAGCAAACACCGGAGATAGGAGAAGCGAGAAATCGGAAGTTCCGGAAGAAATTGAGACAGGAATCGGAAATGGAAGAGAGGAGGAAAGGGAAGAGATGATTTACAGATGGAGGTGGCGACGGAGGTTTGGGCGTTCGAACGTTTGATTCTGCGGTGTGGGTTCGGGAAATTTTGGGCGGAGAGAATTTGGGGAGCTTATATACCCTAGTTTTTGAGGATCGAGGATTATATAGGGGGCGATGAATCGGATTTCGGGCAATTTTCCGTCTGACGATTTTGCCCCTCTCACCGTCTCTCACGTCCAATTCCGATTCGGTTCTGTCTTGGGCTTGGGCTTCCAACATATGGGCTCCTTTTTACTGTGAGTACGGTCAGATCTCTGATGCCTAAGGCTTTGGTTTTGGCCCAGCCAAGAATATTTTATCCACAGACCGCGGAGACCAATACGTTTCCAAAGTTTTTTTTTTTTTTCCTGTTTGGGCTTCTTTGCACTCTCCACAACTGTAAGACATTAGACGAATCCCGACAAAATACGAGAGTGATTCATAGTTCATAAGTAGTGAACCGACCTTAAATGACAAGACGTGTTTTGGGGTGAAATGGAGGGGTTCTTGTGAGAACTCTGAAGTTAAACGTGCTCAGTGTGGAGTACAACGAGGATGAGTGTCCTTATGGGAAGTCACACTGAATTGCACCACAAGTCGAAATCCGTGCGAGTGTAGAGGCTCAAAGCCGACAATATCTTTTCAGGAAAAGGTTCAGGATGTTACAATACACATCACAAATATAATTGTAAATAAACCAAAAAAAAATACCATTTTGCGTGGTTAGAGAGAATTTGGGGTGAAAGTGAAACCTTTATGTTTTCCCACTTTTTTTTTCAATTCCATTTTCCCACTTTCCCGCCCATGGTTGTTGTAATATCCCCAATCTTTTCCCGACGAAGATATTGTCCGCTTTGGGCCTCTTCGACCCTCATAAGTTTTTGACTTGGGGTGCAATTCAAGGTGACTTCTCATAAGGTCACCCATCCTTGTTTTACTCCACACTGAGCATGTTTAACTTCGAAGTTCTCACTATAACTCCTCCATTTCACCCCAAAACGCGTCTTGTCAGTTAAAGTCAATTTCCTACTTATGAACCATGGATCTCTCTCGTACTTTGTCGATGTGGGATTCGCCTAACGTGTTACATGTATGGAAACAAAAAAAAAATTAAAAATTTAACAACAAATTTCTATTAATCAAAATGTAAATAATAAAGAAAATGTGAAATACTTTCAATTGATAATGAAACAAATTCTTAACAATAGACGCATCTTGGATTACAAAGAAAACACTGTTAAAAACAAACTTCTTTTATAGAGGTTATATTCTAGGGTTAATATATTTGTACGGACCGAACTTTTCATATAATAAACATCATGGCCAATTTTTTCGATCTATAACATCATGGTCTGAACTATAAACCAAAGTAACGAAATTGGTCAAACCCAAAAAGTTGACCATTATCCTGGACAGACAAACGCGTTTACTAACGGTCAACGCGGCACGTCAGCACCTTTACTTAAGAATATTTATATTTTCCACCTATTACTATTTATTTTTTTCATTTTGAATAAAAAAATTGAAAAATGAAAATTGAATTTCCGGTATCAGCATTTTTCAGTTTTTTTTATTCAAAATGAAAAAAATAAATAGTAATAGGTGGAATTTTTATTAAGTGAATGGTGTTGACGTGGCGCGTTCACCGTGAGTAAACGCATTTGTCCGTCCAAGATAACAGTCAATTTTCGGGTTTGGCCAATTTCATTACTTCGGTGTATAGTTCAGGCCATGATGTTATAGATCGAAAAGATTGGTCCGGATGTTTATTATGTGAAATGTTAAGGCCATACAAATATATTTACCCTATATTCTATTGTAAAGAAGAAGAAACGTTTTTTTTTATAACCCAGGAATCTCAACCCTACGTGCCACTTTGTGATATTGGGGTATACTAAACCTGGGGGTTCACCTGCTTGAGTTTACCTCGCTTTGCGAAGTCCCACCACTAGGATTCCCATTGTGCCTCTAGGAACACCCACCTGATGATTTAGAGGATCGAACCTGAGAGCTGCTCCTCCCAAGTCATCACTTTTCTTCGCACTCACACCAGTTGGAATATGTGACTTTTGGCAGAAGGAGAAACGCGGTCATGTGACATTGATACACAAAAGTATAAAATAATGAACATTAAATAACATTTTTATGCTACACAAAAAGACGAAGTAATGTCTACTTTAAAAAAATAATAAGAAGCATGAAAAATTAAATAGATAAATTAGAATATAGATAAATATACTCTAAATTAAACAAATCAAAAGAAAAGGTGAGGTGTTAGATTTAAGAGTTGTATGTTTAGAGTACAAAGTGAATTGAGAATGAAAAAGTGAGTATTTAATAGGAATGTGTTAGATTTAATGGGTGTGGTCGGTGTTGATCTTCTCATAGAATGTGACCAAATATGTACGTTGGTTGGGTTGGATAGGGACACAATTCCTAAGTGGGTTGTGAGTTTCATTTTTCCCTTTTTGTCCGTCTTCCTTTCTCATCCGATGGTCCAAAACACAACAAGGGCTTTTTTTGGAAGTAGCTTAATGGAAAGAATTTGAATTAAGAACATAAATACATGGGAAACAATTATGCAGTGCGATTGGTGGGTTTCATTACCACTAACCATAAACGCCCGCGTCTCTTTCCCTTCCATTTATGGATCCTTCCTCATCAAACCAAACCACAGTCCTGGTAGCTAGTAGCTACAGAGCTCCGACAATATCTTTACGCGGTCGCCGGAATACAATGGACGACTACTTAAGCAACGACGATGGCAGAGATGGAGTGGGAGTTGAACATACATGTTTATTTGGGTTCGACCTGAACATCCCATACACAAGCAATGACAAAGCCAGATACGAGGTGGGAGCTGAAGAGACGGAGAATGGAGATGATGTTTGCATGGTTGATGATGCGGTCTTTTTCGACATAGTTTTGGGTTTTGGCCAAGGGAAAAAGTCCCAAGATTCAAATCCAACCAAAGTAGCAATTCCAAACATTCCAATCTCCACCTATTGCAAACAAGCCTCATCCCAAAATCTCAAATATGTTTAAGAGTTAGAACTCGAAAGTCACCTCTCTGACTCCCCTTGTAGTTGCCAAAGCAGACCACTCACCCTAGTAGTCTTTGTTTATTTGATGTTTGTGAATGATGATGATCTTGTGGTGTTTGTATTTAATGTCTTGCTAACTGGATGAAGAGTTTTGATTATTTGTAATTTTATGTGTTTGAGTTCGGATTTGGTTTTTTTGTTCACGATATGTTGTAACGTCCCGAACCTTTTCGCGACGAAGATATTGTCCGCTTTGGGTCTCAACCCTCATGGTTTTCAACTTGGGGTGCAATTCAAGGTGACTTCCCATAAGGTCACCCATTCTTGTTGTACTCCACACTGAGCACGTTTAACTTCGGAGTTCTCACAAGAACTCCTCCATTTTACCCCAAAACACATTCAAGGTGACTTCCCATGGATCTCTCTCGTGCTTTGTCGATGTGGGATTCGCCTAAGGTGTTACATACACCCCCTTGGGACTCAACGCCCTCGTTAAAGTTTGCCCCACCATCGTTCAAGAGGGACGCGGAGAGGCTCTGTTATCACTTGTAACATCCTGAACCTTTTCCTGACGTAGATATTGTCCGCTTTGGGCCTCGACCCTCACGATTTTCGACTTCGCGTGCAATTCAATATGACTTCCCATAAGGTCACCCGTCCTTGTTGTACTCCACACTGAGCACGTTTAACTTTGGAGTTCTTATTATAACTCCTCTATTTCATCCCAAACGTCTTGTCAGTTAAGGTCGGTTTCCTACTTATGAACCATGGATCTCTCACTTGCTTTGTCGATGTGGGATTCGCCTAAGGTGTTACATAACATCCCGAACCTTTTCCCGACAAGATACTATCCGCTTTGGGCCTCTACACCCGCACGGATTTCGACTTGGGGTGCAATACAGGGTGACTTCCCATAAGGTCACACATCCTTGTTGTACTCCACACTGAGCACGTTTAACTTCGGAGTTCTTACAAGAACTCCTCCATTACACCCCAAAACGCATCTTTTGGGCCTTGACCCTCAAGGTTTTCTACTTGAGGTGCAATTCAATGAGACTTCCCATAAGGTCACTCATCCTTGTTGTACTCCACACTGAGCACGTTTAACTTTGGAGTTCTCACAAGAACTCCTTCATTTCACTCCAAAATGCGTCTTGTCAGTTAAGGTGGGTTTCCTACTTATGAACCATGGATCTCTCCTGTGCTTTGTCGATGTGGGATTCGCCTAAGGTATTACATATGTGTTGTATTGGATTGATGTTATTTCTTAAAAATATGATTTAATTTATTTAGGTTAAATTATAATAAATTATTTGTATGATTATATTTTATTTTAGTATTAAAAAGGACAACATACAATATTTTAAAATATGTAGGGCTCCAAACTAACTTCTAACCAAGTCGATAACATGTAGTTAACCGATAATTCTAATCAGTTAGATAATCCATAGGGCTGCAAATGAGCCTAGTCGAGCTGAGCTTTACCCCAACTTGAGCTCGGCTCGTTGATAAACGAGTTGAGCTCGAGCTCCGCTCGTTTATTAACGAGTCTAGTCGTGTTTGAGCTAGCTTGGTTACTAAAATCTTAACTCGTATTTGATATATTCATATTGTATGTGATGTAAGATACACGTGATTAATATCAAGATGAAAATAATAATAACAACGCGTAATTGTTCCATATTAACTAATCTCAGGTTAGACTTTGTGATATCATATCATTTAGTTAGTAAATTTTAACTACTCAAAATTATATTTTTTTCATTGTTGCGAAGTAATCTATGATACATCATTTCATTTTTAAATTAAACATGACATATTTGCTCACATAATCTACATGTTAAACTTCATATAGAGTGAAATATATAATTTAACAATCTTATCAATTATCAAAATCAAACTCGTATAGATCAATTCGCTCATATAATCGGTAATCAAGTTGGCTCTCTAGCCACAATGTTGAGAATTGACACATCATAAGCTCTAAATGAGCCAACTCACGAGTTGAGCTCAACAAGCCACCGAGTCGAGCTAGCTCGGGAGCTCATCGAGCTGAAGAAACCTCAACTCAAACTCGACTCATTAGTATACGAGTCGAGTTCCAAATGAGTTTTTCCCGCTCGGCTCATTTGCAGCCCTATCCGTATGCTTATGGCGTTAGTTAACCAAAACCGCCAGAAAAGCCAGATGGGGTAGTTTCCGGCAATTCAAATTCATAGGAGGAAAGAAAAAAGGACCGAATCACTTCATCAACAAGCTCCCCTATTTCCTGTTTTACATAATGTCACACATGGTACATTGGGATAAAGTAAGATCAGAAAGAAAATCTCATTGGCCGCCGAGACCCTAGTCACCATTGGAAAAGGAGATGAGATATGTAGTCTCTGACTCTCCATCTTCATGTACAGAGAGGGCCAATATCTGATCAATAAAGATTATGGCAGGCTTATATTCATTCATTAGCTGTACATTCCCAGAGAAACTTTTTTTTTCCCCTCAACTAGAAGTTCTTCCTCGACTGTCTTAATAATAACTCAGCCTTTGCCTTCTTTCCCTATCTCTCAGGGCTCTCCTGAAATTAGACCAGACTCATCGCCATTTGAGTAAACAACTAGTTGTTCAGTGTTGGTATGGGTCCCATCTCCTCCTGACTCCAACATGTTTGCTTCAGCTTCCGCCTGGTTCTATATATCCAAGTACCAGTGAGCTGGTGAAACTAACGCATAAATATTAGAGTCGAGAACTCGAATTCCAGACAACAGACAGTACCTGCTCTACTGGAGCCGAAGAAGCATGATCCTGGTTTCTCTTGGACAGATCTCTCAGTGTTCCCTGCAATATTTCATTCATTATTGAAAAAACAGGTAACAAATGTATGCCAGTCTCGAGAGTGAAATATAATCCTACTATTCTGAATTCTCCAGTCAAGGACTAACAAATAGGAGCTGATAGTATCTATAAGCATGCTAGAATTGATGAACTGACTCTTCCTTGACATACCACATTCTTCCTCCCTCAAGTAACAAAAACTGAGATATGTGGTAATCTCTAGGATTTTTAATATAATATGATGACCAAAACGCTTCCGCCACCCCTGTTATCTTCAACAAATATTTCTCAGAAGCAAGCAAGGGTTCTACTCTATAGCACATCATGACCGTGAATAACAAAAAACTAGGATTTAAGTTCACTATAAAAATTCAAAAGCACAAATTCTAAAAGAATTAAGAGACCTATTTAACACCTTAAAGCAATCCGTCTGATTAAATAATGAAATGTAAATCTGCAATACTTGCACAAGTTAAGTTCAGCATGGCGCAAAGCAATAAACAATTTCCAAGCTAATGAAGCTAGGATACCACTTAACACATACAGGAATAGGGCTACTAACAACTATCTGCACATGCATAGTAGAAAAATAGAATGAAATACGATTTGAACCCATGTATGTATACATAAGCTGGGATTTGAAAAAGGTAGCACTTCAGAATCATCAAAACACAGATATAAATACTCCATATCGTCGTGATGGTGGTGGGGGAAAATGGAGAGGAATGAAGAAACTAACCCTGTTTGCCCAGAAAAGCCCACATGCATTGCAAAGAGACCTGGGACCAGATGGACCACGTCGCATCATTGGAGTTGATTTGGAACTGATGCCACAATGGGTACACCTACAGAAGAATACAGAAGTTCCCAAAAAAAACTAGTCTGATAGTAATATAAATGTTTAAAGGCCAAAGATAGCCCAATAAAGCAAGGAACATTAAGCTCATAGCTATACAACATGATTTCCCAATGCTTAGCTCTCCAGCTTTAAAGTCAGCTTTTATAATCAATGATTTTTCCACAACAGATCAGATAATAGTAAAGATCAAGACTAGAGAGCACAATGTTATCCTTACGAGGTTTCTTGCTGGCTGTCATCATGCCCTGAGTCCTGACTGCCGTCCCAGCCATATGTACCATCTTTCTTCGATGAGGTGAACTGACCTTTGTTGCGCTGCATCCTGATTTACACAGAAAATCATCATCAGAAGGGAAACAGAACCACCAACAAAATTTTGGGGTGGAGACAAGCGATGTCTGAAAATAACCAGCAAAGCAAAGGGGAAACAACTCACAGCATAGAAGCCAGATGCATATAAGTATAACTTTTCATTTCCATATATATCAACAGCTCTCGTAGAAGTCAAACAGGGTAAATATCTTACATATGAGCAGAATACTCATAAACACTGTTCTATATTATTATGGAATAAGGGAGCAAAGCAGCCGTGTATGAATGAGGGTCAGGATTTCGTATTCGGAGTCTTGAATTACTTGGTTGTTAAGTCATTAGTTAGTTTTAGGTTTATTATTAGGTCTTGGAGTCTTTTCCTATAAACATGTGCGTGGGAATTCATTTAAGATAATCAAAGAAGAATATTACAGAAATTATCCCCAAACCCTAATCTCTCTCAATTCTCTGAAATCCCATCTCTCCCTAAAGGCCCGGCCGTTGTTTCCCAATTTCGTGTTCAATCCCTAATCCCCGATTCTATTCTTCCCAATTATGATTCAAATCCCTAAATCTCTCTCAATTCTCTTCTAGTCGATCCAGGTTACCAATAATCTCATGTGCCAAAGAAGCGTATTTCTTACGAACAACTTGCACCCTGCACAGCATAGTCAAATTTGTTTCTTTCGATAACCAAATTGTAAACTAACAATCACTAGGTATACAGCAACACTAATTACAGTGGTCAAGAACTACTGTTGTTGGTACTTTGACAAATAGCCAACAGCATGCCAGCAAATAGTATATCAAGGCTTCCGCTTCAGTCTAACTATAGATGGCTTAATATTTCCTTAAAGTAAACATTAGATGGATACTTAATAAGCAGCTCAAATCATGAATCCAGGAGAAGGTTACATCATACTTGTTCTACTGCCCTTAGGGTAATCACTTCATAAGGTTGTAAATGCCCATTTACCGTTTTAATCTGTTAAGCACTCTAACAAATCATTCTAAAATGTGACTTATGACGTTTAGGGACACAGAGAAACAACACATGAATTTCAACTCGACTTGGTGCTTGTACGTAGTTGTAATACAAACAACAGAATTGGCGTTTAACAGGCAACTCATCATATTTATACTCTGTAATTTTTCTAGCCATCCAGGTGTTGGCAACCTAATCTACCCATTCTGACAAGTCAAAAACAGTTTAATAATATAAGATATGTGCCAAAAACTACCATGATAAAATCTTATGCAAACATCACAATATCATATATCAACACACCTTTGGGCAACCTCTTGGCGAACACTATATCGAACCTTCTTGTCAAAACATCGCTCTTTCCTCTTTTGCCTAAATCTATTCAAAGAAGCTGCTCTATGAGGTTGTGTCGAGCGGCCTGGATAGTCCATAGATGTGCCCTAGATAGCAAGGAGTCATATCAGAAAGTCTGAGCATATCCATAAATTCACATATATACTACAATCTCGTAAATAATTAGAGAGGACAAATACCCTTTGACCTTGAGGCGGCAGTTCCAGACCATTCAGACCAGAATTTATTTCACAACCTCCTAGTAGTAACAGAACTGCCTGAACCTGTGACACCCAGAAAGTAAGCACATTAAGCTAAAGCTCCAAACTGGGACATATGCGAAACAAATGATCTCAAACATTTGTAACCACCGTTGCAAAGAAGCAATTCAGGGATACAGAAGCAGCTAAGAAGAAAAACCTAAAGAATGTAGTTCCTTGCGCTACTTTCACAGCCTAGAACTAAACATTGAAGCTACATTCGTTATCTCTGCCCAGAAAGTCCCACAAAAAAAGAAGAAAGATGGCCAAAGTTGCAGACTTTAGTCTCTCCCTACGCCGCTAAAACCCTCGGCAAAATCACCTACCTTATCAGGAGTGACGTCGTCAAACACATACACCTGGCCACGAAACGTCAAAGTAAGCTGGTTGGTGATATCACCCCCATGAATAAGAAGCTCCGACCCAGGGCCGCCACTGGAGGAAATATAGACAGAGTCAGCAGACATGTCGTCGACGACGACTCCTGCGGCTGCGGCAGCATCGTCATATCCAATGTTTTCAAGCTGGTGCTGGTCCATCGAATCGGGGGCTCCGGAAGTATCTTCTTCGTCGCCGCCGCCGCCGGGCAAGTCGTCGATCTGGTGGGGAATGTTCACGGATTGAGAGTGGGCGTACATTGGCGAGAATCTTTGTGGCCCTGAAGCATCAGAGAGGGAGGGCAAGCAGGAGGGAATCGGAAGAAACCCGCGAAAATCCTAACCCCCCCTGGAGAGATGTCCGCTGGGAGATTAGGGTTTGCACAAAAAGTGGAAGAATCCGACGAAGGGAGTATATTTGTGGCACAGAGTTTCGTACGTCCCGGAATCTCCTTCCGAGTTATTCGGTTTCTCTAATTCTAATTCGCCGGCCGGCGATGTAATTGTGGAGTGCGTCTCCCGGGGCACAGAGAGAGAGAGAGAGACGATGGAGAAGAAAAAGGAGGAGCCAAGACAGGGAGAGACCAAACAGAGACTCGAGAGTGAGAAAAGCCAGTCCAGTTAATAGTAAAAATACGGAACGAGCATAAAAAGGAAGAGTATATACGTTAGAGTATAACATTGCAATTTTTTTTTTTTTTCCAAAAGATCACTCGTAGAAAGTCAGATATAACAAGTCACACAGATAAAAACAGTCAAGAAACAAAATCGAACCCTCCTAAGTGAGGGAACAACGAAATGGCTTTTCTTGCCACCAAATGGGCAACCCTGTTACAATCCCTACCAACAAACCGAATATCAAACACCAAAAACGAGCCCGTCAAGCTTTGAATTTCTTCCAAAACCGCGCCACCCTGAACATCATCAACTTGACCTTCTCGAATCCTTCTAATCACCACATGTGCATCACCAGCAAAGACGACAGAATGAAGACCTCGTGCCAAACACCAACGAATCGCATCCCGAAAAGCTAACGGCTCCACCAGGGAGGGATAAAAAATCCCCACGTACAAGGCCGCTGAAGCCGCCACCACCGCGCCCGATGGATCCTGCAAAACCCAACCTCCAGCCCCGTGTGAACCACACAGCGTGGCCCCATCAACAAACAACACTAACTCCCCATGCGGGACCGACTCTCTAACCGCTAGGCGAGGACCCCCAGGACCTGGAAGAGGCGGCCTTTGTTGATTATCAGGAACGGAATCCCACTCTGTGACCTGCGAGCGAAACTGAGAAAGCAAAACAGGGACAATGAAATGAGTGAAATCAAACACAAGCCAATTTCGTGCACGCCAAAAAAGAGCCACCTCCCGCATCAGCGTGCTCCGGTCCAAATTGCCTTCCTCGAGAACCATGCGCCAAAAGATGCTTATATTGTTAAGTGGGAACCGATCTCTTAGCAGGTGAAGCTCGGCCCCCTCCCAGAGCTGCAGCGCTACACGACATCGGAAGAAGAGATGCTCAAGAGACTCCACCTCCTCCCCGTATACTGGACATGGCTCCAGCCCCTCCATCCCGCGAGTACTCAGTGCCTCACCAGTTACCAAGACACCCCGGACAAGCTGCCAAATAAAATACCACAGTTTAGGCCGTATCGGAGTGGCCCAAATTCGTTTCCACAGGCTACGGTCCCAGGATAGAGCGACTGCCTTCACCTGCAGCTCCTTCTGACGTCTTAACTCGACCGCCTTATGATACCCCGATTTGACAGTATAACAACCTGAGATTTCCCCATCCCAGACCAGGCGATCTGGCACAGCCTTAATGGGTAGAGGAATAGCCAAGATAGCTTTAACCGTGTCTTCTTCAAAGATCTGACGGAGGCAATCTACCCTCCATACACCCTGATTATGACAAATCAAAGACGCCACTTTGCCTTCCACTCCAATAATACCCTGTCGCGGTTTGGGGGGGAAAAGGATGCAGAGCTGGCACCCAATTATCAGTGAGCACTTCTACCGAATCCCCTGAACCAATTTGCCATCGAAGCCCTTGGAGAAGCAGATCACGTCCTCCAAGAATTCCACGCCATCCCCATGATGGGAGAAACCCAGTCCTTGCACTCAAGATACTTGAATTGGGAAAGTATTTCCCTTTATACACTCGAGCTAACAAGGAATTGGGATCCTTCCAGATTCGCCAGGCCACCTTAGCCAGAAGAGCTTGATTAAACTCTTCAAATCTACGGAAACCCAACCCACCCTCCTGCTTACCGAGGCACATCGCTTTCCAAGAAACCCAATGGATCCGTCTTTCACCTTGTTTGACCCCCCACCAAAACCGAGCCAAATGTCTATCTAGTGAACGACATAAAGACAGGGAACAGGAAACAAGACATCCCATAAATGGGTAAAGCATTAGCAACTGCCTTCAGAAGAACTTCTTTAGCGGCCCAAGAAAGACATTGCTGCTTCCATCCCTGGAGTTTTTGGATGACCCTTTCCTCTATATATCAGAACGTATCATACTTCGACCTCCCAACCAGAGAAGGGAGACCCAAGTACTGATCCGTTACACCAATAGCTCCAATCCCAAGTAACTGCCCCATCTCTTGTGAATCCCATGGAAGAACATTCCTGCTAAAGCAGACTGCCGAGTTAGCTAAATTTACCTTTTAACCGCTGAGCTCCTCATACTGGTGCAAGAGAACCATGAGACTAGCACATTCGGCTCGAGAAGCTCGCAGAAACAGGTATGAATCATCTACGAAGAATAGGTGCGAGATCACAGGACATCTGGGACTAATACAAAGACCAGAAAGAGCACGAGACGATAACGCTTGTCTAAGCAGAGCAGCAAAGCCTTCTGTGCATATAGCAAACAAAAGCGGCAACAACGGATCACCTTGTCGAAGACCCCGCGAAGCTTGGAAATAACCAGACGGTTGACCATTCATCAGAACAGAGAACGTTGAAGAAGACACACAAACCCGTAGCCATCTAATCCATTGCGCACTGAAACCAAGTTTCTCAAGCAATGCGAACAAAAATGGCCATTCCACCCTATCATATGCCTTCTCCATATCCACCTTGACAGTCTGTTTTCCCACCCTCTTATTTTTCAGGTACTGCATCACCTCATGCCCTATAAGAACATTATCCACGATTTGCCTGCCTCGTACAAAACCGTTTTGCCCTGGAGAGACAATTGGTGGTAAGTACCGAGCAAGCCTCTCAGCTAAAATCTTCGCAATGATCTTATAGGCAAATTGACATAGACTAATGGGCCGAAGATCCTTCATATTTTCGGCGTTATCAACCTTTGGTAGAAGCACCAGCCAAGTATGATTACAGTTTTTAAGGAGGGAGCCAGTATCGAAAAAATCTCGGACCGCCAGAACCACATTAGGACCCACTATCTCCCAGAACTTACGATAGAAAACTCCTGTGAACCCATCCAATCCTAGTGCCTGCGTGGCTCCGATTTGAAAAACGCTGTTGCGAATCTCCTCCGGAGAGACCTCGGTAGTCAACCTAGCATTCATCTGATCCGTCACTCTCCTCTCAATCTGCAGCGCCGCCACCTTCTCCAAAACTGACTGAGAGTCCAAACCTCCCGACGTGAATAGATGGGTATAAAAATCATTAGCAATTAGAGCTTTTCCCTCCTCCGACGTCACCGAATTTCCCGCGGGGTCTTTGAGACTATGAATGAAATTATGGCGACGACGGGCCCTAGTAACATTATGGAAATAGGAGGAATTCTGATCACCCTCCTTCAACCAACCCACTCTAGACTTTTGTCGCCAAAAAATCTCTTCATCCACCCAAGCCGCGCGTAGTTGGCTTTCAATCTCTCGAAGCTTTCCCCAGTCAATGTCGATAGCACCTCTAGTAACATCCCATTCCCGTCGGAGGCTCCGAATTTTCCGTTCGGAGTTACTCTTACCAAGCTTACTCCATTCATATAACCGGCGCCGGAGGGCTTTAAGTTTTCACCATAGACGAAACATAGGGGTACCATCAAAGCTCATATCCCACACCTCCTGGACAATGTCCCGAACTTCTGAATTCTCACACCACCTAGCGTCAAAACGAAAGAGCTTCTTCCCCCGACGTTGGACAGATTCCGTGGCCAATAACAGTGCTCTATGGTCCGTCTCTTGGTCAGAAAGATGGTGGAGAGCCGAATCAGGCAATTGATCTAGCCAACCGGCCGAGACCAAAGCCCGGTCAAGGCGCTCCTGAATCACCCGTTGCGGATTAGTATTTCTGTTTGACCAAGTGAACTGGGGACCAACAAAGCCCAAATCATGCAGACCTAGATCATCCACAAATTCACGGAAGTTAAGAGATTGAGCAGGAAGCCAAGGATTACCACCCTCTTTTTCATTAGATGCAAGCAGAGAATTAAAATCCCCAACAATCGCAAATGGAACTCTTAAGCGCGAGCACAAACTTTGGATGCGAGTGAACTGATTTGTGCGAGTCTGGTAATCGCAACTCAAATAAACGAACACCACCACATAATCCAAATTATCTTTATTCAATTGAAAAGCAATAAAAAAGGACTCACTACAAAGGACTGAGACTGAGATCCCAGTAGACCAACCTAAGGCAAGGCCGCCGGCAGCGTGGGCAGCATCAACAAAAAACATGCGAGAATTAGAAATACCTAAGCGCCTAAACTGGCGAACTACGACATCGCGCTTTGACAAAGTCTCCGACAAGCAAACGACATCGGGAACAAACTGAAAATTCAAAGAAACAAGTTGCCGAATCGTCGTGACTGGCCCAATGCCACGACAATTCCAGAACATTGGCTTCATTTATTCGCTGGGGGCCACTCGCGGTTGGCTTCCTCCACCGTATCCTCATCACCATCTCCATCTCCGTCCGGGTCTTGGTGAACTTGATCCGCCTCTTTCTCTTCCTCGCCCAACAAATCATCATTGTCGAGTCTGACATCTTGCATAACAGAAGGGTCAAAGCATAATTTCTTTGGAGGCAGAGGCTTATTCTCAAAAACAGTCATCATCTCATCATTGCCTCTTTTTTTGTCAAATAGCATCTCCTCCAATTCGCCTAGACTCATCTTGAAACCAGGCTTCGGACGCTTCTGCCCATCTTTCCCAGAACGTCCCTGAGTCCCCTTTGAGGCTCCACTCGAACGCGCAGCTAGGGCAGCCTTCGGAGGCTTAACGGTCTACGGTCTGGATAAAACTGTGTGGTCTGGTCTGGACCATAGTTTTTCAAACAGTC